TAGGTAATTTAAACGACATCTGCTACAAAGATCGATCGAGTTGTTTCTAGGCAGTTTTAATTTCAAACTTCCCAGAAGGCTCAGGATTCGAAAGAGCCCATTTAATACCATTTTCCATGACTCTATCCCATCGCGCTGACTCACTCAACCGATCACCATAACGGCGAAACCCATGCGGCAAACCCTTGAAGACGTGAATATCGGTGGCGACACTATAACGATTGGTTGTAAGCATAAGGAATCAAGTTTCAATTGGTGATCTTACCCTGCCTCTGCCAACTTTTTGCCATACAGTAGTCCTTCATCTCTCAAAGGATCCTGTCCAGCTATGCCAAACACCGTAGGTGGCAATCCTCGCACCTGCAGCGATGATGCGTTGCCGGTATTCAAGCGGAAATACTCGTTTTCGGGATCTAGAACCGGGAACTTTAGTAATCCGGTAAAGAATTGAATGACCTTCTGCGAAAGAATAGGTGCATGCTCATTCTCGGTATAGGAGGAAACCGAGGGATCCGACAGCTGGTCCAACTGTGACTGGTACGAGTCGGAGTGAACCAAGGCGGGAATCATCAAGATCTGTCCGGCAATCTTGGGCTTTGGGAGAATATCGGGCGAGGCGACGTTCTGTCTCAAGACCAAAGCGGCCGCAAGCTGAGCACCAGCCGAGATGCCCCCAACCAGAACCTGATCAGAATTACCACGCAGCTCATCTATGTGATCGTGGACCCAGTAGAATGCATCTTCAGCGTCGTTCCACGCGGTGGGAAACGTAGCATCTGGCGTGTGGCGATAATTGACATTTACCACCGTAACTCCCGCGCCAAGTGCAATCCGAGTAGATATAGCATCCTCTGAAGATAGCGTGCCGAAGAAATAGCCTCCTCCATGGAGGTGGATGTAGATGGGGAGACGGACATTATCCTCGATGTTTGCTGGCCTGTAGCTTCGTGCTTCGAGCGTCGCTCCGTCTCTGGCGAGAATGCTGTGATCTTTGAGGCGAATGGATGGAGCCAGTTGCTTCATGTCTGCAGCCGAGACCTCCTCTCGACCGCGGTTGACTACCCGTTGTCTCTCATAAACATCTGCAAAGGTGGGAGGTGGTGGCAGGCTTGCTTCTAATGCGAGCCATTCTTCCGACTTGCCACCGTATTGAGAAAAGTCGCACATGTTGTTAAATTCGTGTGATTGAATGGGATGCTTCTATTTTTGCCAACTGCTGATTATGTGTATGTCTTTGGCAGGCTGCCCAACTCTCTTGTCACGTGACACTCTGTGGGTGACATTGAAGTTGAGTCAATTATTATGGCATATTGCTGACTACGCTATCGTCCGCCGTAGTACGGCGGAGTCAATAAAAAATTAAAGTGGAATTTCATAATAGGGATACCCTATGTCGAATACACAATATAAATATGAAAATAAGAGAAGAATTTATCATATACTATAGTGGATAGTCGCATAGCTATCTTCCGAATTAGCTGTTAATCGCGACAGCTTGTAGGTGTAAATAATAGGAAGGTGGGAGAATTAGCCTTATACAGCTATTCAATTAGGCGAGGATAGTTGTATTTATCAAGAGATAAGCGATTAAACCCTTTGAATCCAGAAAACTAAGCCTTTAAATGTATAAACCCCATAGGGTGATCGTATTACAAAATCTGAATTGACACACTCATCTCTATCGTTCGCCGTAGCTGTCTCGTTTCTCCTCTGGGTACTTGGCTGCGAGGTCGGATTCGGGCCCGGGATTGACTAATTGGGATAGCCATTCTGGCAACACCCCGAGATCCCACATGGACTTTAATATCCGGCTACCATACTTCACTATTTGGCGGCTTCCAAGCCTCATCCAGCTATATTCAGGTAGCCCAATAGTCAAGTATGGTGGCCGGATAATAAAGTCCATCCTGCATCTGCTCGCAGAAGGTCAGACATATTGATGAGGTGCGACTATTACATAAAGGAGAGAGCCTTTAATAACCCTGACTATATCTACATATTTCCTTGCAAAGTTCCACCACACCATGTCGTCTGAGATTCCCGTTGATCCTCCCTCCCGCTCACTAAAAGGCAAGGTCGCCATCGTGACTGGCGCCGGCTGCTTTGGAGATGGCATCGGGAACGGTCGAGCAATCTCCATCATGCTGGCAGATGAGGGATGCAGTGTGATATGCCTCGACATGAAATTGGAATGGGCGACTAAAACAGCGGATATGGCTAATCAAAGAACTGGCCAAGAGACAGCCATTCCAGCACAAGGCGACGTCACCATCTCGGCTGATTGTGAAAAGGCCGTCGCATTGGCACTGGAGAGGCTCGGTCGATTAGACATACTGGTCAACAACGTCGGCATAGCAGGGCCATCGGGGACGGCTGTCGATGTGGACATGGCTGGCTGGGCTGCAGGCCTCGATGTCAATGTGTCGAGCATGGTTTTCATGGCAAAGCATGCCATACCCGCAATGCTCAGAAATCAGGGTGAAATCAAAGGATCGATAGTCAATATGGGGAGTGTGGCCGGGTTGAAAGGAGGGACACCGCATCTCCTCTATCCAACTGCCAAGGGCGCCGTCGTCAACATGACCCGAGCAATGGCTGCACATCATGCCAAAGATGGCATTAGAGTCAACTGTGTTTGCCCTGGAGTAAGTGATCTATGCCTAAGAGGGATCGCTGTACTGACTACTTCTAGATGCTTTACACCCCAATGATGTACGCGAAAGGAATGACAGATAAGGCCAGGGAGGCCAGAAAAGCGCGGAGCCTGCTTGGAACGGAGGGGACCGGGTGGGATGCGGCCTGCGCTGTTGTGTTCCTGGCAAGCAACCATGCAAGATGGATCACGGGGGCCATATTGCCAGTAGATGCTGGTACGACCGCAGCAGTCGGAACCAGTCTACCAGCAAGTGCGAGTGTCAATGGATGAATTTAGAGAAGAGGACCGTTTCTAAAGAGATGAAAGTTATATTATTTAAAGTTAGAAACAACAATGAAAGATTCCAGACATGATATCTCAACACACTGAGTATCATTTTCATATCACCCATCCACTAGTTCTTCTGTCTACTCGTGCAGCAAAGCGACACGCGACCGTACCTTTCCATCGCAAAGTTCTTGAAGAACTTGATCAAATTGTCCAATTTTTCGAGTCTCGACCTGAGGCTTGATGCGCCCAGCCGCAATAAGGTCAAGAACCTCCTCGAGATCCTTCACTTGGCCACCGTAAGAGAATATGAATGAAAGTCTCTTTCTTGTTCCAATCTTCATGTGAATTGTGTTCTCCGTGTCCAGACTCCCGATACAAAGGAGTTTGCCTCCGCGCCGTACTGGATTTGTCAATTCTTATCAAGAGCATGTTCAATGGAACTGGAGGCTTACCAATATACTGGGCATCTTCAAACGTTTGATGAGTTCCAACAAAGTCAAGGACCGTATCGACTTTGCCGGAAAGGCCATTCTCCGCGATAAATTGCTGGGGAGCCGTCCCAATGGGAACCAGATCGCGAGGCGGAATGCCGAGCTTCTGTGCTTCGTCAAGCAGTTCCTGTCGGATATCCGAGACAATGACCCTGGCTCCAATGTGGATGAGAATCTGAAGAGCGTTGAGCCCTAAACCTCCAAGCCCGAACAGAAACACTGTCTCGTCCTTCGTGACTTGTCCTCGTCTAGTAATGGCATGATATGCAGTGTTGACTGCGTCTGTCGCAACAGCTGCTTCCGCCGGTGTAACGCCTGCCAAAGCTTTAGCTGAAATTCTTGTTTGTGCTCAGTGTCGTGACTATTACCTTTGGGTACTTTGACTGCGCCTCGTATGTCAATCGCTGCGTAAGGTGCATAAAAGCCGTCTTGACCAATGCCGGAGTGATGGCCTTTCTCACACAGCTGGGCCAAGTCACGCGAACATTCTGGGCAATCATCTTGCCCACAACCGGGGACTGCATGAAGGGCCACGACGTCGCCCTAAGCGTGCGATTAGCGGCGACATGAATTCCTTCAACTATAATGCTTACCACCTGAAACCTGCCATTCTGTACTTCGCTACCTATCCCAATGATCTGCCCACAGCCTTCATGTCCCTGCGCGATCATCGTCAGTTACAGCTGCATACTACCCTTAGACAGATATCATACCAAGATATACTTGTCTTCAAACCAGGCCGCTTGTTTGTCTATGGTTAAGAGAGAGTGGTCACTTCTGCAGACTGGATGACAGTCAGCATGTGTAACACACTGAAGAAGCGGCTACTCGTACCACCCGATGCCAGCATTTTACAGAGAATGCCATTAGATGGTAAACTGGGAACAGGAACTTGTTCATATACCTCGATGGCGTTAGGAACTATAGTTTTCTTGAAAGGCGATATCACGTACTGGCTTTGGGTTCCCTCGATGTTTCCTCCATGCCCACATAGTGGAGGGAACTTCTTCAAGATTTGAACTGGCCATGATGAGTTGTGAATAAATTCTGGAATCTTTTTCTCAGAACAGCTATACCCTGCGGCACAGGACCTGCATATCAAGAGGTGTCTAGTGCTTGGAATAGAGGTCACCTTCGCCGATAATTGGTAGAGAGATGATGCCGAGGTAACGTTTCCCGCCCAATAGCCTGAATCGCATTAACCAAGACGTGGGGAAAGTTGCCAGTCTAAGGCGGGAGTTTACCAAACCTGTGCTCTAACCGACCTGACACATATTGAATCGCGTACACATGAATAAATGACAGAATGATTGAAGCCGAGTTACCTAGCTGCCCGGCTAAATACAATCAACCCTATGAGGGCGCCATGGTAAGCACCGGGGTTGGGTCTCACTCTCGGTTATCTATTATAGGACTAGCTGCCAACACCATCACCACATATCAAGTGACTTAAGTGACTTCACTTCAAGCCGATGGTGTCCAAACACAGCAGAGCTCAACAGGTAGTCTGGGCACTCTCACTGCGCAGTAAATAACGCAAAACACGCCGAATTGTGACCGGTCCATCCGCCAAACGATCCAACATGGTGTTCTCCTCCCCTAGCTGGGTGCCTAGTTTGCCGATAGGTGCGTACATGTACCAATGATCTACATGCACCAGCATCAACCCCTCGCTGACAATCTACAGATCCTCCGGACTCGGTCTCAATCCAAGAGTTCATGCAGAACGAAGCATATGGCCGCTGCCCAATTGCCAAAAGCCGAGATCCATTTACTTGCGGAATCACTCATCGTACATACTCAACTTCTGAATTCTTCCAACGATCAGAGTACCTAGCCAGAGCCTTTGCTAAGCACCTGCAATGGCAGCCAAATGAGGGGACGCCCTGGGAGAAGGTTATGGCAATCTTCTCCTTCAACACCGTTCGTACCTTTGCTCTGAGTCCCCTAGAAATATATTTTAACCCAAAGCGCCCAGATTGATTTCGTAACGGCCATCTACGGAGTTCATCGTCTGTCGGGAATTGTCACGCCAGCCAATGCAGCATATTCCGCTGCTGAGTTGACGCATCAACTCAAGTCATCCGGAGCCAAGGCTCTAATTACGTGTACGCCTTTACTCCCAACAGCTCTCGAGGCGTCTCGCAGCGTTGGGATACCAGATGAAAACGTGTTTCTTTTTGACATTCCAGAGACTGAGCCAACTTCGCGTCTTTCACATGCGACAGTGGAGGACTTAATAGCTTCTGGTTTCAGGCTTGGCGAGATCGATCAGCTGAGATGGACTGGTGGCCAAGGTGCTCGTCAAACGGCTTTCTTATGCTTTTCAAGTGGAACATCAGGCTTGCCGGTAAGGACGCTCGAACTCAGGATGGAGATGTGGACTAACACTAATAACAGAAAGCCGTCATGATTTCCCACTACAACGTGATTGCGAACGTGCTGCAACATGTCACCTTTGACTCTGTTGCTAGAGCCAGAAAAGGCGTGACTACGCAGGCAGTTACAGGGTTTCTACCCTTTTCGCACATTTACGGTCTCGTCATTGCTGCGCACACGAGTACATGGCGAGGTGACCAAGTCGTTGTTCTTCCCCGATTTGACTTCCACAACTTTCTCAAGTCAGTCCAGGACTTCAAGATCAGACAGCTACTGGTGGTAAGTATAAACACGAGCTACCAGACTGAATCACTAACCAGCCGGCCTAGGTGCCCCCCATCATTATCCAAATTCTGCGATACAAAGAAACGTGTGCCAAGTTCGATCTGAGCAGCGTGAGGTTTGTTTTCTGTGGGGCAGCTCCTCTCGGTGAAGAAACCATTCGAGACACGAAAGAACTATTCCCGCAATGGACTATAGCCCAGGCTTACGGTTAGTGTTCACGAACGACCCCCCGCAGGTCAAGAACTGGTCTAATAGAAATAGGCATGACGGAAACTGCCACGGTCGTCACAGCGTCAAGTGAAGATGACGTGCTCACCAAAGGCTCTGGCTCCTTTCTACCAGGTGCAAAAGGAAAGATAATAGATCTAGAGGGCAAAGAAGTCACTGAATATGACAAGCCTGGGGAGCTTCTCGTCCAGGCTCCTTCTGTTGTGTTGGGCTATCTGAACAATGAGAAGGCCAACGCAGAAACTTTTGTTCACCATTCAGACGGTAGATGGATTCGCACAGGAGACGAAGCGCTGGTCACTCTCGCGCCATCAGGCAACGAACATGTTGTGATTGTTGATAGGATCAAGGAGTTGATCAAAGTCAAGGTGAGTGAGCATTATATCTGTACGAAACAGAGACTGACAATTACAAGGGTCATCAAGTAGCACCTGCAGAGCTCGAGGCCCATATACTGGCGCATCCTCACGTCTCTGACTGTGCAGTGATCCAGATACCCGATGACCACTCAGGGGAGGTACCCAAAGCTTTTGTTGTAAAGAGTTCACTGGCTGTGTCATTAACCGATGACGAGTTGGCGAGCGATATCATGAAGCACGTGGCAGACCACAAGGCTTCATACAAACAGCTAAGAGGAGGAGTCCAATTCCTAGAGCTCATTCCTAAAAGTCCAAGTGGAAAAATTCTTCGCCGACTATTAAGAGACAAAGAGCGCGATGCAAGGAGAGCCAAGGGGTCAAGGTTATAGATTTTATAGAAACCATCACATCACTCAACCTGCTTAGAATTTATGTAGGCACTGCTGCATCCCTACTATCTCTAAAGCTAACTGTTTGATTCTCGTCACTTAAAGCAACCATATTTTTCCATCCAAACATAAATACTCTAAATCGGCCCAACTTATGCTTCATTAACTATGCCTGGTGGTGTGCATAAGATCTCAGTGGCTTATGACTCTGTCCTCTCGAGATTCGGGAACTCATGGCGGTGGTATCGGAAGATTGGGCTGAAGAAACCTCTTTAATGAAATGCCCTCAGCTGCTATCGACATGCTCTAACTCTAAGTGGACTGGCTGCCGAGAACATGACAGTTGAAACATGACAGCAGTCCGAAACGATTGGCTAACCGGCAGGCAGCAGAGCAAATTTGCAGGGAGTATGTCACCGATCGTGAATTTCAGGTGAACCCAGCACTTACTGCGCCAATCAAGTCTTGGAGTCACTCTCGAGTTGCCGTTCTAGGCCATCAACGGATACGAGCAAAAGTTTTCAGTTGCTTGACTAGACCAGAAAGTTAAATACATCGTAGTTCCAGTATTAACGTCTTGTAACGAAATCTTTACTGCCCGCAATCTGGTCTATAAGATACCTCTGTGAGCAGTGTGAAAGCCATGTCCACAGAGCCTTGTCCGTGGGAGGAGACCCTCATCATCGCTGCCGCCAATGGAGACACCACGACACTATCAGAAGAGCTGAAAAAAGGCAAAGATGTCAACTGTCGCGATACAGAGTTTGGGCGAACAGCATTGTCCTGGGCTGCCGAGAGAGGACACACCGGCGCTGTCCAGATCCTTCTTGATGCGCAAGCCAAGGTTGATACTCCCGATGCCCTTTTCGGTCGCACACCCTTGACCCAGGCCGCGGCCAATGGGCACGTCGATATGACGGAATTACTTCTACGAAGCGGCGCCGACTTCAATGCTTGCGATACTTCGGGCGAGAGGCCTCTTCTACAAGCGTCCCGCAAAGGGCACGCCGCTGTCGCGAAGCTCTTGCTCGAAGCAGGCGCGGACCCCAATGTTAGAGCGTGGAAGAAAGGGCAGACTTCCTTGTCATTGGCTTCAATATACGACCATATTGACGTCGTCCAGGTGTTGCTGGACTACGGTGCCAACATCGATCTTGAAGACGATTGCAACTGTGAACGCACCCCGATGATCTGGGCCGCGATCAATGGCCACGAGGCCATCCTCAAATTGCTGTTGGAGCACAAGGCCAGCCTGGACAGTGAAGACAGTAAGCGAGGCATGTCTCCCTTGGCATGGGCCATCACAGAGGGAGAAGAAGGTGCCACTGCCCTTTTACTCGAAAGCTCTCTAAAGGGCCCCGTGCAATTCTCAGCTCTCCAAGCCGCAGCTACCACCCCCGGTAATAGTAAGATTCTTTCGAAGCTGTTGGACGGATGGGACGTTGACGTCAACGGACGGGACTATGGAAGTTATACGCTGCTCGCGTTGGCCGCCAGGCATGGGTGTGATGAGCAATTCCGAGTGCTTTTGGATAGAGGCGCAGATCCTCACGTCTGTTTTACCGACGAAAGAACAATCATTTCATTCGCTGCCGAAGGTGGCGCTTTAGAATCCGTCAAATTGTTGTTGCAGAGCAGTACAGATGTCAATCACCAAGATGATGTTGGAGCATCGCCTCTGTCTCGGGCCGCAGCGGAAGGAGAACACGAAGTAGTGAGGATACTTGTTGAAGCTGGTGCGATGTTAGATGCTCAAGACAAAAAGGGGCGTACAGCACTTTTCTGGGCTGCAAGAAAGGGACACTCCGACGTTGCGAAGGTTCTCATTGACAACCGCGCAGATCTGGATCTGGCGGGCAGCGAATGGGGAAGGACGGCCCTCCATTTTGCAATTGAGAGAGAAAATGTCGAAGTAGCCAAGCTGCTCATTACTGCCGGAGCCTCTCTAAATATCAAGGACGGAGAGGGACGTGCGCCACTGTCTTATGCCGCTGAGCAAGGCCTCGAAGACGTTGTAGCCCTACTTGTCGAGAAAGGCGCCGACGTAAATATGTCCGATGATACCGAAGATGACGGCATGTGGGATACCATGGTGCCCTTGTCCTGGGCCGCAGCAAATGGCAATGGAGCTGTGATCAGAATTCTGCTGGCACATGATGCCTCTGTGAACCCAGATATTGAAGGGAGACCACCTTTGATGCACGCTTTCCAAGAAGAAAAGGACGAGGCCATGCAATTACTCCTCGAGCATGGTGCAAACCCGTTCGGTGGCGATTTCAGTGACGAATGTGTCTTGAGAGGAGTGGCAAAGTGTGGTCTGAAGGATATAGTGGCACTTTGTCTCAGACAAAATGCCCCCTCCGTAGAGGTCAGGCAAGAATCAATCTGGTGGGCTCTCGTCGAAGCCTCACATAACGACCATGCAGAGGTAGTGGAGTTGTTACTTCAGCAAAACCCTTTTAGTTTTCCAATCGCGGACTTGACGCCGTGGGATCTCGCGGAGGACGAGGAGGTGCTGCGTCTTCTACAGCCGTATCGGAAGGCCATGCGGAAGCGTGTAGAGCGGGAAGACTGAACAGATAGATATTATACATTAGACTGCGCGTGGTTCCAGATTGAATGAGTACTATCTAAATAACTAAGTAACTTATATACCTCAGGACGAGTCTTGGGCAAGCGTCAGATATGGATAAGTTCGACGAGTCTGCCATGTATATGTAGAATAGAGAATAATAGAGGCTATGATGCCTCCATAGCTAGTGGAAACAGTGTATGAAATCTTCGGCTCTAAAATACATTGTGATCGTGCAGTAGGAGTATCATGTTCATCATTAAATCGAAAGGGGCTTTTTCTCCCATACCGGAGAGATTTTGATAGAAGGTTAAAACAAAAGAAGATATCAGATCCAACAACTTAATGCAATCAATACGAAAGGTTAATAATTAAAAAAAGCTTCACCTGTTTCTCCTATTAAAACTCTAATTAAGACTCCTTGCTACTTAAAAGTGATGTTAATTTTTTTAATTACTCCTATTGATCTATGTTAGAGTAGGTAAGATATACTCGGCCATGGTTTAATAAGACGGGAGAGCTAGACTACAAAGTCAAAAACAACAATAGAAGATGCCAGATCCGGCGCTAGTCTAAAAATAAAGACCGAGATAAAGTCCTTTCAGGGAATTCTAAATCATTCTTAACTACCAAAACATGATTGTATTTTCTCTCGCCTTGTAGCCTTTCTATGAGTGTCCACTGGGGCTGCTCAAGCCTCACTCCGTCAGCGTCTATAGGCTGACCAAGGGACTGATTTGATACGTCACAATGAGACTGACCTGACCAATGTGCTGTCGACAAGTGTCGGGGCCTGATGTATAAAGCACGTGAATCACAGATTATTTCAAGGCGCCAACTTTGGAGAAGCATAAACCTGTTGCATGATCTTGATGTCGCTACGTGGACGTATCCAGACCGACGCCGATTATTCGTGCTTCTGCAAGATACTGCATGATTTCTGGCCAGAATCGTTACATGAATCATGGCTGCAGCCGCGCCTGACATAATACAGGAGGCCTTCGCCAAGGCGGCCCGTGAATTTCAAAAAAGCCTCAATAACGACAAGCTGTATCGGGAGATCGTGAAGACGCAATCTGTTGATGATTTTTATGATGCAACCGACAAGCTTCAAGCAGAGCAGGCTAAGACGGGCCGCCTCAGGCACTTATCAAAAATCCGGCCCTATCTTAACAGGCTTGAAGATTTTTGCGATGCAATCAACATCTTTCATGTTAAGCCAGAGATTACAGCCGTCTTGTGGGGACCAATACGACTTCTCATTCAACTGACCAGCACTCTAACGCAGTCTTTGGATGCAATCATCAACATAACTGGCGAGATTGGCAGCCTATTACCCGAGTTTAAATTGATGGCAACGTTGTTCTCCGAGAACCAAGTCATCAAAGACGTTGCCGTTTTATTCTTCCGCGATATACTCGACTTTTATCTCATCGCACTCAAATTCTTTGGAATGAATCGTAGGTTCTGATATCTGACGCCCTCGAGATGGCGCTGATGATGTGATTTGATAGGCTGGCGTTACCTGTTTGAATCAGTATGGCCCAAACAACGAGAAAAGATCAAGATTGTGACGGGCTACATCGAAAGGCACGCATCACTCATGCGTAGAGAAGTCCAATATGAACAACTTCGAGGCGAGCACAAAGCCCGGCAAGAAGCCATCGAGCATTTTGAACAGACTGAAAAGATCGAAAGGCGGCAGGAATTCGACAGGGCCATGACGAGACTCAACCCTACCTTTTACTACCGTGATTTCGACCGCATCTGCGACTTAACATATGCGGGAACAGATAAATGGCTGCTCGAGCATCCATTAGCATCTAAGTGGCTTGATACAACAGAGCGTTCTTCTAACTTGCTCTGGCTAAGCGGAATACCAGGCGCTGGCAAAACGTTTCTTGCCGGAGCTGCCATAAAAGCCGGCCGCCACAGACACAAAACTGCGTTTGCCTTTCTGAGCCATGCACACACGGCCACCACGTCTGCCCTATCGGTCATCCATTCTATCATCATCCAGTTTGCTGTAGAAGACGAAGACTTACAGTCCCTTGTCAGCCAGGCCTCAACAACTGAACTGAAAATGAATCTTGATTCAGCTGCTAAACTTCTTCGAGATTTGGTCCAATATATCGGCCCGAATTACATTGTCGTCGATGGCATAGACGAAATAGTTCAAAGAGAACAAACTCGATTACTAAGAAAGCTGGTGGATTTATGCCAAGACTGCCATGAGACACGGGTGCTTATCTCAAGCCGAGGCGAGGATCACATCACTAAAGTCTTGGAGCCAAAGGCCTCTGTTATTCGTGTGCACGAGCAAAACTCTGAAAGCATTGGCATTTTTGTCACTCAGTGGACCAAGCAATGGCTTCAGAACCGCGATTTCCTTCCTGAATACCAGCAAGAAATTGAGAGCTTGCTTGCACCTCTCTCCTCGAAAGCTGAAGGTTCCGAGCCCTTGTTTTTTTTCCAGTCCCCTTATTGGGGAAAAAGGAACCATTTACTGACTTTGTATCTTCCCTCCAGGCATGTTCCTGTACGTCCGGATTATGATAAGTTGCATTGAGCCACTGAGTGAAATACATGAGATCCGTGACGAGCTACGAGTGCTACCTGAGAGTTTAGAAGAAGCCTATGGAAGAATATTCCGGCGAATCCATAGTTATCAGTCCCTTGCGGCCCAGGCAAAATGTCGAGCCCTTCTCGGCTGGATTTGCTGCTCTCCGATGCCAATGACACTTCGCGAGATAGAACAGGCACTCCTAGTGTCTTCGAATCCACAAGGCCCTTGCCGAGTGTCTTCGACTTTGAACATTTTGGAATTGTGTGGCCCTATTGTAGAAGTCATCGATGGCTTCGTGAACGTGGTGCATTTCACTGTGAAAGAGTGACTAAACCCAAGATACCGCATGACATAAAATCGACATGCTAACTATGATCGCAGATACATAACAAGTCCGTCAATTGAAAACTTCATCGACATTACCGAATCCAAACTTTCCCTGGTGCTATTCTGCATAAGATATCTCTGCCAAAGTCATCACGACATACCTATGGATGTGTCCGATTTCCGTACCAGATTCATAGCTGGTGACTATCGGCTCCATTACTACGCCTCCACCATGTGGCTTGACCTTGTGGTTGATTATCTTCAGCAAAAGGAGCCGGAAGGAGTGTCACCGGAACTCATTGCGGCTCTCAATACCCTAATGGAAACAAGAAAAAACGACAATTTTGATGCTAGTAATTTGTTGAATGGTAGGTGGCACTCTCCACTACAGAAGTTACAGTCCATCAACGAAAGGTTGTTTGACTTTGTGAGACATTTCTCACAGTTGTCACACAAGCGCAGCTCACTTCATCTGCAATTGAGTGAAGGTATGTGATAAAAACAGAGCTGGGCGAGTCTTGGCAGAGGAGATTACTAACACCAAGCCTAGCAAAGTCTTGGGTGGTCTATGATACAACTACAATACATTTTACGTCGGGCCTCTTGTATAAAGAGATTGATGAGGTGATGTGCAATGATAAAGGGCATGTTGAGAACTGCCATTGCACTATTATCAATCGACAATACGGCGATCGGGTGTTCAAGTGTGACTATCTTTCATGTCCAGGTCGACGCATTGGCTTTGGATCTAGGGGTGTGAGGGCTTCACACCACGAAAGTCATTCACCTGCTTGGAAATGCGATCGCCCGTCTTGCCATTACTCAAAACTTGGGTTTCTTTCGAAGAGAATGAGGGACGATCACCAACACAGTCATCTCGAGGAAGATCCCACGGAAACGGCCTTGTTGCAACAGGATACAGGACAGCATCACGCTCCCTTAAGTGAGGTTGTACATTTCAACCGAATATCCGAGATGGAAAACAGACTGCGCGAAGCGCGACATAATTCAGAGATATTGAAGGAAGCGCCACCCCTCATTGCCAAGTTCGGGTCCTGGGAAATGACCGAATTGGCTGCACCAGTACTAGGTGACAACCTCTTCCACCAGGCTGCAAAGGTTGCAATGGAGTCTGGGGACAACGACAAAATGGAATGGCTCGTCGACAAAGCGGAAATATTCGGTTTCAGTTTCGAGATATTTACCATCAAGTCGTGCCCAGATGCTCTGATAACAGCAATGGAAACCGAATACATATCGATGCGCGACTGCTATAAGCATGGTGTCTGGAAGCTATATGGGTCGCGAGGCGCAAGAGATTGCAGATTTGCACTAGAATGCTGCTTAACAGCACGTGTATTTGCTGCAACTAACCTCAGCACCGATCGAGAGGACTTTCTTCTGGACATTTGTGATGAATTGGCCTTGAAAGCTGGCTTACCGGGGGCACGCAATAAAGCGCAAACTATGCTTCGACGGGCATTGGAATATCTAACTAAAACGACCTACTCTATACGGCTTGGCAAAGCATTGTTGAAATACGGGGCTGATGTCAACGCAAGATTCTACCATCGTCCTACCCCACTACAATTCGCTTGCCAACAGTCCTCTTCAGCGGCCGCTGAATTCGCCAAGTTTCTGCTTTATGAGGGAGCTGATACAGATGCAGATTGGTTTAAAGGAGAAACTGCTTATCAGATGATCGACCTAGAGGGGGCCAAGAACATTTCACAGTGGCTTGGCATGAATTGGGAGGATTTAGTTGAAAGGGTCAAGAAAGACAGAGAAGATGGAATATTGTATCCCGGGTCTTTTCCGACATCAAATGAAAGAGATTGATATATGACACAAGAGATTTGGTGAGTTAGAGTTATCCTTTCCTAATTCACAAGCGATTTATCTATCTACAACAATATTCTTAGCTCCCCAGTACGTGGCATAATTTCTATTAATCAGTCAGCAAGCTACCATAGCGGGGGCTTAACAAGAAGATGGCACCTCTATTCTCTCGTCCATGACACCTGTCAGTGAGGCTGAAGAGCTTAGGGAACGCTCGATGAGACGGATCTTGTTCCTTTGTATCCATTGAACGTACTACAGATAGGGGTTAGATGAAGGGCCTCAACGGAAAGAGCCGGACGTACTGTTTCGATGGAATCACGAGTAATATATTTCTTTATCATCACCTCTCTCTGTTGACCGATTCTGTGGATACGATCAACAGCTTGAGCCTCGGTCATTGGATTCCAGCTGGGTTCCAGCAGGTGAACAATGTTGGCCGCAGTAAGATCAATCCTAATTTCGGATGTTGTTAGCCGTGTTTTTATATCCAGCAGATCATCGCAAAATAAATAACAAAATAAAAATGGGCTCTTATACCCTTCACCAGCGCTTCCAACAGTCGCTAATAGTACAGTGCAATGCGAATCTCCACTGAAGACATCGAGAGCATGTTTACGTCCGGTCAGACTCGTCTGTCCGTCAATCCGCTGGAACTTAATATCTGTTTTTTCGAGCTCTTTTTGAACGAGATCAAGCGATTTAGTCCATGTGCTGAAAACGACACTATACGGTTCAGTTATTATTGTTTTCTTATGAGCCACCGAATCAAGGGTAAACCTACCTTTTAACCGGGCCGCGGCAATCATTCATAAGGAGTGATCGGTCTCTATGAAGGTTTTCAATCAATAAAGCCAGCTTTGCGCCGCCCTCGCCTAGCTGACTGGCAATTCTAAGAGGAGATGAAACTCCTCTCGGTGTAGTCGAGCAGTTTGGACATATTGATTCCATTGTGGGTTCAATATGTTCCCTAGAATCTAAACAAACCCAACACGCGATATGGTGGCATGAAAATTGGCGGCACGTCCCCAACTGATATTCTGGTTTCTCACACAGCACGCAGTCCATTTCGACAGTCTGCATCATCTTCAAATCAACCGAATCGGCATCCTTATTCTTCCAGGCCAATAATGCCGAGGTTGAAAGCAAGCTTTCTCCCCCATTGCAAATCATTCGCAACAAACCAATAAGCGACAAGATATTGCTCTCCTTCTGTTTTTCCGCATGACCTGGCGAGCTTGGACCCTTAGAGCTTGGACCCTTGGTAATTGTTTTTTCGAATGTCCCTTGGGCCAATTTAGCAGCTCTAGACTCAAAAAAAGTATAGAGCTTCCTATGTTGTGGTGTGAGGTCGACAGAGATTGTCTCTTCAGATTTACGGGGAAGTGACACGCCCAAGTCAGCAGACTGCTTTGTCCGTCGTAGGGAGGTCGCTGAGATGAGAAGCTCCAGCCGCCTTAGGCTACTTGGGTCGTCGACCTTGTTTGGCTCAGCGATGTAGCGTCGAAATATTTTCATTTCCATAAGCTTAGGCACTTTGACAAAGCTGAGGAGTGCTCCAAGGTCATCGAGTGAGTTATGAATCGGTGTCCCAGTCACGCACCATCGACGTAAACCGTTCAATTCACAGGCTGCTTTGAACGTTTGAGAGGACCGAGAGCGTATGTGATGAGCTATTGGAGGCAATCATCAGTATTATGAATGGCAGCCTATAATAATGGGGCATGTTACCCTCATCTAAAATGACACGATGCCATTTTTCGGAGTAGAGGGACCCCTTAGCCACCCAATCGCGACGCATAGTGCCATATGTAGTGAAAACAATATCCTGTTCACCCAAAGTTTTCAACTTTTTTTCCTTGTTTTGGCCATGATAAATGGTCCATGTTAACTGTCCAAGGTGAACATGCCTAACAAGCGGAAATGGTTAATGGAATTCTCGTCTGTTGCCTCAGTGCTTACCTTTTGCATTGTAGCTCCCAATTATGTATTGCTAAGAGCTGTTAGAAAAAATCGGTGCAAGCTTGTTAAATGATTGGCGCATACTTGACAGTGGTGTTACGACCAAAGTTGCTCGCGACCCTCCACGTCCTGTACCAGGCCCCTTTATTTGAGTTTGGAGGTCCAACGATCCACAAACAAGCGCGAGCATGCTGAGTGTCTTCCCAAGACCCATCTCCTATAAGAGTTGCGTGAGTGAGACATGCATAAGCAGGTAGAACTATCTCAAGAGATGCTCACGTACATCAGCTAAAATGCCACCGTAGAACGGAGTGGGCTTCTTCATTCTATTTCCAGTGATCCGATGAAAGAAACTAGAAACTTAGTGGAGATCCTCATGGAATAGGAAGTTCACAATGATCACGTACTGTTCTCCGTGGGGCTTCCAAAGTGAGGGGGTTTCGTTGTGGGTAACTTGGCCTGACTCCATCGTCCATAGCCAGTTTGCAGCCTCAACTTGATGTCTACAAACACCCAAACACGTCTCTTAGCCAAATCATCATACCTTTGGGAGGGAACCGAGGCGTTACCTATTCAAAATACTTTTGAGTCGGGGACTAGTTGGGAATTCAAACTTCGTGAAAGAATGAGTAGCTTGATCGAAGAGTCTCATGACATGAGCCTTGCTATATTCGTCCATTGTATCCAGTTTAGCTCCCTCAGTATTAGATTCTATGCTGAGAAGCTCGAGACTCGGCATTTTTGACCCTGGGCGCAAAAGGAGGTGCGGATTATGATAATCCATGCTTGGTTCCAAATCTTTAGCGCTTGGGTGCTGGAGACAAAACGACGAATCGCCCAAGGCGTTTCCTATAGCGTCAGCCTCTGACTTGTATCCGTACACAACTAGTCTCAGTTCGCGTTTTCCGGAATATTTGGAACACGTGCCGTGCTCCGATGGTGCTCTTATTTTGCCGTCGACGCTGATTGATTTTCTCTGAAGGAGCTGAGCCAGTATTTCGCTCTTCACAAATCCAGCATACTCCCCAGAGCTCTTTAATTGGAGTCTGAGAATAGCTTTACTGTGTTCGACTGAAACAGGCGATTCTAGAGACTTTTTGTTTCCATTGTATTCGGAGATGGCGCTTACTGTGATCTATTGGTCTGTAAGGCCATACGCACCGCGCAACTATTCAGCATGGAATTCTTACCACGCCAAAACATGTGTCATGTGGTGGAGGAAGTTCCTCATTTGAGACGTTTGGTCTAGTATCCTCAATATCGTTATGTTCCTCCATCGGTGTTTGCTGAGGAGCCTTCTCCAGTGAAGCTTTGCCGTACTCGATGTCGGCAAGGAACGGCTCTGTCCCGGTGTATGAGATGGTTTGAGTTGCATCGTCTGGATTTTGAAATACATTCATCAAGCAGTCCATGCTTAAACACGCGTCAAAGCCTTCGTTTGGCCCACTGGCTCTGTCAAAGTCAAACATGGCTAGCTCTGCTTCAGTCAACTGATTGTTACCCGCAAGACAGGGCCGTTTGGCCGCATCATCGGTGACTTCTTGTTCATCGTGTCCGTCATGGGGACCGTGTCTTTTGGACCCGGTGACCCAATCTGCCATGATCACACTTGTTGCTAGTCAGTGCGTGAGGTTCCAGGAGCAAGTGTGAAAGGATGAGATGGTCAGACGGTAGCAACTGTGAGCCGTCTACGGCACCTCAGGTCGGGGCGCAGCAGTACATAGCAGCCTAATATGATGCCTTACTGCACAGCCACCGCCAGCAACATATGCCCGTTATACCCACCGTTTTCTACACTGTAAGCGAGCCTGCTACCTCCTTCAGGGCGCATTGCTTAGTGGATCACCTTGGTGACCTATCACATCCAGGATCCGCTGGACACCCACCACCTTGTAGCTCGACATGTAATGGCCAACTTGACTTGTGTGAACCGTTCAAATGAGTTTTTGAGGACAAAAAAGTGCATCATCCAGTGCGTGGGATCTCACGAAGCCCCGAATATAACGAAAGCATCTCGGCAGATCTAACTGCAATAAATAGAAAATATCAACAGGCTATCTACCAACACCATCCAAACATGTTTAATTATAAGACAGATGAAGTTCGAGTAACAAGTTAAAACCCAAAGATGCCAAACCAAAATCTCGACAAAATGAATACGCTCCTTAAGCCTAAGCCTAAATCATTCCAATCTTTCAAACATCACCCATCAGCCCAGAAAAGCCACCATCAAAATCACACTGATCGAGCAGATGCCACCGAGGCTCAACATGGGGCGGATTGTTCGCGAGGCTGCTGAAGTTCCAGATGCGGTTGTTGACGGCGCAGCAGTCGTTGACCCAAGCCCGAATCCAAATGTTGTTCTTGAGGTCGCAGTCCGGCTGTTGATTGAAATCGGTGTAATAGCTGCTTGGCTTCCTATGACACTTGTCGAGGTTGACAATGTTGTAGAAGTTGGTTTCGATGTAGGTGTCGCAGACGATGATGTTATTGTCTTGAATTTAGTCGTCGTGGCAGTTGATGTCAGCCTGGGTGTTGAAGTTGGTTCAGGTACTGAAACTGGGAAATGAGTTAGTTTAGAGATTCATCGCAAAACGACGTGATTGTAGCCGGGAAACGGCATGCATGTGCAACTTACCTGGAAATTTAGTGCGATACAACGTCGCCGGGATAGGAATATCATTATCTGTAGGCATGCAATCATAAACCAAGAGACTGGTGGCTGTGGCGCTCTGACTCTCGAAAATGGTAAATTTACCACATTTATTAACACCAGTGCTGTTTTTTTTTAGCTTTTTAGTTACCAAATTAGGCAGGCATATCAGAAATACTCACCATGCTGAACTTGATTGCTTTGGATATTGTACGTAATTATTGGAGCATCCTGTAGGTAAAACGACAGTAGAAGCCGCGGTTCTCCAACATCCCGCAAAGGTTCCAGAACTGGTATATGCGGATTGACTGTCGCAGTATACGAATGCCCCTATATGATAGAAATGGTTACCAGTCAGCCAAGGGATTGGATCATCTTGAGGGGAGAGAGAAGTAGCTGACAATTATCGACACCAGGCATAGAAAACCACGCCACGGTTTGTTCCTCTTTGACATCGTCTCTCACATCAAGTGTGGGAGCAAACGTGGGGGCAGCCGTTATGGTTTGGGAGTTAATGTCCACAGCCGGTAACAGTGGCGAGGCCATCATCAATATTGAGACTGCACCATGGGCATGATATTGAAGAGACAAGAAAGTGAAGAAACCTAAAAGGCTTTTAGAGGAGAGGTTGATGGAAGAACGCATGATAGTTTGAGGTTTTGTAGTAATAATGGTGAAGTGGGTGAGCATGGAAAGCGTGTAGGTAGCTTCCATTTGCTTGAGGACAGAAGGAATCATTTATACTCCAAGATCCACGGACGGCATCACTCGCGGATCACCAGATGCGGCGCTTATTCGAAATAGAAATCGACTGGCCATGTCTGCCTTGCCTTTCCCCCGCGATATTTTGGGGTCCAGAAGGGGCGCAATGGATTGCAAGCCAGGTGAAAAACAATTTGACAACCAACATGCATAAGATGGAACAGCCTAAGAGTGAACCCCCATCGATGCTGCTCGAGCTAAGCACCAACAGTCTGTGGGCCAACCGGGGTTGTAACTAGATTCTCTTTTTCTCTGAGCGCGTACAAGTACAAACAGTAGAAGCTTACTTCAAATGAGTCAGTTCAGCAAGGAGATAGTGGAGATTATTATATGACTGCTTTAATCAGCTTTCTTTTGACAGCTTCAAGCCAGTTGCTGATAGAGTGCTCCTTGTTAGATGTCGAACCACGCTCGCAAGGATTTCAGCCCTCTTCGGCAGCAGAATGGACCCCAAAGACGCATCCCTGGTCTCGACCAGTGAGAGTCGTATTCTGTAGACCAACAGTTGACAGGGGCAGATTCCTTCATCCACACAAGTGCCCTTCAGTGGGCCAAGTGCCGAGCAAATGCAACGCACTTGGCGCTTATTCTGTCCATCCCGCCAATGAGATCCTGGGAGTCGCCAGCGCTTAGCCAGCCCATCGTTAAAGCTTGGTCTAATTTCCCAGACTTCATGCTCTTGCTTCGGCGCCAAAAGCCGATGTAACGAGTTCTGCGCTTGCGGGGACACACCAGGATCCAATCTTGGGGGCTTACACACCAACACACTCAAGGGGATCAATTCCAGCTTGAGCACATCAGTGGAGGCAGTGACATCAACTTCCAAGGTGTCACCCACATCGAATGCCAGGAATGACTATCCCCAGTTGAGTCACATTGTCAAAGCAAGCAAAAAGAGAACAAGGCGTGGTTTCGCCCGGGCTCGAACCGGGGACCGTCTCGGTATTAACAGAATATGTTAGCGAGAAATCATGACCAACTAGACCACGAAACCATGAGGCTGTCTCTTGGAAGCGTGGCGGCGTGAGGACATGTTCATATCGTCGAAGAGGATCATCGTCTTCGCGGCTGCCCACCTAGGAAGTGTTCAATCCGTATCCGGAATATGCAAGCTCAAGATGTTGTCATTGAGACCCTTTCCCGCTTCGACAGGCGTCTGTTCGTAATTTCCTAAGAAAAACTCCCATGAACAGAGTCATTTACTCCCAAGTTTGTGCAGTCTATGTAGGTGAGACATCACAACCATAGGCATATGAAAACGAACCAAAGCGTCCAATGATAGCAAGCGCTACATATTTCTGTAACTACTCTAATCAACCAAGTACTGGTTATTGATGTTTTCAAGGACAGCGTCCTCCAACGGCGTCCATCCATCCTTATCAGACCACTTCTTTAGGAGAACGATGGAGCCCGACTGGTCGACCGATATCTTCAGATGTTGAGGGTCAGGGTAGTCGTCAATGAATTGCTTCTGTGGGCGAATCTTGCGGAGAATAGCCAAGACATCGTTCCAGTGGATACTATGTCCCCAGGACTGCAAACGCGCATTCTTGATCTCGGGATCCAGAGTGGCTCCAACATGTATCGCTGCCACGTCCTTCACATCACTAAGGAAGGCTACACGACATCAGATCAGACGACCAAATTCAAACGTCTCAAGTCAAGGGAAATTGGATTCTTACAAGCAAGCCTTTGGTCCATGACCTGCGTATTGCCTCTGAAGGCGTGAGCAACCCAGTTGGCCGGTCCGTCAATGTGAGCCTTGGTGAGGGGTTCACCCATCAGTCCCGCGGGGGACACAACGTTGACCGTGAAAGGAAGATCGTTCTCCTGCACAAACTTCCACACTTCCTTCTCAGCAGCAACTTTGCTAGCGGCATAATTGGCCATGGCGTGGGATAATCCATAAGGGGGCGGGGCCCAGGCAGCCTCGAGGGCGGCGTCGTTCCATGAGTCGCGCCCGATAGTGCCGTTGTCAATGTCCTGAGTCAGAGCTGAAGCAGACACGGCGCTGCCAGTAAACACGATCCTTTTCACGGATGGTTCTTTCATGGCTGCGTTCATGATAGACCTGATGCCGTTTACTGCCGGGGTAATCACTTGGTTGGGGTCAGGGACGATGTTGGTCACGTAGGCTGTATCCAAAATAGCAGCAACGCCCTTGACGGCCTCATCGTAGGCTCCATCAGCCCCGAGGTCGGGCACAGCTACTAGCTTGATGGCACCGCCTTCTGCGTAGGATTTGAAGGGACCTTCAAGAAGCCATGAAGCTCTATTAACGTCTCGAACGGCACCTCGGACTCGGAAGCCACGCTTCAGGAACTGGAGGGCGATGTGGGAGGCGAGGAATCCAGTGGCGCCAGTTACAAGAACCCAAGAGCCGTTGGGAATGGTTGTGTCTAAAGAGGACATGATGTTGCTGATATCGAGATGGACTGTGTGTACAAATGGACTGTATCAAAGTAGATGCTTGTTGGCTTAGGGAACAGAGTTAGGTTCGATGCCTCTTTATAGCTTTTCTTCGCCCCATGACGACATGGAATCCAGACTGTGCTTACAGATCAGTCCAAGTTAATACTGATCAGTCTGATGTACATGGAGGGGAAGAAACTTCTGCTTAGCAAGTCATGAAGCTTGGTTTACATCACTGAAGACGAGTGTCAATGCAAGGAGGGCTCTGCCGAGCTAGCATCTCCCGATCAGGAAGTCATACTTCTTGGCATCGGAATTTGTCATGGGATGGACCCTACGATAGATCGAGAGTCATTTTTAGCATAAGATACAACTCTAGTGGCCCACATCTTATAGAACGGGACAGGCGTTACAACTGAGCAGCTACCCCTCAGTGGCTCTTTGTTCCATCCTTTGGTCTAGACGCCGTAATTCTCTCAAAAACACATGGTAAATTCTCTCCAGTAAACTTGATAGACCAATCGATCTTGGGCCACCGCTAAACTCCACCATAGCAAGCACACCTTGCAAGTGTTTCCGAGCAATACTTTCTTCTCCGGAATTCATCTACAAGTCATTATCTTAGCTATTTGATCCTGTATATCACGTAGCGGATGCAAACTATGTTCATCGGGCTCACCTCATCTATCGCGAGTGCTAATGCTTTGGCAACACTCATGGCATTGATGCCTGTCGGCGTACTCTCAATTTCCGAGCGCAATGAGCGGAGGGATATCTGCTGGTAGCACAGAACCATTCGCATGAAGAACGGGTCGCCAGGCCGGTTATGTAAAACGTAGCGACATGTGCTGAGCAGAATAGCAGCAGTCATGAATATGTCGTCATTAATAGCAAGGCCCACCCAGTCTCGGAGCATCTGATTCTGGTGGTCGCCGGCATGATCAAACAGACGACAGTGTCCGATGGAGTACGGCATAACAACCTGGACATCTACGATCAAGTCAGGCAAATAACAGCAGAGGTTTCGCGGTTAGGCATTTGGCAGAAGATGCCCGGCGTAATGAATAAATCTAAATCCAAAAGGGTGAAAGGTATCTGTGGACATACAGTAATCCAGTAGGAAGTATTCTTCGGATGATAAAGGTCGTGCCGAGGACGAAAATGGATCCCCACTGGTAGCGAATCTTGGGATTGGAGGACTAGACAGTCCAATCTGTGAGGTCGTCTGGTCCACATTAATGCCGGCATTTATCAATTCATCCCGGTATCTTTGGGTTCGTAAGCGTCGTTTCCTGGCATGAACATGGCGCATGACATGTGAATGGTTCGACTTTCGAGATTCAGAGGACACTCGTTCCGTCGGCGTCGAGGCGCTGACGAACTGAAAGCGACGTGCCATAATCAGTTTCTTATTCATATATTTACAAGTGAATCCTCTTTGTTAGATATTTGCATTGCAGCTAAGGTGAAGAAAGCAGGCGACAAGAGAGTTTAGAAATATGAAAGCGCGTCTCTGTTGATGGATTTGTCAGAAGCGGGTCGTGCCAAGCCTTATGACTTCCAAATTCGGACATACTAAAAATACTGAGCCAATGGCCCAAAATCAGAAAGACAGAGGCCAGACACGTCACGTGGTTCAATATCTGTTTGTCAGCAGACGCTGGTCTCTGACTGGTGGTGACTGGGATCGTGACTAACTCATTTAGATGTAGCATCAGAGAACTTACCCGGGATCGCAACTTCGGCGACTTTTCAGCGAACCAAAAGACAGCAAGACGCGTGGCAAATGAGTCGCAGAGTAACATGCTACATCTACGCTATTAAACTGACTATCCAGGCATAAAGAAATAAAATTTTACTCCATTTTAACTGAAATGATCGGTGGTTGTTGTTGTCACTAATAGATACTCCCACATCAACGCTGCACATATATCAAAAGTTTCCTACGACGATGTCCGATCATACATTATCCATTTTATATGATGATTTTCTACGATATAAAAATCCTCATATAAGCCAAGCTATTAAAGTAGGCGAGGAGTACTTAATGGCAATATCACCGAAGAACGTAGCGACATTGTTCGACGTAAGAAGATAAGACGCCTAGGATCGAGGTGTTAAGGGGAACTAGGGGCGGTCAGTAGCTCTGCGAATATTCTCCTTCTCCTTAACTCCCTCAGATTAAGGAGCCATTGTGGAGCTGACTATGACGTTTGGGAGGAGGTCAGCACTAGGCCATCTGGATGGGTTTCAGTCTTAAGAGTTCAGAGAGGTCTCTTGGTCTTTACGGTGCTAGCAGCTGGAATTGCAAACCAAACTTTCGACAACATCTAATGAACTGTCCAAAAAAACAGGTTTTGTGGCTGTTTGTGCTCTACCGGGTGATGAGTCCGATTTGCAGTGTGTGATGGCCTGACCCTGGTCCTGCACTAACAGCGCGAGAGAGGAGGGGAATTGACAGGGGAGCAGGAATCTTACACGGTTATAACGAGGTTATGACATCTGTCGCATTATTCTTCGCTTACTCTTTTTTCAATGTCAGCAGAAAGTCAACAATGAGTAGCGAAAACAACGTCACGACCGTCGCGCTAGCCGGAGTATGTCTCCCTCCATTGCCCTTACTGTCCCGTGGCTAATCCGATCAACTCGACATATAGAAAGGCCGTTTCGGCTCCGTCGTCCTTGACGAGCTTCTCAAGGCTGGCTTCAAAGTCACCGTCTTGACGCGATCGGCAGCCGGCATAACCGGCGTCCCCGAGGAAGTCAAGGTCACCGAGGTGGACTACACATCCGAGGAGTCGCTGCGAAAGGCAATCCAGGGCCACGATGCAGTAGTCTCAACCGTCGCCGGTGCCGCCGTCGCGAGCCAGAAGCCACTTATCAATGCTGCCATCTCAGCTGGGGTGAAACACTTCATCCCAGCCGACTACGCCATGAGTCTCCGAAGCCCCGACGTGCGGAACCTGCCTCCGTACACGGACGTTCATGCAATTGAGGAGTATCTGAAAGTGAAGTCTGGCCAAATGCAATGGACGATCGTTGCTTGTGGTGGCTTCTTGGAGTATCTCTTCGATCTGCCTTTTGTGGTTGATTTCGGCAATCGCAAACTAGACATAGTGAGCGGAGGAACAGCCCAGTTCAGCACCTCCAAGTTCATCACGGCAGCCAAAGCGGTTGCCGGCGTTCTCCAACAGCCTGACAGGGTCAAAGATCATTGCGTCCAAGTTCATGCCATACCGATAACTCAGAGCCAGATTTGGGATATCATCAAGAGGAACGACAAGAGGTTGAGCGAGTGGACGGTTACAGAACAGGACGGTGATGCCAAATTCCAGGCAGGTCTGGATATGCTGAAAAGAGGGGAACTAACCATGGAAGCTGTGTCTACTCTAATGGCAGGCGCTACATGGGGTGGCAAGTACAAAGTTGTCTTTGACGAGACTGATAACGACTGGCTAGGGATCGAGACAATCTCTGAAGGGGAACTGGAGGAAATTCTCAAGAAGAAGATTGAAGAGGGAATCTCTTCGATTGCTACGGATACGATTGTCTCTGATTTCTAAGTGTGTACAGTATAACCGTTGAGCTTAGCTGCTTGAATTATAGGTAAAGCAATCAATCGCAAGGTATGCTCAACCTTAAGAGGCTTGAAATTTCCATCTTATTTATGGACTCCTGTTAAATTACAATGCAGCATGTTTGCTGTACTTATGTGACCACGATAGTGTTATCAGTCGAGCACGGGCATGAGAAGGCGGAGTTGAGTGCGCGATGTCAGCTGTGTTCTTGGTTTTCTCTGAGCATCCTTGTTGTTCATAAGAGTGAAAGTAGAACACCGAAGAACTCTGAAGATAATCGATCAGTGCCCGTCACCCGGACCCCGAGCCCCAAAGCCGCATAAACAATTCATTATCGACGGTTTCACTCCTCTTGGAGAAGATTCGACCGCCACTCTTTGATTCCATCCAATGCAGCCATACAAAGAGACTCCCTCCAACCACCCCTTGTATCTGAAATCCAATGTATCTCATTGTAAGCCCAAGAAAGCAGGCCTTCCGCCCTTGGTCCACTGGGGTGATCAAGAACGCCGACTGCAATATCCACTTGTTGTGGAAGGTCTTGCTGTGTGTAAAAGATCGTCGCTGCACAGAAAGCACAAGAGTAGCGGTTAACCCCTGGCGAACTATTGTACCTCTGAAGAGTGCCTATTCTCTTGTCCCCGCGATCGACTGCCTCTTCCAAATCTGTGATGGTGCTAAATAACCGATTGCCCCGGCTCGGGTCATAGAGGTGGTCCACGCCAGCAAAGGCCCAATATACAAGATCGCTCCCTGTAATAGTTCGACAAGAGTTACAAGCATCGATGTGGGTGACGTACTTCTTGTTTCGCGGATCTATGTAACGAGGTGGTTTCTCACCTAGATCCCAGGTGACATCAGATCCAGATTTTAAAAGCAGATTGACTCCCTTGCAACGACACCACAGTGGCGTGAACTCAGGAGATGCCCTATCTTCAGACGCATCTCTAGCTTTTGCTTCCGGCCATGCGAACGGGAGCTCTTCACTTGTTCCGGTCCGCGCGACTGACCTCTTCAAGACCCTCCCATCCACGTCCCTCCGAAGCCACATTGAACACCCACCATCAACCGCATCCCCCACGAAGATATGCTCCCCGTATCTCAACAGCCCCTTTTCCGTGTTCTGAATAGCCCCCGTCAGCACATGGGGCTTGTTTCCCGTGGTTGATCCCAAGCAAAAAAGCTGCGACGAGCATGTCTGGCACGAAAAGATGTCGACATTGGGTGAGAACACGTAGCGTCTGAGCTTGGACAAGTCGATCTCCGCATCCGGCCACTCGACACATGTGAATGCGAGCGTGCCAAGATTATGCCGACATGAGGTGCAATGGCAGCAAAAGGCCGTCAGAGGAAAGGACGAGGATGGTAGAATAGCCGTGAGCTCGTAGGCCTCGCAATGGCAGCGGGCTCGGAGGGTGATGTATTCGCCGGATAATGTCATTCTGTTCTCATGTAGTTTCTTGTGTTCAAAGCACTAGAAATCTCTCAATTGAGTTATTGCGGCTTGGGATGATAAATATCAGCCTTGAGTAGGGATGGCTAACGGGCTCTAACTTCCAAGTTTGACCCTAGACTCAAGAGTGGAAACTGGTTGGATTAGGAAATTCTCATGAGAGCCAGGTGTGAAACTGCCTCATTCCCGTCGATCTTCGTCATCAACACCTTACAATACTCTAAAAGCTTAAGAATAGTTTTTTTTTTGTGAAAGCCTATCTCGAAATATTCTAGCAAATGGTGCTGTAATTTAAGACAAAGCTCGTTGCACTCTTTTCAATCCTTCATCCAACACGTGTTGAGGGTGCGCAATGACGAGGCGGAACCATCCGGAAGTTTCACTCTTGTAACCACTTGCCGAGGTGACATATAACTTCTCTTTCCTTAGCAGTGCTAAAATATCATCATCGCTCACTACATGAGCAACCGCAGCCAAGTTCACCATCAAAAACAAAGACGCATTTGACTTGCGATATGGGATACCATGGTCTTTTAGACAGCAGGTAACATACTGGTAATTCTCTTGTAGGCGAGATCTATACAGAGAGATATAGCTATCTGTGAATTTATCATCCATCAAAAGAGCCGCCGCTGCGTTATCAGCAAGGCTTGATGGGAAATTAAACAGTCTACGATTATGTTAATAATCATACACAAATGGAAGATAGCTTCAAGACTTACGAAAAGCTCTCGAGAGATTTCAGGAACACTGGATTAGATTGACTTATGAGACAGCCTATACGTATACCAGTGGCGCCAAAATCCTGCCGTACTGTCAGTTCATGAACGTCTCTGAGAATGAGTAAAGGTACCTTGCTAAATCCCCACTGTGCATGGATCTTGCGAGGATCCATCAATCCCTCAGCACTCAATGATAGTATTGATGTAAATGGAACTGCATCTTCCATTTCGGTATTTTCAAATACAGACAGTGCATAAATCTCGTCGACGAGAAGGTGGAGGTCCCATTTGCCACAAAGGCGCATGTAGGCCGTTAGGACTTCTTTGCTATAGCAGCGGCCTTGAGGTTTGTTAGCTTCAACTATATTCATAAATCCCGGACTTCTCTTGATACAAACCTAGAGGGTTGTGTGGGGAACACAATAATACAGCCTGTACACATTTCCCCTCCTTCTTTGCTTGAATATACTCCTTCTCGTATTCATCGACGGCTTCTAAGGAAAAAGGATCAAGGCCCTTGAATGACACTTCACGGACTTGAACACTGTTTGAGGTCAGCAGGTGGTCCCGTATGAGATGAGAGGGATCATTTACCCTGCTCGAATGCCAAAAATGTAGTTGAATGCAGTCCAATAAGGCCGGCCGATCAGCACTTCATCTCGCGAGTTAAACAGTGACCACGCGCAGCACTCAATGGCATTGCCTACTCCAGGCGTGATAGTTAAGTGCGACGGTATTAAAGATATACGAGGTTCGAAGTATCGGTTCAAAAACTGGCAAAAAGCCTTTTTCAACACTTTGGACCCGGTAAATCCATCACCATAGGTTAATGCATGGGGGTCGACATGAAGCTAACATAATCAGCGGGACATTGCATGAAATGGCCGGGGACATCCGTACGTGGGAGTTGACGAATGAGGTAAGTTCTGAATGCATCAACGTCTATATTCATTAGCTCCAAGTGTATACAGGTTGTATGATGGCTTCTTACATTTTCGGCTAGGCCAAGGTTGACTATGCCCTCTGGATTTGTCTCAGGGTGCCATAAGTCGTCCAGAACGTCGAAGAATTTGGGAACATCGGGCAAGAACCCAACGCCTCGAGATGAGATACAATCGCTTTGAGACATTACTGCAACATCGGTCTTGTACGTAAGGATGTAGCCTGGATCTGGCCTCAGAGAGACTTTGGGTAGATGTTCTTTAAGACTCTCCTACCTTGTAAATTTTAAACTGGCCTTGTACCATAAGGTTGATCCATCAGGGGATCTCCACTCGCCTTGGAAAGGCAAAAACTGCTCAGCAAGTTAATAGCCCCGAATTTCCCCGACGATTTCTCCGAGGCCTAGTATGCTAGCAGACCACTAGGCGGGGAAGTTTCTTAGCTACATACAGAAGCGATGTAGCAAGAGACTCCCTACATTACAAATTTATATGAGGAAGAAGTAGCAGGAGAAAGAAAAAATCTATATCTGCTGAAAGGTGGGTGTTGTGCTCAATTGGTTTCAAACCTATCATCATAATATGTCTTTTCCTGAGCACTTTAAAACAATTTTCGCCATAACAACATCAACAACAATATAAGTCATGGCTGCCAAAGACTTAGAGGAACCAAAAAGTCTTCCTCAATCAAGATACAGTGACATTGCGCCCAATGATCCTGGTGGCGATCTTTACCCCGAGGGTGGCCTGACTGGTTGGCTTTGCGTCTTTGGCAGTTTCATGGGGCTTCTCGCCAGTCTGGGCGTGGTGAACTCTTTGGGAACATTTCAGGCTTATCTAGAAGCACACCAACTACAAAAATACAACTCTGGTCAGATTGGATGGATATTCAGCATATACACCTTTTTAACCTTCTTTTGTGGCATCATAGTCGGCCCCTTTTTCGACGCGCGAGGGCCACGAGTACTGGTTCTTGTCGGATCGATTTTAACCATGATAACAATGACCACCCTCGGGTTATGCGTCGAGTACTGGCACTTTCTGTTGTCTTTTGGCTTTTGTGGAGGCTTGGGAACATCTCTTGTCTTCACACCTGCTATAGCAGCTGTTAGCCATTTCTTCCTTCAGAAGCGCGGCATCGCAACAGGAATTGCAGCAGGAGGTGGTGCGATAGGAGGTGTAATAATACCCCTTGTGCTGGAAAGCCTCATTGAACAGATTGGGTTTGCTTGGGCAACCCGGGTCCTAGCTCTTATATGGCTCGTCTGCCTAGGAGTTGCCTGCATCACAATCACATCTCGCCTACCGACGAAGCCTTTTTCTAAGGAGAACATTCTTCCTGATCTTCGAATCTTTCGAAATATCCCATTCCTACTGACTACCTTGGCGGTTTTCTTTGTAGAGTGGGGGCTCTTCATCCCAATATCGTACATCTCGTCGTACGCCCTAGCTCATGGAGTCTCGCCCAAGCTATCGTACCATCTCCTCGCCATTATGAATGCAGGGTCGTTCTTCGGTCGCGTTCTTCCCGGCTACTTCGCCGACCGGCTGGGACGCTTCAATGTTTTGATTATCACTGTCGCTCTTTGTCTGCTCTCCAATGTTTGCCTGTGGTTGCCAGCATCAGGAAGCGTACCCATGCTAGTCGTTTATAGCTGCGCTTTTGGATTCTTTAGTGGCAGTGGTATAAGTCTCACTCCCGTTTGCATAGGGCAGCTATGTGAGACGGAGCACTACGGGCGCTATTATGCAACGGCTTACACAGTTGTCAGTTTGGGGTAAGTTCTTGTTTGTTTCACCTCTCAATCACAATAATGCCCAACAAAAACCTGCTCATTGCTGACTTCCGCAGAACTCTGACAGGCATACCCATTGCGGGAGAGATATTGTCGCGCGCCAACGGAGATTATTGGGGTTTGATTATCTTTACCACATGCTGTTACGCTGGTGGACTAATCTGTGCTATTTCTGTAAAAGTCATGCAGTGTGGCTGGTGTAATATTTGGTCATTTTACTAACTTGTATTATGCATTTACAAATAATTAATTGAAAGTTCTATAATGAAAGAGGTGGCCTTCTTTTTTGGGTCGAACAAGATTTGCTCATGGCTTAAAGTTGTAGTTGCCTATGCACGAAAGATCTCGCTTGAGAATCAGGGAGTTAAAGAAGGAAACATCAGTGTCACTTCCTAGCTACGCCCCAGCAAGCAGTGCATTCAGCAAGAAAGGATAAAGAATTATGCTTAACAGGGTTTGATGCCTTCCGGATTGATACGTGATGATTAAAAGAAAAAGAAAAAGAAAAAGAAAAAGAAAAAGAAAAAGAAAAAGAGAAAGAAAAAGAAAAAGAAAAAGCTGAACGTATCCCATGTGCTACAGCCATTCCGTCCACCGCACACTGGCGACATAATCTACGCTCCATCCTTGCCGTTCACTAAAATCTCCCACCTCGATCCTCGAGGTAGAAGAGTACCCAAGTACCTTACCAAGGGTAATTTGACCTGTGATATATCCGGATCATTAACTGGGATCTAGTTCATTGCGACAATGATAGTGAAAGCGATAAAGGCTTTCGTTAGTCACGGACAAGAACTCCAAAAGGGTAAGACGTGATGAACTCCAAGCTCAATATTCTCTGAATAGTGCGTTTGTGTAGCTGCTTGACAAGAAAGAAACAGGCCTTACTGTATTTACCCCTATTGCTCCTAGTAATCATAAGGTGCCCTGGACTAGACCTGGGTCTTGAGAGAATTCACCTTTCACCCCTTATATATATTCAACCCTACCCCGGATAGGAAGGGGTATACTTTTAACTCTATAATAGTTGCGCTTTGAGCGGATGAATGGGTGCATATTTATTTAAGACCAGTCTCCTTCGTCAAGAATCTCCTCGCCATTGTCCGTCGCAGCGAGAAGCTGCTCTATCGTCCATGGCTTCCAGGTGTAGCCAGGGACAGCATTAGTATTCCGGAAGGTTTTCCCATCTTCGATATGCGTAGCACAGCTCTCGAAATTCTCAATAGCGTAGTTCTCGGGATTATGATGAATGAGCCACAGCCCAATAGTGCTCGTCAAAACCTCGGGATGTTCTCTCACGTAGTCCCAGTCCGTCTTGTGAAAGTTTTCACGGTTTTTGAGGCCCATTCTTTGCGCACATGACACCCTCTCATACCTGTTCACAATACGGTCAGCTGAATCTGAGATGCCATGGAGTTGAATGCTCGCCTACTTACCTGAGAGTATTATGCACCCGCGTAGCTAAGGCAACTCTTTCTCTTCCACCCTTTTCAAGGCACGCGGCCAGGGAGTATCCGTCCTCCAGTGCCATCGTGGCCCCGCTGGCAGATGTCGGGAGGAAAGTGTGAGCAGCATCCCCAATCTGGACCACGCGACCCAAGGGCGAAACCCATGTGGGTGGAGCGTTGCGCCACATGAGCTTCCAGTTCGTTACTTCGTGGTTTGGTGTGGCATTTATAAGTTCCTTGAAGAATGGATGCCACCCTTCAACATGGGGCAGAGCAATGTCACTGGAGGCCTTGTAGGACCAGTCCTCGACAGCCCCATCTGTGTCCTGTCGAACTCATTAGAGACGTTTCATAAGACATCAAAGGCATTGGTGCTCACAGGGTGATTAAGTAACCAACAGATCTCAGTATCCGTCTTTCCGACGACCATATGCGAGTCTGGCCCCACGTGAAGGGACACTCTGTGATCGAAACCTTCAAATTCCTTGGCTATGATTGGATTTTCAAGCGCGGGCCCTGCAGGGAATGTCACCCGAGTGACGGCAAAACCAGAGTTGATGGGCTCTGCCTTTGATCCATGAAGAAGTCCCCATGACTTGGTTCCTACACCGTCGGCAGCCACGACAACATCTGCGATTTGAAAATGTCCGTCATCAAACTTGACCCCTGCGGCGTCGTTCGTCTCAAAATACTCAACCACATTAGCCGAGTACTCAATCTTTATGCCCTGTTGGCGAGCGTATTCTTCCAGAATGCCGTGGAACTTCGCCCGGTTGACATAGGTAGAGGGAGCATCATCGGAGCCCGGATGATGCGCCCCGATAAAAGTCCCATCAAACTTCTTGAAGTAGTTTGGCGAGTTGTACTGGCAAGACGCCAACATTTCAAGAAAACCAGGCCACAGCTTGGGAGTATGCAGAGCCGAGGATTGTAGGACCATCAAATCACCTATTCAAGGCGTAAGTACAAGACATCAGACTCACCGAAGGGGGCTCCGACTCACCAAGCTCAACAAACTGAGGGCGCCGTTCAAGCACGCGGACATCGTGACCCTTGCGGCAGGCTTCAATGGCAAATCCGAGTCCTGCTATTCCGCCCCCAACAACAACAACAGATAGTCCAGACGAAGGGTACTTCTCCATGGAGGGGATCGTGCGTTGGTGTTTATCGTTGGAGTTCATATTGACTTGAGAGCAAGCTTTTGGGTGCGTAAATGTTATTGTTTAGTATGAAGGAGAGTTGGTTGATAAAGATTTAGGAAGACATCGACAATATCGCCTAACATGCCACGCTTTTATAACTATGACCGTGCAGCGATCGACTGGCCGTTCGGGTCCTTCATCGTCTCCGGGACACGTTGCTAGCTTCCAAGTGACCTTAGTTGTCGCCTTGTGACTAGCTAAGATTAGGGACAACTCCATGCTAACGCATCGCACGTTAATAGATGACGCAGGGCGTGGGGGAAAAGAGGCATGGAATTCATCAAATTACAAACAATAGAGCTGCTTTTCGTCGGTGTGAATCAATAACCCTCGGCCCCGTAGGATGGAGACAAATCTCAAACCTCGGAGTAGATGCCGCTTAGTCACGCTACCAAGAGGAGCTTGCCCAAGACAGGATGCAGACGGGTTTCAGCAAAGCGCTGAGATGTTGTATGGGTCGAGGTCTGGTCGCCTAGATTACCTAGATGTAGTCGAGCTTTTGCTTCAGACCTGAGAGTAGTATCCACCCGTGTAGCAGAGAACCCTTTCTGTCCCCCTATTGAACGTAGAGGGGCAGTTAGAAAGTGTCCATATATCTTCAAGTGTTGCGATAGCTCTACGAGCAGATATCAGAAGGAAAGTGAGCGGCATCTACAGTTTAGACAACAAGGCCCTTCGGCGAAACTCATGCGGGAAGGGCGCTGCGCTAGCTTCTAGTTTGCTGTCTTAGGTAGGTAGGTAGTGTTAGATACACTGATGAGTTCTCGGAAGAACGACTGCGTCCTTCAACAGCGGCGGAGTCTAGACGAAGGATACCTCTCTATGGGTGGGAAATTGTGATGCTCGTTCGACTCCATAGTCAAGTCCAAGACCGTGGGTACTCGAACAACAATTATGCAACAAGCCTGAATCGTTTCTACTTTCCTTAGTATCTTACCAGTCATCATATCGGACATCTCGGACATCTCGGAGGAGGTGACAACCCAACGCGTAACTGAACTCGAGATTATTTCCGAAATTCAGCGAATGATTTCAACATCTGACTCGATCGGGATGGCTCCCCGAAATGTTCCCTGTGCAAAACCCGTCCGAGGAATGATTGATAATGAAAAATCCAAAACGGCATGTAGCGTCCCGGCTCATTTACTTGAAGCCTCCACTGCAAAAAAGCTGCTCTCATCTAGCTCCATGAATTGCATGTACTGACTGAATTGAGTGTCGAGTTCTGCATGTATCCATTGCTTCACGCCACGAACTTGGTATGCATGCTTCAAAACTCCATCGAACTGCTGAGAGGTATGGAATTTTCCGAGTAATAGTAGTGTCACAGTTCAATGGTAAGTGGTTACAAATATGGCGTGTGATACCAACCCACCAGTACCAGACGATGGAAGCCCGCAACAGGGTTCAGAAGAGCTCTTCTAACTTGGGGCTTGCGTCAAAGGGGACCATGCTCGCATGCAGTAGTCCTACCTGAAAAATGACTCAGTGGGTTCAGCCTGGTCCAGACGTCGGGAGATTTAGATTATCAGATGGTGGACTAGTTCCCTTGCCTGCCAATTTTTACCTTATCAGATCCACGAGTCTACATTTGTTGGAAAATCTTGTCTGCTTCTTACTTCTGATTGGGCACTAACTGACCTCTTATGTGGTGGCTGATTGATAAAATGGCTTGCATACTTGGTGTGTTGCTGAAAGGGTTTTCCAATTATTTTATCTATAAAACCCCTGATTCAGCTCTCGTGTCAGGAGCCTGTGTATTTCGTAACAGACTCATACATCCTTTTACTCCTGCCTTCCAATACTGCCACCCTTACACATTATGATTAACCAAAAGACCGACATTGGGAGTCCAGAGACTAAGGGCAGCCACCTCAACAAGACACTCGCTCCAGCTACGCAGGAGATGGCTCTTGAGCCCAAACTTGGCAATAATTGCCCAGCACAAGATATTGAAGGCATCGACCCTCAGAAGACTGGCGACGAGAAAGAAACCCCCGGAGCCCTACAACAGGTCATGACTCGAAACGAACAAATCTTGACACATGTCCTGTGAGACTTCTATGCGGTAAATCTATCAAAAAGTACTCAAGCTAACTGTATTTCCAGCATCTGGCTGCTTGTATTTGCACTAGGGTTCTCAAACAGCATTTTCAGAGTTCTTACCCCGTACGTCGTCAGCGATTACAAAAGACACGCCCTCACCGCAACCACCGATGTCGTCGCCAACATCGCCAGTGGCATCTTTAGGCTTCCTTATGCTAAGCTACTCGACGTCTGGGGCCGGCCACAAAGTCTCACTCTCATGGTCATTTTTACTCTTCTTGGAGCCGTCATGAAGGCTGGGTGTAATAGTGTCGAAACGTATTGTGCCGCGCAAGTATTCTACTATGTCGGCTACTACGGAATCCAGTTCAGCCTTGTCATTTTCATTTCAGATTCAGCACCAATCCGCAACCGAGGCCTTCTATTCGGCATTGTCTGGTCTCCATCACTCATCTCGACATGGGCCTATGGTCCCACTGCTGACCGCATCTTGACGAACCTCGGATACCGATGGGGCTTTGGAGTGTGGTGTATCATTATTCCTGTTGTCTCTGCCCCTGTCATCGCTTTGATGTTTCGTTTTGATACGAGAGCAAGGCAAGCCGGCTTGATTGAGCGCCCCGAGCACGGCAACACAGTCAGTCAACGTATCCTCTTCTACCTGAAGGAATTTGACATTGTTGGGCTCCTTATTCTTGCGACTGGACTGAGTCTGCTTCTCCTGTCTCTGAGCATCTACTCCTATCAAGATAAAGGCTGGGGCTCGCCCTTGATTATCTGCTTCCTGGTGTTTGGACCAGTTCTCATCATATGCTTTATTCTTTACGAGATATACCTTGCACCGGTAACATTCCTTTCATCACACTTGCTAAAGGATCGAACTGTTGTATGGACCAATATTATGGCTGCGACGCTCTACACGTCTGAATTCATCTGCTCCGCCTACATATATTCAATGCTTATTGTCGTCTTCAACCAATCCATTACAGCTGCCACCTACATCAATAGCATTTACTATATTGGGTCGTCATTCTGGACTATCGTACTCGGATTTGCCATGCGTTACTATGGGCGAATGAAGGTCTATACCATTGTTCTTGGCATTCCGTTTTTCATTCTCGGCCAAGGAATGATGATTGCTTTCAAGCCTGGGTTCACACCAATTGGCTTGATGGTGGTCTGCAAGATCCTCATCGCTTTTGGTGGAGGCACCATGTATCCCATTGAGCAGATGACGCTCATGGCTGTCTCCCAAGAACACACGCCGGCGCTTCTTGCTCTTGAGTCCATCATCATTGATGTTGGGAAAGGCGCCGGGTCAGCCATTGCCACTGCCATCTGGACTGGCATGTTCAAGAACAAGCTGGCCGAGTACTTGCCCGACAGTGAGCTTGTGAATCTCGATGATATTTATGGTAGCTTGGATGCGCAGTCATCTTATCCTGTTGGAAGTGCTGGGCGAGATGCGATAAATCATGCTTACCTTGATACTCAACGTATTATCTTCATATCTTCCACTTCGCTGCTGGCACTTACCTGGGCCTCAGTTCTCTTTTGGAAGGACTATGATGTAAAGAAGATGAGCAACCTCCGAAAAGGTATGCCCGTCTAGCGTGTTTGGTAGATATCACATCGGTAGAAACTATATGTCTTAGTCAACCATGATACTGATATGGGGATAAAACGTTGTGTAGGGAAGGAGTCTACTCTATAATATATGTGGTAGACTAGACTGCCTTCCAAAGATAGTTTGCGGAAGGGATGGGGGCGCTTTATCATTCTAAAGTAACGAGAATGTCGGTTCTTCAAAGAAGACTGCAGTAGAGCTTCATTATATCAAAGACAGACGAAGTTACAAAAACCTATTTTATACACCTTCCACAAAAAAGTGACTCTTCAATGATATTAAATATTTCAGATTTCTCAATTATCCTTATGTTGAGTCACTCTAAATCTCTTATAATCCTTTTTCATCTTTCATTTGTACTGTTTATATCTATCTATGTATTTCAAAATCGAAAAAAGCAAAGGAAGAAAGTATAGTGAAACAAAGCCAAAGATTTGTGTCTAAATATGCAGTTCGGTTCGGATGATTTATCCTTAGTGAGACTTCTACTTTTATTCCGTGCCAGCAAGTCGATTCTTTAGACTTTGAAGTCCCGTTTTATGCTCTCTGTGCTCCCGGCTCATCTGCTTCTGTTTAATGAGAAGGCTTGCCAGAAGACCGACCCCCGACAACACGACAAAGAGGATATACATCCTTGTTATCGCCTTCGCATATGCCCCCCTAACGACATAGCTCTCCGAGGGTTTCAGCTTAGTAACTGTGAAGACATTCGATGACGCATTACGCCCTGAGAACTTTTGCGCCAGGTCTTGGCCAAGAAGTGTCTTTAGCTTCGGCTGTTGGCTTTCCATCGCATTGTTAAAGACGACACCACCGATGACAATGGACATGGCGCTGGCCAACTGTCTCACGAAGCTATTGGTTGACGTAGCTGATCCAATATCGTGCGCATTGACGTTATTCTGAAGGGCAATGAGTGGTGATTGATAATTCGGACCTAAGCCAATTCCCGCAATGGCCTGGTAGATGATGATCTTTGTGAAATCTTTATTATCAGGTAGATCGGTAAATAGCCCAAATCCAGTTGTTGCAACAATCATTCCGCCCCAGATGATGAAGACATAGTTGCCTGTCTTGCGGATAATAAAACCCGAGGCTGCAGAAATCATACACATGCCCATCAAAAAGGGTAGAATGTAGACTCCAGACAAGAGAGCAGATGTGCCAAGCGCGCCTTGGAAGTATAAAGGTAGCCAGTAGGATCCTGAAGTAGAGGCCATAGTATGGAAGAAGGCGATAGTGAGCGCCCCAAAATTAGAGCGGTTTGCAAAAAGGTTGAGAGGGATGATCGGATATTTGGCGTACTGAGATTCGATAAAGACAAAGAGACTCGCTAGAACGAGCCCAAATGCAAGTAAACATATGATCAGAGGTGAGGCCCACGGATGCGTCACACCACCAAGTTCCAACCCTAGGAGGAACATCACCGTACTGCCGATAACGGTCAGACTACCACACCAGTCGACAGCCTCAAGGCCTTCCTTGAGAGGGGTGCGTGGGTTATGTAGCTTGAGTATGAGGTAGAGTAAAACAATACCGATCCCGGAGATGGGTAGGTTGATATAGAAACACCACCTCCATGATGCTTGAGAAGAAAGCACGCCACCGACAACAGGGCCAATGGCACTAGCGATGCCCCAGACAGCGCCGACAAGACCGTAATAGAAACCACGTTCGCGAACAGAGAAGAGGTCTCCGATGCAAACGTTGACCAGTGTAACCACGCCGCCAGCTCCAATTCCTTGAATAGTACGAGCTCCTAGAAGCATACCCATATCCACAGAGGTGCCGCATAGGAGAGAACCAACCCAGAATATCCCAATTGTGGTTAGCAAGATTACCTTGCGGCCCCAAATATCGGATAGCTTGCCCCATATAGGCGAGCACGCAGCATTGGCCAATACATAAGAGGCGCCTATCCAGATATATCCCGTGCTAGATTCCAGGTCTTGAGAGATGACTGGAACGGCCGTTGCTACGATAGTGACATCGAGTGCAGAGAGGAAAAGTGCGGCCATCAGCGAACTAGATACCAGGACTGTTTGGACCCTGGTACGTGGTTTCGGATCATCACCTGGCGAGGTAGAATCCAATGCTGGTGATAGAACGCCCTTTTCTTGGTCATGAGGCTTTAGATCACTTGGTTGAGCCTCGGCTTGGGCCGAAGTAGTCTCTATTGTTGTGGAAGCCATCGGCAGAGAATAAGCCCGGAAACAAATGGTGAGTAAGAAATAGCCACAAATAGTCATGGAGCTCTCAGAGTAGTATGAGAGGCAGTTAAACGTGGCGATGGCCCAACCATAAGTACTGATTGATAAGATCGGCTAAGTTGAGCTTATCTTTCTCGCGGTGGGATTCTACCAGCCGGTGATTTCGGCGGCACTCGGTTGAATTCTAGATAACCATACTGTGTTCAATTAGAAGATCTCCGAGCACCTGTCCATCATCTACGACATTCGAAAGCACGAGATTTAGTCCTTGATTCTCTAACGAGAATACTACAACACCGGGCCTTGAGAGAAGCCTTTTAAAACCATGAAATAGTCTGATGATGCAATGCAATGCAATGCGTTTCTTGAGAGAGAGAAAAGGCGTTTGACCCGACATAATAACAAAAATATAGCAATTTATCAACAGAATGCTTCTAGATGTTCAAAAAAGGTATAGGATTCAAAATTAACAAGCTGGAGAATGAGGCTCAGTTACAGTCGAGCAAAAACGGCAGTATGTTACATCGGACTTTCGTCGAGATGATTCATGGTCAAATTCTCATGTTCCCATCCGTGAAATCTCCGAGATCTCCAGGAGTGGCACTAGACCCCGTCCATTCTGCTAGTCTTGCGTTTGCCCGACAGGGATGAGTAACGGAGGGGGAAAGCCACTTCTCTGCGTGAGGCACACTGTTAAATTTTTCCATATGTCAGTAAATCTCTCAGGCAACAGCTGCACCTAGCTTACAATACCAAATATCACCCGTCAGAAGATCTCTATATCAGGTACATGGGCTGTCACAATGACGGGCCACTTTCATATCCGCAACGCTGAGGTATCGTTTAACGATGCACAGTTTATCATCGACGCGTTCGACTCAACGCTACCCCATCTCGCAGCTGCGGGAAACATTGAACAATGGGGCACAAAGCCATTTTCAAAAAGAGCGGGATTTGCTGAGCGAATTGAGGATATGGTTGCGAAATCAGAGAGCTTCTATAAGACAGGAACTGGTCATCCAGTGAGAGTGTTCATTGCAGAAGTTGAGGATGACCCGGGTACTGCGTCAGCCTCTACTACCGCCAAACTGGCTCGGCGCGTAGATGTGGACGGGAAGGCTCTAGTTGCTGTTAGCTTTGCAATAGTACTTGATGAACGCTTTGTGAGCTATCTCCAGGAATCCGAATCTCTAAAGAACCATGTCGGCGCCGCCTTAGAGAAGGGTAATTTTGTCTTTCTGTGGTATTTAGTGACTGACCATCGTGTCATTGGCAAGCATCGAGGAGCTGGAAATGCGTTGATCGAGAGGGTAAAGCATTATGCTAGCGATCACGGACGTCAAGCAGTTTGGGTCGATTGCTGGGACGGAGGCAACGGGCTCTTGGTGAAGTATGTTCCTTTGATCGTATTTTGTGCTTAGGGAAAAGCTGAACCTACAGTATGTGCTAACCATCGTCAGATACTATGTAGACCGACACTTTGAGATTGTGGAGGGCTTCACGATTAGCGATACAAAGAATGGAACCACGTGGAAGGGCAAACTCCTTCGTCTAGATCTATCATAAACATACAAAGACTACGGTGTGCACTCTTTTAACCTGTACTACACCGGGTCGGTTGTGCAATACGTTCATCTATTGATCACTTAATATTCTTGGACATCAACCCTTGTCAAATAGTTGACGACTGTGATTTTAAAGCTACATTCCCACCCTCTTGTGAAAACCCAGCTCAACAAAATGTCTGTATATCCTTGAATGTAGTACATATGCACAATGAGAGAAGGCGACTCTCGATATAACAATACAAAGTCCACGGTTATAAGCTCAATCTGGTACTCGTACACTGATTCTAGAAACCACCTTGTCCGTGGTCGTCTATGAAATTCTCCCAAAAAGTCTGTACAGCATAAAAATAAGCTAGTATGTATGACGGCAGACTGATAGCTCACTTACCCAATCATTGGAAGTTAGATCGAGCCAATCTGCATTGGGATCCCATTCTCGAGATGGAGTATGGCGTTCGTCGTCGGTCAGCGCAGAGATTTGCGTCCTAGAGAGCGTGAGACCTTGAAGACCTTTATAGAGTAACCACGCGGCCTTACTGTATCGCTTGAATTGCAGGATAAGCTCTCTCGCAAACAGGGCTAGATTTGCGCAGTGACTCAATACGCTGAACAGCAGCGTCAAAGATTACGCGGTGAGAAGCTATTGAGTCTGCTTGTCCGGGCTTATCGATCATGCAGGCTGCCAGAGCAATCACCCCCTGGAGTGCATTGAAACTTGTCATGCCGTTTACCAGCCATCGGTAGGGCCGAAGTATCGGAAGCTCACACATCTTCTCATAGATATCTAGAAGAGCTATGCTCGCCTTAGTGTAGTTTTCCCTACTGGAGGGCAGGAATTTTGGGGATTGAGAGTGATAAAAAGGCCGATGGATTAGAAGATAGAGCTGGTGCGCGTAGGTCTCCAGTATACACCAATAGGCATAGCTTGATGTATCACTGAAGCTAGGACATCCAGAAGGCAGAAAGAGAGAAGTCCACTGCTCTTGTTCGGTCGCAATCAAAGCTTCGTAGTGACGCATCGTGGCCTCGTCAAAGCCAGAGCTGCTGGAAAAGCTGGAACCTATTCGAGCTGACAGCTCAAAGAGTCGAAGCTTGAACTTCATGATCGATATGCTATTTGGACAGGTCGAGGATTCTCCCGTATTCGCTCCATTTATACCTAGATCGTATTCGTCTGTGGGTGCCGGAGAAGGAAACGCAAGAAGGAACGAGGGGTCGACGTCATGGAAGAGGATGCCTTGGTAAGTGTAAAGCAGCCGTATACCAGCCCAACATCGCGTACGCCTCTGCTGCTCGATCCTGTTTTGATTCGGGTGGTTGGCATTGCATCTCAATGCAATACCCATATTGAGCGCAACACCAAGAAAGACCCAGGCACGATCAACTCCTTCACTGTGGCATATTCCATAAATCATAATCAACAGGGCTTCGAGCGTGGTTAGATTATATTTCACCATGAAGCGAGCCTCCGAAAGACAAGCAAGGGCGGCTTTGCGAAGGTGACGGGATACCGATTGGGGATCGCAAGCGTCAATCTCGGACCCCGAGGGCTGACACTCTCTCAGGATTGGATCGCCATCTCCCAATGTTTGAACAGCCATGGAGCTGATGACAAATAGCAGAGCTAGCCAGGGAAGTGACGCCTCCGTGGAGCTATGAGTGAACTCTGCATACTGCTGCTGAAAGGTAGGTACATGGAGGACATGGAATAGCGGAGCTTGGTATGTGAAGTATCTGGAGAAGAGAAACTCGCGAGTGGTCTTGAGTGGTAAAAGCCCGAGAAGTTCTTTCTTTGGCACCTTCGGGCCAAAGGCGAAGGAAGCAAACGGGTCGGTGTCTAGTCCAGGGGCATCGCTGTCCCGGCCCAGGGCAGGTCGTTCAAGAACTGTATCCCAAGATGGAACGGAGCACAGAGGGCCGTCGCTCGGTGATTGTACCGGAGGGTCCTCGCCCAAGGCGCTTCTGAGGATCGAGGGTCCCGGGGAATGGCAATACTCGGCCACATTTGCTGTTGCAACAACTGGTGGGGATGGTGGGCAAGCAGAGGGGTTAGATGTGAGAGTCGCAGACGTATCTCCGAGAACGGTGGAGTTATTGTCAACTGCCTCTCGACTTCGCCGAAAAGTACATGCGGACTCACATTCTCTCCGCCTGCAAGCTGAACAGGGCAGATGTCGATCACACCGAAGTTTGCTAACTCTACAAGGTTCGCAGCTCAGCGGCTTTCGTGGTCGTTTGTGGGGTACGCCTCTGCGTGTAGAGGATTTCCTGGCAACGTCTCGGACCTGATCTGACATCTCTATCATCCTCCAGCAACGATTGTCGGACTTTCCAGTGATCGGACAACGAACGGGGAAGTCAGCTTGTCGGGGTTGGTGCCGGTCTATGTAAGGTGACAAACTAGCAAACCTTGAAGTTGCGGAGATCTTCGGAGACACCCGGAGATATTAAATACAAGAAACCATGGTTTCCGACTAGCGATCTTACTGAGTCAGCTCCAGCTAAGCAGATTCGATGTCCGTTTCCCGGCTCGGGTTTATACAACAGAGATTACATGAATAATTTTCCAGCAAACTGCCAATAATACCGTCTAATTTGCCAGATATGCATTCAGATAGAGCCGCGCGCCAAGGCCTACTAGCATTCAGGTCCTTCATGGTCTCCGACCCACAATTCTCAGCTCTCTATCCTAGGGCAAAGAGAAAAGGTTCCACGGCCGCATGTCTTATGTGATCATGATCTTCGTTAGTAGGTTCTCAGCAAGCCCATCCAGAAAGGGCCCGAGGGAATAGCCATCATGTAGCCTACAACATCATAGCTAGTCCACACCCATCCCTAGTACGTTGGAAGCCAACACAAAAGGCGAGGACTAAGACGTGGGCATTCCCGGAAGTTTCACAGGTCGGGGTTCGTCAAGGAGACAAGCCCAAGACCAAATACTACGTGGCCATCCTAGAATCAACTAGACCCAGGCGCGAGCGGTCGTCTGGCCAGAGAACCCACGGTTGCATTGAGGAACCCGATTTCCGCTGACATAACCTTCGATCGACGGCCAATGCTAATGTTAATTTTCATGCACGACTTGCAGGACTTACACTGACAATGCCATATGTGGCAATGTACTACGTGTTTTGAGAAAGCTTTGGAAGCTCTCGCACTCATCAGGAAAGCCGAGAATCCGGAACTCGGGGAGCTGTATTCGATAAGCCGGAGGGTGTAGTTGTCTCTTTCTTTATTGTTCTTTCTCCTTCGTTGAGGAATCCAGTATATAAAGGTCACTCCTTCCAGTGAAATTCCCGGTCGGACACCACTAAGACTCGAAGAAACTCAAGCAGATCTTTTACATCGCCATCTTCCATCAATTTGATTATTCGCACTACAGTTTACCCTATCTATACTAAAAATGTCATCCCACGTTGAAACGGACTTTCTCATTGTTGGAGCAGGCCCATCTGGTGCCACCCTCGCCAGTTGCTTGGGCCAAAATGGTGTGTTGGCATATCGTGTTGTCCGTTTTTAGGACATATCTAACTCAACCAGGACTCAATGGAATGGTGATCTCTGATTCCATGAGCACGGCTGATACGCCTCGAGCTCATGCGGTCAATCCTGCCGCAATGGGTTTGTTCCGTCCACAATTTGTGTAGTTTGCGAAATTGCTAAACAGTGGCTTAGAATGCCTCCGCGACCTTGGGCTTGAGGACGACTGCCTCCGCATGGGCATTACGGGCAAACCACTGCAGTCGTTCCGCTGGTGTAAGAGTTTTGCGGACGAGGAATTCGGCAAGATTCTTGCTTGGGGAGGCCACCCTCGCAACGCGGTATGTGTATGGTCCGCGTTAACATTCCCCAAAACTGACCAGGTGTTGAAAGCATGACATTGCTATTGCCTCTCCTTGCCGATATCTTGATTTACCCCAGTCCTATATGGAACCCATCTTGGTCAAATACGCCAGTCATCATAATTTCGAGGTTTGTTTTAGAAACAAACTAGTCCATGCCCAGCATGTCCCAGAGGGCGTCCTTTGCGACATCAAGAATCTGACGACCGGTCACTGTTATCAAATTCTCACCAAGATGTTATTTGGGGGCGACGGCGGCCGGAGTCAAGTTGCGCGGTCCTTTCCCTTCAAGTTCGATAAGAGGGCAGCAGGCGGTGTCTCATGCAATTTGCTTATCGAAGCCGACGCGGAGCATATTGTCCCCGGGAGAGAGGCTGAGCTTCACTTCGTAGCTAACGCGGGACGTAAATGGCGATTCGGCATCGGTGCCATCCTTCGCATGGTGAGGCCCTACAAGCTATGGTTGCTCACAATTATCGCACCAGACAGCGATGTGAATCCCATCGACAGCTTTACGACCGAAAGCCCGGAACTCATCGAATATGTCAAGGAGGTGTTTGGCGATGACAGCGTTGATATCAAGATCCTCCGCAAAGATCCTTGGACTATTCGGGAGATTGTAGCTGAAAGTTATAGCCTCGACGGCAAAGTGTTCCTCGTTGGCGATGCAGCACACCGCCATCCTCCAGCGTTTGGCCTCGGGAGCAACATCAGCATTGCCGATTCCTACAACCTGGGTTGGAAAGTCGCTTACGTTCATAAAGGTTTAGCGGGCAAGGAACTACTGGACACGTACACCGAAGAACGTCAACCAGTAGGGGCTCTTGTAGTGAAGATCACCAATGAAGGATACCGAGACATCAACACGTGGCGAGAGTTTGGAGTATTGGCTCCCACAGCGCAGGAGGGCATCAAAGAACTGGAGAAGCTTTACTTGCCAAATCATGAAGGCGTGCAGCGAAGGATGCGAGTCCACAATGCCTTCGAGGAAGGGGCCCGGATCGCTGAAAGTATCGGTGTTGCGCTGAACACTTGGTACACTTCGAGTGCCGTCTACTTGAATGACGAAACAAATGCGAGACCAGAGCTTGAAGGAGAGTTTATCACAAAGCCTCTGATCAGCACGTACCCTGGGATTCGATTGCCTCATGCTTGGCTGGATATCTCGACTCGTAAGAAGGAGATTTCCACGCACGACCTTGCTGGTCATGGCTCGTTTTGCCTTCTCACTGGCGTCGGTGGAACTTCGTGGATCAACGCTGCCAGGAAGGTTGCCGAAACAACTGGTATACCTATAAATGCCTATAGCATCGGTTTTGGATGCGATTATCATGATGTGTACAGGGACTGGTATCGCTGGCGCGAGGTAAATGAGGACGGCTGTGTCCTTGTTCGGCCTGACCGCGTGGTGTGTTGGAGGGCTTCTGGTATGGTCCCAAACTGTGAGGAGAAACTATCGCAAGTCCTTGATCAAATTCTCTCTCGGAAAGCCCAATAGAAGCAGGCAGAAAAATATCCCTACTCAGTATGTAGTATATGTAGTCGAGTGGTATTGCAGTATTGTCGTTGGTAGATTAATATTGAGCACTTCGCGGGGACTAAATATGATTTTAGAATCTATGGCAATTATTCATTTTTTCTAAAAAGGGCTTGTATAATTTAAAATGATATAGCAGATGAAATTTAGTTTCTACTACTGATCTTCCAAAGGGGGGAAGAGACAGCTATTCTTCTACTCTTTGGATGACCAAAGGAGCCCCGAACAGACCTAGAGCCAGTCTCCCTTCATATGCCTGATTTCAGTACGCTAAGCTAACGATCCTACTTTACATAAAGCTTTGTGAGCATCGCACCAGCATGGTATCGAGGAAGGCTTATGCCTCCTTTTCACTTTCTGCTTTCTCTGCAAGAATTTCACTGAGCCTCTTGTGCGTCGACAGTAAGGTGCCGCTACTCGTCGGTGTGTGGTAAGGTGAGTTTGTCGGCGCATCCGGCGACACGCGCACGACGTAGTTCTTGGGCTGGTCATCGACGACGAGGCGCAGCAGGTCCGGCCGCGAGTAGTGCCCGACGCAGTCCGTCATCACCTTTGCGTAGTCGATCTTGTCGAGGTCGATGTCGCAGTAGATGAGCCCGTCATACGTGGGATCCGTCGGCTCGGTGAGCTGGCGCCCGTCGGGGCCAAAGACGGCAGCGCGACCGCCTCCACCGCTGAGCATGAAGCTGCCCTTGTCTGCGCTGCCTTGCCCCTCGCTGTTGAGGCGACTGCCCTCGGGAGACAGCGGCTGGTTGGTGCACAGCACGTACGCGCACCCCTCCAGGGCGTACATGCGGCTGGCTGTCAGCTCGTTGGCCTCTGAGAAGACGGACCAGGGCTCGATGCCGCCCTGGTATTCACCGTTGAACGGCCATGCTGCGATGTGGACCTGCTCTCCCTGTGCGTAGGTGTGGTATTTGAGCAGAGGCTGCAAGTGTTCTGTGCTCCATGTTAGCGAGCCAAGCTTGACATGAACTAGAAACCTAAATGAACTCACCCCAGCAGTTGAGCATCCCGATCTTGCCCAGCGGCGTGTCCACGACCGTCGTCAGCGAGTCCCCAGTCGAATCACCAAACAGCGTGCGCTCCACGTGTGTAGGCTTCGTCTTGCGCCGGTGGAGGAGGATGTTCCCATCGGACCCAATAAGAACCTGGGCTAGATACAGGCTCGATCCCACCCGCTCGCTAAATCCAAAGGCGACGTAGATGCCATGCTGAGCCGCGCACCTCCGGATCTGCAGCATCTCGTCGCCGTACGCCGTGATGCTGTTCTGCATGTACTTGTGCACCAGCGGGATGTTCTCCTTGAAGTTGCCGGACCAGAGGAAGTTGGGGTACCCCGGGATCCAGACCTCGGAGAAGGCGATCAGGGCGGCGCCGTTGGCTTTGGCTTCTGTGATGAGCCTGATCGATTTCTCGATCGCGGCGTCCTTGTCAAACCAGCATGGTTCGGACTGGCAGACGGCGGCTTTCCACTGACGGATAGACATGATGTGAGATGTAAGAGGTAGTCGGGGTAATAGATGAGCAAAGAACTTGGTGGCCGGGCCGTGAAATTCCCTTTACGTTACCTAGGTTTATCTTATATAACTCTGCACGTAGTAAAAGAATCGATCTTACACTGAAGTATTTATTCCTTAGGTAGTCTAACATGTACAGGAGGATCTACCAATCACGCGGGCAAGACATCCCCAGATCACATTGGGTAGGCAGTATCCGGATATGTCTGGGGCCTATCTCCTTATCGGTGACCCTCCTAATCAAACACACTCATTCCCAACAAATCATCACCGAGAAATACCAATGTAATGGCAAGCTATGGTTGTAGATGTCTAGAGTCTCCACTAATCCGGGTGCTTTCTAGCCGGATACGGCCGAACAGCGCGGCCCCACCTTTCCGGATACTCCTTGCCCGGATACTCAAGATTAAGATGATATGCTTCATGGTGTTGTATTGGAATCTGAGCACAGTCTGTCGAGCGAAGCTGATCCGAGTCGCTCGCGGTACCCCACGGGGCGTTAAAATACGGACAGCGTGTTATCGGTGACGCCCGCACCTCATATCATAACTAGTCATAGTATCCGGGTACTACTTATCCTCGCCGTATCATTTCTACATCCTCATTTTGTGTTGGCACAGAGCGACAAGAATAAAGTCAAGCTGGTCCGCCTATCACCAAGAGTATAGCGCGCCATGATCCACCCTTGGACCTCTTACAGCCGCGGCATAAGCACATCACCATCATGAAAGACTCACAGAGTTCCGCATACAACACTTTGGTATCTTCTGCCCGCCCAAAGCTCTCAACACTTCCTCTACTCACCTCCATCATTAGGTTGTCCTCTTCGTAGCCATCGGCAGCATCACCTATGGCTACTGTTCGTCCATCATCGGCACCACGCTTGGTCAGCCGAGCTTCGTCGAGTACTTTGCGCTCCAGCCGAGCGATCGCACGGATGCGCTCGTCGGCGCCATCAACGGCCTCTTCCAAGCTGGCGGCGTCTTTGGCACGCTTTCCACCACGTTATTGGCGGACCGGCTTGGGCGACGAAAGACCATTCTCGCAGGCGCCATGGCAGCCGTGCTCGGATCGGCGCTGCAGACAGGGTCTGTTCATATTGCCATGTTCATGGTGGCTCGTCTCATCACGGGCTTTGGTATTGGTAAAAACCTCCTCTCGTCATCTTCTTGCGGTTGTCGTTCCCTGACGCGCCCCTAATAGGCAACCTCGTCATCATCGTGCCCCTCTGGCAGAGCGAGGTCGCGCCGCCAGCTTCCCGTGGATTTCTCGTCGGGATGCACGGCGTCTTCATCCTCTGTGGCTACTCCCTAGCCAGCTGGATGGGCGTTGCATTCTCCTTCGTCAAGGCGGCCGGCGCCCAGTGGAGGATTCCGCTAGCGATCCAGATCCTACCGCCCGCTATCCTGCTTCTCGGTGTCATGACTATGCCTGAGTCTCCGCGATGGTGTAAGCCTTCCTTCAAAATAGTCGCGACGTGGAAATATAGCTAACCCCCTGGTCACAGTAATCCAGAATGGCATGACAGATAGAGCGATGCAGATCCTATCCAAGCTGCACGAAACGAGTGATGGGGGCGGCCAAGCTGGTTACGCCCAGAGGGAGTATGACCAAATCCAACAGCGGCTGGAGCAAGACAAACTTTTGCCTAGGTCATGGGCTGCCATTTTCAAGATTCGATCGTACAGAATGCGCGCCATTGTGGGTTTCTTGACTATGTTCTGCGGACAATGTACAGCCACGCAGATCATCAACAGTACGTTGCAACCAAAGAATTAACCAAACACAGATTCATTCTTTCTGACACGAACCCGCAGACTATGGCCCAAGCTTATATGCATCTATGGGCTTTGATTCAACCAGACAGCTGCTCATCACGGCCGGCTGGATCTCGGTCGGTATTCTGTCCAACTTTGCCAGTGCACTACTGTTAGATCGAGTTGGACGCGTGAAGCTCATGGGTAAAACCCCCAGCACCTTTAGTATCTATCATTCACTAAATTTCAGTCAGTCATTGGATTTGCCGGATGTGCAATCGCTCTCGGGCTCGAGGGCGTCATGTTGGCTCTCTACCAAGGAACGAGCAATCAGGCCGGGATTGGCGCTGCCGTGTTCTTCCTCTTCTTGCATATTGTATTGTGAGTGCATACAGACCATCGTCAGAACAAAGCTTTGGAACTGACATTCTGCGAAGCTACGGAGGGTGTATTGATGCAACAACCTATGTGTACGTGACCGAGATCTGGCCCATGCACATCCGCTCCAAGGGAAGCGCCCTGGCAACTACCGGTCTTTTCTTGTCGTCATTGATTCTGCAGACTGTCTCTCCAACCGCGTTTGCCAGGATAGGGTGGCGATATTACATGGTCTTCACCAGCGTCTGCGTTGTGTCCATGGTTGGGATCTGGCTCTACTTTCCTGAGGTATGTATGAAGACGAATATGCCAAGAGACAACTGTGACACTCACACGTTGTACAGACAAAGGGTCTTGCGCTAGAAGAGATCGGCCAGCTTTTCAACGATGACCAGTCCTTAGTACTCGTAGCAAGCCAGGATAATGAAGACAAGAGCACCCGCAATGACGTCGGCGATGAGCTCAAGTACGGCCATAGTCTTGAGTCGAAGAAAGAAGTCAGCCTCTAATTGTCCGAGCACATGCACCCAGAAAGGCATCTTATCCAATTGGCACTGGTTTCATATCCGGTAGTTGGGTTTTCTTAAAGTCGGTGTTCTAGAATACTGTCCAGGTCTACTCAATTCGACTTTAGAAACCTTATACCTCCCTCGTATAGCTTCTTATAGGCATAGTGTATAAAAGCCGGCCATAAGATCGCAGTTTCCCAACTGGGTACTCATACACTAGTAGGTAAATACAGAACATCATAGTAGGAGGGTATTGTTATACAGGGCGAAACTAAATCATATGCAGAGTCATTGCCGCTACTCAAACGGCATGAAGTTATTATAATCCATCTCGAACATTTGCGTGGGCTGGCTGGCAGTCGCAAGTCCGGGGTTATCGTACAAGGCTGGTCCCTCGAATTCATTCATCCAGCTCATCGCATCCTCTCCAAAGCTGAACATCATCGTCGCATCAAGAGCTACCGCTTCCTTGGGAGGTTCGTGGATCGGCAGATCCGAGTACCTCGGCTTGCAGAACACGGCCGCTTGGATCTTCCACTTCTGCGCAATGTTCCTCAGCGCCAGCAGAGACCGCGTGCTCCAGGACCAGGCGGTCTCCATCTCCTCGAGGGCATTCACGCACGTCGTCAGGTTCCGGAGGGCCTTCTCGCGCATCAAAGCTGAGTTGGTCGATGCATCGGCCAGTAGAATGATGGCGGCAGTGAATGCGCAGTGGACGGTTGAGATTGGTGCCGTCCTCTATCGTACAATCAGTCATGACAGGTCATTCTTAAATTGCCTGGATAATACGTACTAGCCCATATTGCTTGCTTTGCCAGCGTAGAATGTTGGCGATGCACTCTGTCGAAGAACGACAAGCATCCGTGTGAGAATCATCAGCCTGCAGACAGCCTGAGATGTTGCCCTCGGATAGCCTCGTAGTCCGCAGGAACGGTCTGTGCAACAAAATAGTGACGACATGATATTGCAGGCTACTTAACGTTAGTGAACTTTCTTGGCATCTTCTTCGACTGAAGTAAACGAACTGCATTTGGTATACATGGGGCAGCACAGGTGCCTCGGCTATGTTTGGCGACTTGGGCAACCGAAGGTAGCTGGGGAGAGAGGAATAGAATGAACAGAGCCTGATCTGTGCGTTCAGAGCAAGTTCCTCTTTCGAGGCAGCGTCCAATACGTTGTTTGGGGAGTATCTACAAGCAGTCAGCAACTAAACTCAAAGTCCCCTCATGCAACATACATTGCGTCGAGCACTCCGGTGACTTCTGATAACATTCGTCGTGTGTGCAGTGCAACACTCAGACACCGCCCACTTATTTCATTCACACCCTCTATTCCGGTGTCCCAGAGCGCAAACTCATCTTCGGAGTCCAAGGACGGCATCCTGGCGGTGATATCTCTCTCCTGGATCATGGATGGACGCCCTAACCCAATGTTGAAAAGCCTATAGAACAATTCATGATCAGCACCGCTCTCCCAGATCTCAGGGCCTCATATCACAGCATACTTGTCAAGCATGTAGACTCCCCACCAGGTAACCCTCCGATCCTCAACTTCTTCGGGAGTCAGCAACCCGGCAGGGACACACTTGGAGCAATCAACATGCAATCCCAAATTCAGAGCCATCCTCGTCGCCATGCCGCAATACATGAACCCGAGAGCCTCCTTGTCCCTTGCTGTCTCGCACAGGGATAGCAGCAGCACTGCCTGGACCGTCGTCGTCGTCGGCGCTTCGCATTCATACTGGAGCATGATCTTGACCTGCTCCACAAAGTGGTCTCCAGCCGTGTTCGGGTCGCCCACGTCCTTTCTCAGCTCGAGCCGATCCGAATAACGAGATGCAAGCGCATTGATGGCCGTGAGAAGTAGGGGCGAGTGGAAGGGTCCGAAAGCGGCGCCGCCAGAGGAGGCCTGGCTCGATGTGAAGAGCTTGCGGGAAACAAAGTACTGCCACTGGTTCTGCCACCGCCAGAATAGGTCGAGCAGGTGTGTCTGGAGCTCAGAGCCGAGGTCAAGCGGCTCCATTCGCGACATGGCTGCTTTGAAGCCCTCCATCTGGATCTCTCGCGACGACTTGCTGCTCAGCATGGCCGTCTGGAGGAGGTTGAAGTTACTCCGCGATCCGAAGAATCTCACTTCGCCTCCGTCGGCGATCTGGAATTTCCCCAGGGTGTCTGTGATTTCATTCAAGGGGCTCTTTTCGCTCGTATAATGGTCATGGTGGCCGAAAGCTGGTCCTGGGTCTGTGTCTTGATTTTGCACTGGGAGCGAGGGCGCCTCCGGCCGAGTTATGGTCTCTGAATGAAAGTTGGGACTATTCAGCTGCTTCTCCAAGCTCGCAATCCTCGCCTCCAGGGCTTTCACATAATTTTTGCTCGGTGGTCAAAGTACCGGTCAGCAGAAGAGAGGTGAGTCCGGGACGGATGCATACTCACTTGCGTTTGTTCTCAGTGATGTGGTAGACGCATTCTTGATTTCGATAACTGCATGCCGAACATTGCACGAGGTTTCCATCGCACTAATAATAATAATAATAGTAATAAGGCTTGATTAGCGGTGGAAGTTGATTGGGAGGATGGATAGTTAGAGAGGATTGCGGTTACCTTGGTCTTTTTCTCCCTGCATCCTAAGCAGGCAGTGCCAATCCGCTGCCGGGCTCTGCGCGCGTCCTCTGCCATGGGATCTTACTGCTGCAGACGACTTCATCCAAGGACTAAATCGGGTTGATGAAGTGGGCATGGGGTCATGAGCGGTTGCGGGATTAAAGATATAGGCAGATAAGAGAGAAGGGCACTAGGCGAGTTTGCATTTCCGCTTGCCGCCACTAGAGATTCATCGCTTTGAATGGAAGGAGGATCGTAGAAACTCGTTCGTGCTGAGAGCCGTTGAAGTAGGGATACGACAAAAACAGATGGGAAAGGTCTTCGTCTACTCTGATCTAGGTACCCAGGAATTACCCCAAATATTCATTCAGTAACATGCTCATGGTTTGACTCTAAATTCAAGTGTCTAGCAACCGAATTGTCGTCTGCTCTTTGCAGAACAAGGGTTGATGTGCCATGATTCATGCCAGCTCCACATCCGAAGTACGTTGATCACCCCCCCGGATGCCTAATCTCACCGTTCATTAACATCAGGCATATCAATTAAGCCGAATTCATTTGAAAGTCTCGGCTAGGGCAGGGAATCGGTCTGTAAATGCCGAAGACATTGTCCAGTTTCTTAGATCCCGCACGTGTTTCTCAAAGGTCTCGGTCAAGACGAGCTCGTCTCCGGACTCAATGTACGGCTCCCCGTCCGCCCAATTCACACTGATATTTGTAGAGAAGTGTGGAGAGAACTCTGGGTGGTGAAAGTCCTCGAAGCTTTCGATGATGAAGTCGCGCATACCAGGCCTGCGAATGAGTTCCAGTAAGAAATGATCACCTACGGGCCATGGAGCAAAGCTTACCAGGGAATATTGTCCATCCATATTGGATGCGACGTGGTGACTTGTATCACGGTCGGACGCAGCCAAAACGGCATCGCAAGGTAGTTTTCTCGGGTGGGCGATATTTTCCACTATCAAAATCAGCGTATGCCAGCATTGTGTGTAGAGAGTCCTGGGTATACTTACCCTCATCGACAGACACATGATGTAGAAGAAGGCCAGTCTTTCTGGCAATGCGAATCCTGGGTAGACCGACACAATCTCCGAGATGGGGCCACTCATAGGCACTGCCTCTGAAACAGGTGTGCCATCTACGACGACTTTCACGCATGGTTTCCGCGGGCCGACGACGGTGTCTATGGGGACGCCGCGCGACATCATCATCTTGCTCGACTCGAGAACATCAAGGAAGATCTGGTCCAAGGGGCAGGTCGCATTGCAATGCCAGGGAGTGATGGCGTGTGCATGCATATGCCCGTGCAGGTTGGATGGCGACTGGAGGCCGATTCCACGAGTTTCTTGCTGGTTGGATCCACGGGCCAATAACTCGTTCTGATCTCGAGACATGCTCGTTCCATCGGCAGAGACTTCAGTCCTGCGGCTGGTGCTCGAGACAATCTGGCCGATCTGGTCGAGCGCCCTCTGTAGACTCTGGTTGCTCTCACGAAGTAAGCCCAGCTCGCGATCTCTCTCATCATACATCTCTTGCAGCCGAGTATACCGCTGTTCCAGGTCGGCCATGGCGTCTCTGTTCCGCTGACGTGCGGCGCGCTGAGCACGCCGATCTACGATCCTCTTCTGCTGAATCTGCTCCTCCGTAAGCGTCTGCACCGATCTCACCCGCTTCCTCAGGCCTTGACGTGGACCCTCGCGGGGTGGCATGGTGTGTGGCTCCTGCAGGGCTTGCTAGACAGTCTCGGACGCGACGATGGATCAATATTGCGGTCAAAGGAGCGGTTGTTGGAGGATCCTGGCATGAGTCATGTCCAACCGCCTCCGCAAACCATCTCCATCAGCTCCACAAAACCGGTGGTGCTCCTTCATAGGAGGCACTGTTGTCTCCCCGAGATACGGCAATGGTGAACAGGTATAAAGGTCAGTGATTCATCTCCCAAGATGCCCTCTTTGCCATGTCGATCACTGTAAAGTCGCAACAACACGATGGCTTCCATCTCAAACAACCCCCTGCGCATTGCCTCTGCATCCGGCGCCGTGACTGACCGGCAGCATGCCCTCGAGTCTCTTGCCAGGCATGAGCGCATCGACTTCATCGTCGGCGACTGGATGTCGGAGATGAATATGACGCTGAGGGCGGCGGGCAAGGTTGATAGCAATGGCGAATCTGCTCAGTTCGAGTCGCGCTTCTTGCACTCTCTGGCACCCGCCCTTGAGCATATCGCAGCCCGCGGCGTCAAAGTCGCTGTCAATGCGGGCGCGAGCGATCCCCAGAAGCTATGCAGCGCAGTGACGGAGCTGGTTCAGTCCAAGAGCTTGGATCTCACCGTTGCCTGGGTTGGTGGGGACGAGGTCTTGGACACCGTCCTGGCCGACGCGAAGAATGGAGAGGAATTCGAAAGTTTGACGACAGGTATGTTGCGTAGATCTCCTTGCTTATACAGTCAGACTTAACTTATACTCGTGGAAAGGTCAAAAACTATCGGAATGGGGATTCGAGCCCATCTACGCCCAGTGCTACCTCGGAGGCTGGGGCATCGTGGAGGCACTCAAAGCAGGGGCAGACATTGTCATCTGCGGCCGCGTCGCCGATGCGTCTCCCGTGATTGCCTGCGCCGCCTATCACTACGGGTGGTCTCGACATGACTACCAGCAGCTCGCCCACGCTTTCGTGGCCGGCCATCTGATAGAGTGCTCGACGTACGCGACAGGCGGCAACTTCTCTGGCTTCAAGTCGCTGTCCGGGGACCTCTCCAACATCGGGTTCCCCATTGCCGAGATTCTCCCCAGTGGCGAGTTCTTCATCACCAAGCAGCAGGGTACGGGCGGGATGGTTACCGTAGATACCTGTAAGGCCCAGCTCCTGTACGAGATCCAGGGGCCGTACTACTACCACTCGGACGTCGTGGCTGTTCTAGACGGCATAAAGATGGAACAAGCCGGTGTTGACAAGGTGTAAGTCACAACGATCAAGCATCAATAGCCCTTTGAGAAAGTATCACAATTGCTCAGGTATTTCAGCTTCGTTTCCAACGTGGGGAGTAAACCGCCCCCTCCTACGACCAAGGTCGGCCTCACTGCCAAGGGCGGCTTTCAAGCCGAGGCACACTACTTCCTGTGCGGACTGGACATCGAGGAAAAGGCCAAGCTTCTGGAAACACAGCTACGCTACGCTCTGCAACAATCCAGTTTCCACTGCCTCAAGTTCCGCACCAACGGACGCTGCCCAGACGACCCCAAGAACCAAGACGCGGCGACGGTCGACTTCCGCATCTTTGCCCAGGCGCGCGAGGAGGCAGACCTGGCGCCCCCTCGGTTCCTCGAGCCCATCATGAACAACATCATGCAGGGCTACCCAGGCGCCACATTCGCCATGGACGCGCGACAAGGCCTGCCGAAGCCGTACTACGAGTACTGGGTCGCCCTCCTACCACAGACGCGCATCAAACACGTCTGCCACGTGCCGTTCAAAGGGCTTGACATTCCCATCGCCCCTCCAGACGACACTGAGATCTTCATCCATGACCAGCCGAGCTACGAGACCTCCTCTGCTCTTGGCTTGGACTCGTTTGGGCCGACTGTGCGCGCGCCGATTGGATACATCGTGCATGCTCGGTCTGGCGACAAGGGCTCTGACTCGAACGTGGGCTTCTTCGTCCGCCACGAGGACGAGTGGGACTGGCTCAGGAGCATTCTCACCGTTTCCATGCTGAAGGAGCTGCTGGGAGAGGACTACGGTGGGGGTCGCATCTTTCGCTTTGAATTGCCAAACATTTGGGGTAAGTGACGGCCTTGGTATTTTGCATACGTCTGAATAGCTAGCTAACCTCGTGATAGCTGTACACTTCCTCCTCAAAGACTATCTGGATCGGGGCGTCGGCGCAAGTTCGACATACGACGTTCTGGGGAAGAATGTAGCCGAGTATCTGAGGAGCAAGTACGTCGATGTTCCAAAAGTATTTCTAGAGCGTGGACGGATATGATGGGACTAAGTTGTCTAAGAATGTCCAGGGCCATCAATGTCAGTCATTATACGAGATAGGATTTTTCCATGAACAAAAATGAGGCTTTATGATCAAATGCAGATCATAGTTCCATAAATGTATGCCTCCCCGTTTCTATCAAAAAGGGGCTAGAGACCTCCATCGTCTGAGAGTGGCGAGATGCACATGCACCGGACAAAGAATGCATTTCCTTCTCCAATGTACATGTAATCATCCTCAGTAATCGCAAAGTTGCCTTTCGTTCTCAAACACGGCAATTATCGCACAGAATAACACGTGATTCTTCCGTCTCAAAAAACATAGGTGCGAACCTCTTATTGGACTTTCTGATAACACCGTCTGCGATTGCCATGATGTGTACAGGGACTGGTACCGCTGGCGCGAGGTAAATAAGGACGGCTGTATCCTTATTCGGCCTGATTGTATGGTATACTCGAGGGCTTTAGATATAGTCCCAAGCTATGAGGAAAAGCTTTTGCAAGTTCTTAACCAAATTCTCTCTCTAAAGAGCCAATAGACCTGGCTAAGTATTCAAAGGTGTTACTTCGAGATAAATGTCCCTTATCAAGAGTAAGAATATGAAGAGTAGTTAAGTAGTTTCATAAAATCTAATACCCGATCTCCGCTATCTAGAAAGCATATGGTAAATTCAAATAAACAAGAACGAGGCTCTTAAAGGTTCATGGGTATCTTAATATACAATCAACGCCTGATGCCGCAGTGTTCATTGACTTGGCGAATGTACGGCTGTCCCATCCACATGCTCGTCCACGGGACCAATCAGTATGTCCCAAATACTCCCAGTAACAGGTTGAGTATCAACGATGTCGCTATGATCAAAGCATTAGTACCCGTGTAGATAACTTTTGAAGCTTGAAGGAAACTTACAATCCTGAGTTCCTGTCTTTCTTGGCCAAGTCGTCATCTAGGAATTTCAATCTTCGTTCGCCAACTGGGTTCGACCCAAATCTCAAGAACTGTATGGCCACCGTTGACCGACTGACCCCATAATCTCTCATTTTACTAATGACTCCTTGGATTGGGTTTTCAGCTCCGCCTCCAGTGGAGGAGCCCCAGTTTCCATCAGTGAACACAATAACTGTGACCGGTTTCTTGCGACCGATGAGTATCCCGGGGAGACTAAGCAATGACGTTCGTCTAATGTTGCTTTTTGACGCAGAACTCTGCAACTGCTCACCGATTGGGTCGAGTGCTTGCTCAAGGACAAATTCCATGTTGCAGGGTCCCCCTCTCCCTCGACTGAAATTCTTTGTTACGAATTTGGAGTGACCGGTGGCGTGTTTGAATTTCGATCGAGTCATCGGGTCTGATGTACACATGATTTCTGCCCCATCTGGGTCGAGTCTCTTGACGAGATAAGCAAGAGAATGGACAAAGCTTTTGACCTGGTCCTCGTGTTCTTGCATCGTCTCAGAATTGTCGATAACGAAGATCTATGGATGCTCATTAGCCACTAATTCATACAATCTTAGCTGTTTTCAGTTGGTGGCGATTCCCACTTACGAAGTCGCGACCATTCAACTGGGCTTGAACACTTTCCCATCCCTCCAACTCTGGCGTGTCCCCGTCGACCTTCTTTTTTTCGATCCATTTAATTACTGTGCCAATCGTGGGGCTCTCTTTCCGAGATAATCTCGGCTCAGCAGTGAGCATCTCAAGGTTGGACTCTGAAACTGGCGATCGACCTTCCAGAACTATATGAGACGTGTAGGACAAGACATGTTCTTGCTCTGATGTGGGAGAGGCTATCACCGGCTTTCCAGTTATCAAGCTATGCTGCCCCGTCAACGCTCCATTCGTTGGGGTGGAAAGCGAGGTCCTCCTTCGATCGGCTTCCGTGTCGATGATTTTTTTCATCGCCGAATAAACGCGCCCCGCAGACTGCCTTTTGTCTTTCTCTACCAACAACTCCTTGATGGCCAAATCAAACATTTTGGATGTTATCTCGTCGTCACGACGACCGTGATCTTTGATTTGCTGACCGAAGTCATGAACACAGCGCAAAATCTCTCTACCGTCATGGAAACAATCTCTGCGACCTGATTTCTCGTAATCGCTGAGAGGGTCGGTTTCTGCCATGCGGCCTTCGATGAAGTCCAGGCGACCTCTTTCCCCAAGGCTTATCCAAACAGCACATTCGAGAATGATGCATCCGAGTGGCCACAGGTCAGCCTCTGGCCCGACATGGTAATTAATCTCGTCGCCTAGGACGAGTTCAGGGGGTGCTTTAAAAAAGCAAATCAGCATTTAGTAAAAGGGATAAAATGCAAGCGGGGTTCCTACCATAGGTCTTGGATGTCCTCTGATCATTGGTTCGGGCGGGTTTGGAGCCATTTAGGCCTGAGTCTTGGGGAGCAACGTAGCTGTGCTCAAAGTCGATCATCTTAAAGATGAAGGAGAACTTCTTAAGAGGGTCGGCTCCAGACAATACGACAACGTTACCGGGCTTGAGATCTAAATGAAGTCTTCAGGGTGAGTCGGGTTAGTATGGAATTGAATTCAAAGCAAAGATGAAATAGTTGTCAGTCTATGTAGCGACATACCCAGTTGATGCGTGGATGCATTCTACTCCTTTAGCAATGCCGGCAATGCCAGCCCAAAGAGAGGATATCTCATCGGGCTTGTACGGTGGCGATTTCTGCTCGAAGAAGTCAAGGAGGGAACCATGCTCTGCGTATTCAAGAATGAGATTGCCGGTCCGTTGGTTTTGTTCAGAGAGCCAGCTGTAACTTCCCATGAGCTGGGTTATATTGGAGGTACCATGCGTAAAGGCATTGTATGATACTCTCTCATTGAAGTATTCTTGGTGTAGGTGCGGCGGGAAGGATTTGACGACAACGTATTTTGGTATCTAGTCACCCCACCCAAAGGTCAGCCGCATGCCATAATAATCTGCTACTATCATTGCATAGAAGCAGAGAGAATGGAGACGTGTCAAGTTCAGGGCTATACTTACCGGATGATCGAGGTGACTGTGCGCTCCTTGTAGTACCTCCCTTATGTACACGTTCCGTTCTCTGCCTTGGCCCTGCACGGTTGACTCTGTCGCCTTGAAGGCCAATATAGTGTCTCTATGAAGGTTCAAGTCGCCGGCTAGCCCAAAAATCAATCTTGGGCAGAATATCCACTGAGAATCGAAGAAATGTCTCAACTGATTGATATTGGATTCATCCTGGACACGACCTGGAATGTCTTTCCATGGTAGATGACCGTCGTCGAGGGATTCTGAAACGAGTGTGGGAAGGAGTTCAATGTTGCAATTGAAGCAGAGAATCGAAATCACAAGCAAGAACCCGTCTTGGACATTCGTAGGGGTGAGTTCCTTAATTCGGACGGCCTTAAGCAACTGTTTGATCCTTGAGTGTGTCCAATATTTTTGCAAGACCGAGTAAGGCACGAAGTTCTTGGAATGTCCTTGGCAAGTAATCCCTGTTTCATAGTTGTGCCTGAGATGGGCCTTGAACGCCTTGTACAGCTGGTCCATTGGTGACAACGCGGGGGATCGGAGTGCAGAAAAGACTGTCAATGTGCTACCACGTGAGTGAGGAACAAAGGGTGGCAATGGACTATTTATTGCCACTGCCTATCACATATCTGGTTACTTAATCATGCTCAAGGGGACAATGTAGTAATGTAGGCTGGCCAGTGGCTAAGTAGGGTGAGGCTTCTCCTCGATCTTGGTGCGCCTTACGGGCTGCCTGCCATCTCCAGGCAGCAGAAAGCAGGCAACGAGGCGCATGCAGATCCTCACCTCGAGATCTATGATGAATTCACTCAAGCATACGAGTGTTAGGGTGTGTGTAATAGCCGCGTGTTCTCTGCACTTGATAAAACCAACGTTCAAGGAAATCCCCTCTTCTCCCCCTTTCCCAGGTTATAATACATTCTAATGATAAATTGTCTGAAGGCCATTGCTTCAATGGCTGCGACCCTGTGAGAAGGCAGCTGGTCCGCCTGAGACCCTCCCCACACCACCCTCCGATCTCGAGTCTCAGCCGGTCACACTCACCCACCCAGGCGCAGCCAGCCACTCTTCCGACGAGGTGCATATCGGCTGATGATGAACATGGGTTCTATAGCTCTCATATCATAATGGTTCGCCAAGAAAACTCTGTACAGCCACACACCGCCACGTCGTTGTATGTGCGAGTGCCGGTCTGTCTACATGCTACACTGGGCTCGAGGCAGCTCCATGGTACTCCTGGAGCTGTTTTCTGCGTGATTTTTGTGCACACAGATACCATGTCCATAAGCTTACAGTGATGACCATCATAACCACACAAATGATTATGAAAACCTCGAAAAGATCCTTGTGGAAGGTCCAGGACCGTGGGCTCCCCTCCTCGGAATCCCCAAAGATCGGCGTACTGAAGAAGCTCTGAGTATTCTCGGTCAGAAAAGCAGACCAAGAAGACCCCCGGACAAACGAAAGGAGCAATCTTACGCCAAGAAATGTGCCGGGGAGGAAGATGAGGGCGAAAAAGGTCATGAAATGCATAGAGCCCGTGTCCTTCTCCGTGCTTTCGGCAATCTTATTCATGCTTCTTGTCATCTCTTCCATCCGCTTGGTCGACCCTTCCATTCGCACAGAAGCGCTGAGAGCATCCATGGCAAAGAGATTATTTGTTTCTGCGCTCTTAAGTTGCAGAATGGAATCATACTGCGCTTTCGTTAGCAAGCTTTGTCTTGATATGAGCGTGGCTGTCTTTCACTTACAAGGATTTGGGCGTCGGCAGCGACTTCAATCAAAGCATCAATTCGTGAACATCCTGTCACTAATTTGTTCTCCAGCTGCTCGACTCTTATTTTGAAGCTCTCCAGATCATTGGGGCAGGACCTTTTTATTTCAGCAGGAAAGCCTGGATCTTCAAACAACCGTTGATAAAACTGGCGAGTCTGTTTCAGAACCCTGGCATTCGATCCCATGATGAACTTCGCTTCCTTGAGTTTCTTACAGATCGAGTTGAGCCTTTGCAGATCGTCAAATGGGAAGTCTTGCAATTTCCTCACTTTCTCGATCGTTCGCTCCATGGTACTTTGAACGAGCTTTTCTAGCTTCTCTGCAATCTTTTCGCCATTAGAAGGGCCTGTCACAGGGCCCCCATTCTTGACATTGCCCGATAGTTTTGCCTTGATCAGATTGAAAGAAGATTGACGGTGTGGTGATTGGGCCTGAGTCCCTGAACTGGCGACTGTCCCTGGACTGGCGACTAGCCCTTGTGATTCTCTAAATGTCTGCGACCGCAACAATAGAAGGCCATTTTTCTCATCATCACCCGACATTGGAATATTACGTATTCTCTGAGAGATTTCATGGATACCATTCTCCAGCTTATTTGTGAATGCTTTCCAGCCTGCTTCACTCCAATAGAAACTGGCCAGCTGCGTTTCTAAGGAGGTGACAAAGGAAGAGGCCAGCGAATGAGGGACCGCATTTTTGTTAATTTCGGTGATTTGGTCGAGAATTTTCTTGTGGTTAGCCTTGAGAGTTACAAAAACAGAACGGCCGGTAGAGAAATCAAAGCAGTGATAAACGGCTAGTTGGCGATTGACAAAATCCTCTCCGGACTTTTCCATACCGGAGAGCTTGTACATGTTTCGTGCCTCCCAGCCCGATCTCCCGAGCTCAGGCGTGCGCAGAAAGCCATCGCTCGTGGGCTTAACGTGGTATTCCTGAGAACATTGAGGCTGATAGATGTTGACAATGTCCTTTTCTGGCTCCTCGAAAGAGCTCAACATATCTATAAATTCCGGTGATAATTGCAAGTAGGTGCACAGGAACCGAAAGGCGTCGGAAGTGCAATTCAGCGGCTTTCGAGAGTTACCAGCAGAAAAGAATCTGATTTCGCGACGGTTAGTGGCGCCCAACGATTATTTTTGCAGTTTCTGGCCAACTTACATGTTGCGAACAAGGGGATCCGGTTCTTTTTTAGTGAGATGACGATTCAAATGGCTTTTTAGTTGGTCAGAAGTCGAAATTGTCTGGGTCTGCCAGGTCGCAGCTGATCTCTCAGTTAGGAATCAATAATAAAGAAATTGCAAATTTCAAGGAAGGTGTACGAACAGTGGTTTTGAAAATTACTCTCCCGAAAAACGAGCCGGAACGACTTTGGCTCCTTGTCGATGAATAAACGGCCCTGACTTTCATGGAGCTGATCTTGAATTTGTTTCAGCAATTGCTTCGGAGCCTGTGCCCCGTCGATCATGCTGGGGCAGAGAGGCCAAAGCTGAGATTCTCGGCAATCATCTATGATTTGTTGAATCATTTTGAGGTTCTTTATGCTGCTTCTAGTGTTCGATCATTGAAATGAGCAGGCGGCTACTTGCGGAATTGGGATTTATATAACGACCTCATGAGATCCCGAGGCTTGTCAGCTCGGACTGTTCTGGATTTTATTGCATACGCCTCGCTGCCTCGCCAGCTTGCTCGTGCAGTACAAAAATACGCGCTTATCATGCACGTATTCGCGCAAGTATCCATCCAGGAGGGCTGAGACTTGGCGCACACATTGCCCATCGGCTGAGTTGTTTCACACGCTGTCTTTTCAATCACTTTTGTGATCAAGACCAAAAATAATTAGCATCCATCTCGTTATGTCATATGTTAATATAAGGATACGGGCCAGACACCTGCTGTCGCACATGGTCAGACAGAGAGGTGGCTTCCTGGGTGGCTGTTCCTCCACCCAGCCCCCCAGCCCTTTTGTCTTGTTTACTACAGTAATCTCAGTCGCAGTCTGGAAAAAAAGCCTAAGCAGTACAGATTCACGCAAAAAAACAATAGAAAAAAGGAATTGCATGACCCCCAGGAAGACCCCGATTGTGCATACTTCATTCAAGACCGATCATCCTCAACTCTGCCTCCGACTCACATACCGAGAGGCGGCCACAATATGAAAACTGACTTCTTCATTTCAGAGAGACACCCAATGTGTTATGTAGTCCCAACCTCCTGAATTCACAGGCGGCAGTGCCTCGAGCCGTGTCGCTAGGCGTACTGCGGCCGGCCGCCTTTCGTGCCACACCCCTCAAAATCAATCAGAGTCCTGGAGGGCGCGTATAGCGTCCCATTGTGCCTGCGAATCTTTCATTAGATTTCAACATTATATTTTGGGAAGGACCTATGTGTTAAGCGAAGAAATGCCCACGAACCTGGCTGAGGGGTTTGGGCAATTCTACCACGTATTCGTCGGCTCTCCCTAACTACAATGCACTTTATCAGCATAAATTTTATAGATTGTGCCTTCTTTGCGACCACCTCAAATGCAAGGAACGGGATCATACATTGACCTCAATGTCCGCTCCTGGGAACTGGCCTAACAAGTACGTTTGGAGCTTGTCTTGATCCAAGCGATAGCGCGAAATGACCGCTTGCATTGTAGCTAACGAAGCCTAGAGTAGGGGGCAAGGCATACAGAGAACCTAGGATCAGACTGAATTTGGTAAAAAAAAGCACAAAGTATGCCTTGGCTGTGAGAGGAGGGTCTGTGTGAGACTCTTGGGGCTTTTATGCCCCTCATGACTTGCCAAGTAGGCTGAAGTAGGCTGAACTTGCGGCTCTGCTTACTCCTACTTGGAACTTATTCTGCTCTCACCGTATGTGAGGTGGCAGGGGATATTACGCTGTACACCATCATATCTCATGTGCTGCTACATCGGTGGATTGCACTGAGCAGAATGCATGATGGTGTCGTCCTCATTGGATGCAGCTTGGGTTGCATAGCGGCTGGAATGGCGTCACGGGGACATTTATCAATGGTTCGCGAACCAACTCAGCCTTGGACTTTTGCTCCCGAGATGGTCTAAGACACGGCTCAGCATGATGGTGCTCAGTCACTGGGACAAGCCAAGGCATACCAGGCCAGGGCGGTGTTGTTTGAAGCCCGCTGCGAGGTCCACACCGGTGTCCATTGGGGGAGAAGAAGTATGAATTGTGCGTCAAGTCGGTCTGGATAGAAACTGCTTGTAGTATAGGCACCTTGGGCTCCCACAAGTTGTATGCAATGCGGGCTTGGGAGTAGAATTGGGTGTGGATGCAGCTGTGTCTAGGTAATGCTTGGACACCTGCAGATATGACAAATGTGATAACAATCATCCCCCCCCAAGCCTCCAAGAGACTGCCACACTATTACTTGGAAATACAGTTGTGTCATTATGTGCAATAGTTGCCCTGTTTGGGAGCGAAAAAAACAAGTTTGCCATTACCGAGGTTGACAAGAAGGAATCTGCAACCTTCTCCCGATGCATCTCACCGCTAGAAAATATGCGCAAGGCAGTTTATTCCCGATGATTGTCTTTTTTTCCCCTCTCTCAGCTGACTAGGTAGCCACTGTAGGCAATTGTGATATGTCAGAATGCTGCCTCTTCCGGTGGCCACATACACTACCACCGCCCAATCCTCACGAAATGGCGAGCTCTTCAAAGGTTAGTTGTTCCATCAAGCCTTGACAACAAATCTATTAACCATCAATTCAAAATCAGCTTCTTTGGAAAGCTATTCATTTTCTTCCAGGGGCTAGTAGGTCAATGTGAGAGGATACGGCCACCAAAAGGAAGGATAATGCTTTCGAAACATCACCGTTCGACTGACTACCTACCCAACCACCCCAATCTAGCCAAGAGAGTCGCTGTCTTAATGATGCCACGGTGAGCGACAGTTGCGGACCTGGCCTAGCTGCCTGCTATTGAGATGAGCGATCGATGTGTGGCCGGCCTAGCTGTCACGTGGTGTGAAGAGCAATAGCTGTATGCCGGACCCAGCTGCGACCCTTCAGAATGTTCAACTCGGAGGCTTGCCCTACCCATCTACCCTGAGATGAGATATTGCTACGCTGGCCGAGCTGCGCTGCGTTGCGGCGAGTGATGGCTACGAATCTCATCCCTCTATCTGTTGTTGAGAGGAACGGTAGATGTGGCCCTAACCGCTTAGGTCGCCCTTCCATGCGACAGCTAATACATTAGATCCTCTGCCATCGAGGCGAGAGATCGCTATGGGCCTAGCCGAACTGCGCTGTGTTGCGGCGAGTGATCGCTACCCCTCTGTCTGTGGTCAAGATTGATGATGCGGCTCTCAGGTTCTGGTGCTGGGAGAGTTCCACTAACAGTTAGGGGCCTTTATCGCTAAACACGGATCCATGGATCGATTACGCGCGATTACGCTTTCGGTGCATCCCGCCTGTAGATCGCATCTTGGTCAGCACCATGATGCGACGGCTGACAGGCTATTAATACACTCGTGCTATTGTTCCCGGGACTAGCTGCCTCTGATGGATGTGAATAGGCGACACGGTTGGCTTCTCCCCTTCCACCGCCATCGACACCCTCCAGCAGCATCCAGCCGGCCGTGTTGACGCTGCTGCAGAGGAAGCAGGACCACCCCTGCACCATGGCCGCCTTCAAATTCCCCAGCTTTTTCGCCAGGGACCCGGCAGCCGACCGTCGCTTCCCCCCTTCCATCTACCGCCCCCTCAACCAGACCGACAACGACCACGACGATGACGATGACGATGCTGCCCCCCACCATGGCGCCCCCCGGAGGGAACCTCTCGACATGGCTGCTGGCAGAGGAGCAGCGAGTACCACCGCTCCCCGCGATGCCGCAGCCATGATGCTCATCAAGCTCGGTCACGATCCCTCTCACCGCATCCCCATCTCCTCCTCCACCAACGACCGAATCCTGCGCCGAATCGACCTCGCCCTCCTCCCCCTCATGCTCACCGTATACTTCCTCCACGCCCTCGACAAGGCTACACTCTCCTATGCCTCCATCTTCGGCCTCATCGAGGACACCAAGCTCGAAGGCGACCAGTTCTCCTGGCTGGGCAGCATTGTCTACGTCGCACAGCTCATCTTCCAACTGCCTGTCGCCTGGGCCCTCGTCAAGCTGCCGGTGGGCAAGTTTACAAGTCTCATGGCGCTGGGGTGGGGAATAACGCTTACGGGGATGGCCGGTGCGAAGCGATTCCCCCATCTCTTGGGAGCCAGGTTCTTGCTCGGGTCGTTCGAGACCAGTATTGGGCCGAGCTTTGTTGCGATTACACAGATGTGGTGGAGGAGACGAGAGCAGACGCTGCGGATAGGGTCCTGGTATTGCATGAACGGGCTCTCCTGGGTGGTAGGTTATGCATCTCTAATCAACCGGGTTCTGCGCTGACAATGGCTCAGCTGGGAAGTCTAATTACATACGCCCTCGCCAGCATCCATTCGAGTTTGAAGTCATATCAGGTACTTGACACACCCACCTCGGCCATGACTTAGTTGCTAAGACATTGCAGATCATCTTTCTCTTCTTCGGCCTCGTGACGGTCGCATTTGCCTTCATCATGTTCTTTCGCATGCCCGATTCGCCCACCGAGGCCAAGTTCCTCTCGGATGAGGACAAGGTCATTGCCATTGAGCGCCTACGAGATAACCAGATGGGAGTCATGTCGAGGGAATGGCGATACAGTCAATTCTACGAAACCCTGCGTGATCCCAAGACATGGCTGTGGACGGCAATGATCTTTTGCGCCTCTGTCCCGTCCAATGGCATTGGAATCTTTGGCCCTCTCATTATCAAGTCATTCGTATCAGACCCTTTCCAGACGACCTTGTTCAACATTCCCGTGGGGTTCGCGCACATGATAGCGGTCACCGGCAGCGCGTACCTGTCGATGAAATGGAAACTGAAGGGCCCGGTACTCGTCCTACTGTGCATTCCTCCTATTATCGGCCTCTCCATCCTTCTGAGCTTCGGGCACACCAACGAGAACAAGGGCGTGCTCCTGTCTGGGTTTTTTTGCGTGTGTACGTTCACAGGTATTAGTATGTGCTCATATCACACTATGTTTGACTCGCGGACCTCATGAACGCGTGGCTAATCGAGTTACAGCGCCGTTGATTTATTCATGGTCGTCGCAAAACACGGCGGGAGACACCAAGAAGAAGTCCACGTCAGCCCTCATCTTCATCGGTTCCTCGGCCGGTAACATCATCGGCCCTCTGCTATTCACGCCGGGCGAGCATCCTGCCTACACCCGTGGCTTGCGTGCGAACATTGCCTTCTTCAGCATGGTCATTCTCCTTGTCATCGTAACGACAGTCTACATCAAAGCATTGAACAGCTCGCATAGTCGGAGGCGAGTAGCCCTTGGGAAGAACGCGGTGGTGAGAGACTTAAGCTTGGAGACATCCGAGTCAGTCGATGTGTTTGACCACTTGCACACTGGGGACGAAGGTGGAGGTGATGACGAGTCGGGGTCCAAGGCGTTCAGCGATGCTACTGATTTGGAGAACGAAGACTTTGTGTATGTCTTTTGAGCGGGATTTTCTACCACCATCTACCCTTCTTTTTTATCAATGGGCCGTTTTGGAGTTGTTTGGAGCTGAGGTTTGGCGTTTACTTGCAAGATAGATTTTCCATCGGCACGATACCCACGGATGATAGACAGTCATTTACAGCAATGAGTTTGACTTTTGACCTGCATGCCACTACTTAAGCTTGAATGTTTCTTATTGATGCCGAGACGCATTGTTTTATCCGCGATCCACCCTTTTGATGCAGGCAAACGGATGCAGGTCTTGGCTTTTGAGCGGTGAAGTAATAATTGGCTGAGGGAGGGGCCACCGGTCTGAGGTACTTGTGTGGAGGGAAACAGCAGAAGTACGCAGCGTGATGACGACTGCTTAGGAGAGATAATTCACAGTCAGAGGTAATTTGCTCATCATTAATTGGAAACTCTTTCTGAATCGAAGGCGAGACTGCCTGCGTTGGGTTGCATTATGACGCCTCCTGGGAGCATTCCAGTGTGATTGTCGATCGTGAACCCTGAGTGGATAACCTACAGCAGGGACCAGTTACGCACTACAGCGCGTTTAGGCTGTTAAGTGCCCAACAATAGCGTGAGAAGGCGCACCGCCACACTCCAGGTCCCTCTCGCCTCCAGTGAAGAGCAGTACCTGCAGCTCGTCCACCACCAACAGCACGCCGTGTCGCAGGTCCCTGGCGGATGACGACGCTGCCCAGCCCGAACTATCCGTTGCGGTGCATAAGCTGGTCCGACGTGGCTGAAGCTCTACCCCAGCTCAGCCCAGCCTCATTCACAGCTGACATCTCTCCCACATCACGTCCTGAGCTGTCGCCGTCGACCTAAAGCATCAATCACGTATAAATAATACTTCGCCGTCCGCTTTATTTTTGGATTTCTATCTTTACTGCTCCTATCCCTACTAACCCATCTCTATCCCGGCGTGGCCATCCATCCGCATTCCACCACGGCTGCCCAACAGAGCCAGCGACGTCACTACCCTACACTCCGGAGCTTCATCGTTGGCATCGCAGTCCTCATTGCGGCGCTCCTGTACACCGCATTCGTCTCAAGAGACCAGATCCCAGATATCAAAATGGGCGGAGGTCCTATTCCAGGCTACCGCACTGTAGCCTACTACGTCAATTGGTAAGTCGGTAAAACTGGCAAGGCGAGCAAGTTTCATCGCCAGATATTGCCCCGCCCCCGCCTCATCGTGTTGTCTCTGACGCTCACTGCTCACATTACTCCCTTACAGGGCTCCCTACGGCCGTAAGCATAAACCGCAGGACTTGCCAGTTGAGAACCTCACCCACGTTCTCTACTCGTTTGCCAACGTCCGTGCTGAAAATGGCGAGGTGTATGTTTCCACCCCACCCCTTGCTTAAGGTTATATGGCATGGCCATGTAGAAGGAAGGTAGCGCTGACGAGCATGTACACTATAGATTCATGACAGACGATTGGGCCGACACTGGCATTCACTTCGACGGAGATTCCTGGAATGATACAGGAAACAACATGTACGGCTGCCTCAAGCAGCTCAACCTGCTCAAGCGCCGGAACCGCAATCTCAAGGTTCTCATCTCCATCGGTGGATGGACCTACAGCTCCAACTTTGCGGCCCCCATGAGCACCCCCCAAGGCCGGAGCGCCTTCGCCAAGACCAGCGTCGACCTGGTCCGGAAGTTTGGCTTTGACGGCATTGACATTGACTGGGAATACCCCAAGAACCCGGAGGAAGCCCGCAACTACGTCGAGCTCCTGGCCGAATGCCGCAGAGAACTCGACGCCTACTCCCAGGCCGTCGCGGGCGGCTACCACTTCGAGCTCACCGTGGCATGCCCCGCGGGCGCCGCCAACTTCGAGAAGCTCGACATTCCCAACATGGACCGCTTCCTCGACTTCTGGAACCTCATGGCCTACGACTACGCCGGGTCGTGGGACTCGACCAGCGGCCACCAGGCCAACCTGTATCCCAGCCGCGAGAACCCCACCGCCACGCCCTTCTCCTCCATCGCGGCCCTCGAGCACTACGTCCGCAGCGGCGTCCGCCCCGACAAGCTCGTGCTGGGCATGCCCCTCTACGGCCGCGCCTTTGACAACACCGACGGCATCGGCCGGCCGTACAGCGGGGTGGGAGAGGGAACGTGGGAGCAGGGCGTCCACGACTACAAGAAGCTTCCCATCCCCGGCTCGCAGGAGGTGTTTGACCGCGAGGCCCAGGCGTCCTACTGCTACAGCCCGGACCAGCGCAAGCTCGTCAGCTACGACACGCCGGGCATGGCGGGCCTCAAGGCCGACTTCATCAGGGGCAAGGGTCTCGGCGGCGCCATGTGGTGGGAGAGCAGCGCGGACAAGCCTGGTCCCGAGAGCCTGATCAGCGTGGTCGTCAACGGCCTCGGCGGCCCGCAGGCGCTCCAGAGGGTGGACAATTGCATCTCGTACCCGCAGACCCCTTACGATAACCTGCGCGAGGGCTTCCCTAACAACTGAGTGAGCACTCGACCTACCTAGTATGTAGCTCGTAGCTGGAGAGAACAGGCCCCACTCGCAGGTCGGGGGCGAGCTTTTGGGTATAGGCAGTACATAGGTGCCTACATAGCAAGACTGGACCGGTATGCACGGGTGTAAACCTGCTATTCATGAATAAAATGACAGATTCTTTTCCTTCAATGTTCTATTGGAACCAATGAGCCCCAAAACCAGGTTGATTGAACAGAAGTCTTTTGCCATGTACAATGAATAATCACGTGACCCTGCAGCAGCCACCAGTCCTGGAAGAGAAGCGCGATGGTCCGTGCGCACGGCTGCAAGCTTCGCTCCTTCTCGTTCGTCCAAAAATTTTGCTGGAAAAAAAGTGTGGAAAAATCTCTACGCCCAGAATTGGAGGTAGCAAGAAACTGACTTTCTGCTCTACAACCACCACGCGACCCCAATTCCACGCGACACCTGATCCCAGTCGAGCGGCTTCGAGTATACAGGCCCAGAATACCCCGATTGTGCAGCCGCAACGATGTCGGAAATCGACTACGCCCTCTTCGAGGCGCCCGTCGGCTATGCCGTCTTCAAGGTCGTCCACCAGGCCGACGTGGTCTCGCTCAAAACCAAGGAGGGCCAGGAGACTGCCAATGACCTGTCCAAGTTTGGCAAGATGATCAAGATTGTCAACTTCAGTCCTTTCCGGTGCGTAATGGCCTACAATAACCCCCCAGTGTCGTGTTTGAGGTTGCAGAGGGGACGACGAGGCAGAAAGTTCAATTGAAAGCTAACCAAAAGTCGTGCACAGTGGCCAGAAGGAGGCTTTGAGCAACATCAACGAGATTTCCGAGGGCCAGCTCCCCGAGTATCTCAAGGAGGTCCTTGAGATCAACCTCCCCAAGAGCGGAAAGAAGAGCAAGATCACGCTGGGTGTTGCCGAGAAGAACTTGGCAGGTGCCATCAAGAACGCCTTCCCCGGCCTGAACGCCCTCACTGCCGACACCTCCGATGTCTGCGCCGAGCTCCTGCGTGGTATTCGCGTCCACGCCAGCAAGCTGATCGAGGGTCTCAACGATGGCGATCTCGAGCAGGCTGGTCGTGGTCTCGGTCACGCCTACTCTCGCGGCCGCATCATGTTCGACCCCAAGCGCAACGACCAGTCTATCATGCAAGCTCTTGCGACTGTCGAGATTGATGACAAGGGCACCAACAACAGCTACATGCGACTCCGTGAAACCTACGGCTGGCACTTCCCCGAGCTCTCTAAGATCGAGTCGGACAACTACACCTACACCAAGTTGGTCCAGGCCATCGGTCGCAAGGAGGACCTCACCGACGACAAGCTCCACGACATCGCCGCCATTGTTGGCGAGGATGGCGAGAAGGCCCAGGCTATCATTGAGGCCGCCAAGATCTCCATGGGTCGTGAGCTTGGTGAGGAGGACCACAAGATGATCAAGGGCATGATTGAGCCTCTCATCTTCACCGCCGAAGCCCGCAAGCGCACCGCCCGCGACCTCGAGGCCACCCTCAGCACCGTCGCCCCCAACCTGCAGGTCCTCGTCGGCACCATGGTTGCCGCCCGCCTGATCAACGCCGCTGGCAGTCTCAGCACCCTGGCCAAGTACCCTGCCTCCACCCTCCAGATTCTCGGCGCCGAGAAGGCTCTCTTCCGTGCCCTCAAGTCGAAGTCAAACACCCCCAAGTACGGTCTCATCTACCACAGCACCTTCATTGGCCGTGCCTCGGTGCGCGACAAGGGCCGCATCTCTCGCTACCTCGCCAACAAGTGCAGTATTGCCGCCCGTATCGACTATTTCGCCGAGGAGCCCTCCACCAAGTGGGGTGAGGCTCTGAAGCAGCAGGTCGAGGACCGCCTCCAGTTCTACGCCACTGGAAAGCGCCCTGCCAAGAACTCAGATGTCATGGTATGTATCCCCAACTCCCTTACGTGAAAGCTATTCTAACCAGCTCGATAGGCCAGCGTTGACTCCTTCGGCGGACTTGCCAACGAGGGTGCCGACATTGACGACGCTAGCGATGCCGAGGACTCTGATGAGGAGATGGTCGACGCACCCGTCAAGGAGAAGAAGTCCAAGAAGAGCAAGGAGGAGAAGGCCTCCAAGAAGGACAAGAAGTCCAAGGAGGACAAGAAGGAGAAGAAGCGCAAGAGAGAATCCGATGCCACCGAGCTGGTCAAGGCCGACGAGGACGGTGAGAAGAAGAAAAAGAAGAAGAAGAAGTCCAAGAGCGCCGACGATGCTTAGAGTGCATCCTCAGCCGTGGCAGGCCGGCAGCCATCGCCATCTCCCCAACCGGCTCCAGCATCCCCAATTCAATCGGAAAGTAGTGGTGCTGCGTCTTCAGCTGTGAAGAACAGGATGCGCAGCTCTGCATCCTCCGAAACCCTTGCACCCTCTCCGCCTCCTCCTGCCGTCAAGGTCAACGAGGCGACGGTGAGCAAGCTGAAGAAGATGCTCTCCAAGAAGCCAAAACTTCGGGCGCAGCTCAAGAATGTCGGGAGGACGCTGAGCGCCAAAAGCTCCCGTGTCTCAAAACCGGAGCGGAAGGGGAAGAAGGCCAAGGCCGCCAAACTCGACCTGGCTGTGCTTCGTTCTTTGTTATAAAAATGATGCTTGCTTTGATCCTATTGTTTCTCATCATTTTCTTCTCTTTTTCTGGCATTGTTTCTCCCGCACGGCCTACACTGGAGTTTTGAGAGGGCTTTTCGCCGATTGGCTTTTTGGCACTGTATGAATTTCTTTTGCCCATATGGGAGAGAAAATGGGTGGTGATAGGCGTTACTCTGGGTATAAATTATCTTCATTTTATTCTGAAAAAGTTGCCCTGAATGTTTATCCTGCATGTGCATGTTCAATGATGCCCAAGGTAGGAGAACGAAGGCTCATCCAGCGATTCCCGTAGACCAGTCCCTGAGCTCTCCACAGCTGCGATGGCTCGGATTCTAGGGTGAAAGATTTGCTCAACGCGTGGGGCTCATACAGAATATTCTCTGCAAACAGCCGCCGAACCGCCCACCCCGATGGAAATTTTGAGTCGGCTGGTGGGTGAGTGGGGTGTGATGAGATGTGGAGAGTACTACAAAAGACGAAATTTAATTGACCAATGGACTCGACTACTGGTTGGCAAAGGAAAGGAAAGGCACACATATTCACGGAAACGAGAGAGGAACGGTTGATTGTTTGTTCAAGCACTTCATTATCAGAAAAAGCCCGATGTGCTCTATGCTACATCAACGCCAATTTTTTGCAATTGCCCAGCCATCCGTCAGTCATCCCGTTGCGGTTAAAAAAACACATCCAGTCCCAAGTAGCTGATTTATTGCTTGTCAAAGACGTAGGTGAGGTGGCAGCGGCCGCAGTACTGGCGGTCGGCCATGGCAGCCATGAAGACACCGGCACCGCACTAGAGAAAAGAGTTAGAATGATGTGGGAGTGGCAGATGTCAAAGAGGAGAGGGAACGTACGGTGTCACTGGGGCACTCGCGGCGGAGACGCTCGATGCTGCCGTCAGATCCGACCTTGTAGTACTTGAGGACGGCCAACTTGGTCTTCTTGCGCTTGTGCTTGATCTTCTTGGGGGTGGTGTAGACCTTCTTCTTGCGCTTCTTGGCGCCACCACGCAGGCGGAGGACGAGGTGGAGGGTGGACTCCTTCTGGATGTTGTAGTCGGAGAGGGTGCGGCCGTCCTCGAGCTGCTTGCCGGCGAAGATCAGGCGCTGTTGGTCGGGGGGGATGCCCTCCTTGTCCTGGATCTTGGACTTGACGTTGTCGATGGTGTCGGAAGACTCCACCTCGAGGGTGATAGTCTTCCCCGTGAGGGTCTTGACGAAAATCTGCATCTTGCCTGCCTGAGAGAGTCAGAGTCGTTCATTTTTGCCATCTTACTGTTCAATCACAGCAGAGCTGTGCGCTTCTTCAGGGTGGTGGGAGGGACGCTGCCATCACCAAGGCGGCGGCACTGCCCTTTCGCGCGGGAAGCTGCATTTCGGGAGCTGGCGGCGATCCGCGATGGTGACGACGAGCGGGAGGGAGGGTAGGTGGTTGGATTCAATGGCGAAGAAGCGCAAGCATCATCTTTCAGACATACCTCGACAATAGATGTTATTGCCGTCCTAAGCAATCCTCAGATGGTGCGGATGGTGTGGTTAAAAAAGATCACTGCGAAGCCCAGGCGGGAGAGCAAATCTGTACTGGGCCGGTGGTGCGCGTGGGCGGGCCCTCGCCCCAAGCCCTCCGTCGGCGTCACATGACCTAGGGCACCTCATTCTGCTCATTTTCTGCGTGCCCCGCCAGAGAAAATATTGGCCCAGCAGTTGTGCGAGACCCACATTTGAGGGCCTGGCTAGCACATTGAATTTACAAAGTGTGGTGGGCGAGCTTCTTTCCACTCTCCTACCAACTAACCCTCTCGACAGCAGGATCAAGTCAGTACGTTTTCTGTTCCCTCATCCAACAATCCAATTCAGTTTATTGACTGTTGTATCAGACACCGTCAAGATGGTCAAGAAGAGAAAGAACAAGTACGAATCCCTCCCGCCTCCCCTCATTGACTTGGCGCACGAGTTGCCGCTTTGGCAGTTGAACGAATATCGAGCCTCACCTGGGCACGATTTCCACAACTCGCTTCAGCAGCAGCAACTTGCTTGATCGATGATCGCATTCATGTGGAGGAGCATTCTTGCTAACAACCTCACAGCGGCCGCAACAAGAAGGGCCGCGGCCACGTCAAGCCCATCCGATGCAGCAACTGCTCTCGCTGCACTCCCAAGGATAAGGCTATCAAGCGCTTCACCATCCGTAACATGGTCGAGTCTGCTGCCATCCGTACGTCCCTCCTCCCCTCGATCGCTCCCTACGACAGCGAGTGAACTTCGCGGCTAACATGCGTCCTCTCCAGGTGATATCTCCGATGCCTCCGTCTTCCAGGAGTACACCGTCCCCAAGATGTACCTGAAGCTGCAGTACTGCGTCTCTTGCGCTATCCACGGCAAGATTGTCCGGTACGTTGTCTCCTATGGGAGTGTTACAACTGCGCCTTGGTTGCGTATGTGCTTCAGAAGAGCCTTGGTCGCCATTTGGACACTCTCCTCCCTCCCGCCTGCACCTTTTCGCCGACGGTGCCCCCGCCGCTCCTGGCTTCGCTCGTCGTCGGAAAGAGGTACGTCTGATTTGACTTGCAATGCTGACAGTTCCCTCACAGTGTCCGTTCGCGTGTTGGCCGCCGCAACCGTGCCCCTCCTCCTCGCGTCCGATACAACAAGGATGGCAAGAAGATCGTCCCCAACGCTTCCGCCAAGGCTTAAATCTAATGACGGTTATGAGACTTGGAAATGGGAACGGAGTCTGGTTTTGAGATGCGTCTACCTACGGGAATGGGCGCCGGATAGGGATAGTACCCTGCATTGCTCTTCAAGCACAGGTTCCAAAAAAATTCAATCGGACTTTTCTTCGGTGTTCACCTTCAATCATCGTTTCCCTTCTCCGTGATCTCTTCATTTGTGTGCCTTGTCCCCAGCAGTACTACATGCATCTATCGCACATGAGCTCTGATGGGTCGCGTTGTCCCTTGCCCCTCAGCGCAAATTTGCCCACCTCCCCTCACAGACCTGTAACACAAAGGTGCCAATCGCCAAAAGAAATGAAGCAGGTGAAGGAGCAGCTTCTGCTCAATTGATCAACCATTGACCGCCCTCGTCAAAAAGAAGTCGTCTCAGCATAGACCACAGTTGAATCTCAATCCTGAAGAGCGGGACTGTCCCTTATTTCACACGAGCAAAGAATTTATCTAATTGTGCCGCACCAATTCCCCCACCAACGTGTCTATCAAGTGGGCGCGACCACAACTCCCCACCAGCCATCCAATAGCCAGGGCATGGTCCCCTAGTCGTCCAGCCCGCCTGAGGGATAAAAAGAAAGGCCGCCAGAACGGCAAAAGAAAGAACTCGACGTGGGCCTGATTCGAACAGACGCTCCCGAAGGAACAAGATTTCTAGTCTTGCGCATTAGACCACTCTGCCACCACGCCTTGTTGTTGGTCGAGGCCGGAAAGCGGTAGATGATCCTGCGTGATCTTCATCCCACCAGAGGCCCCACTGGCGTTGAGAACCTCCTGTCTTCAACCGTTTCGTTTGAAGCTTAACTTCCCACGGGGGTTTTGTGTTCAGCCAAAAGAGGCATCAAGTTACGGAAAGGGCCGATGATATTGACTTCTTATCACCTTGCCCCTGATTCACAACAGGCTGATACAGGCGGTGATGATCTGGGATTGTTCGACAGCATAACAACCCACATTGATGAAGCCTGTTGCTTTCGACCTACCCTATTGCTGTTGTTAAAGCCTGTGATATCAGCATAGCAGCCATTCCCTACCAATGGAATCTAGGAGGCAAACCCAATCTGACCCAGTTCTTGCCTCTTTTGTCCCCTAAGAGAGTGTCTTGATATCATTCAATTAAAGTTCTTGCCGTTGACCATGTTCTATTCTTCCACATGTAATTGACAGGGAAAGTTGTCACACCCATAATTGGATGCGACCAAAGACATTGAGCCTGAACTGAAACCTCCTTTGCTGCCCTAAAATATTCTAGAAGCCCATTTCTCGCCGCAATCGAATCATCAGCTTACCTAGGAAGTTTCTCCTAATCATTTGGCTTCATACTAGGAAGGTGAAGTGTTTTGGTGGTAGATGCGATCACATTATTTGAGCATTGGGAAAAAAAGCACGGACCAAGGCAGAAGACTCCCGCTTCCCAGTCACACGCGTTCATCAACCATTATTTCTTTATTTATTTGATCAGTGATTCTCAATATAAACTGATTCAATAAAAATTTGACCAAACTATCACCAACTCCCCAAAAAGGCAAAAGACAACCGACGTGGGCCTGATTCGAACAGACGCTCCCGAAGGAACAAGATTTCTAGTCTTGCGCATTAGACCACTCTGCCACCACGCCTGTGGTTGGTTGACGCCGGAGCCGCAATACTGATCCATGATGCTTGCATCACCACCTACCCTACAGCACCCATGAAGATATTGAGGAACCATGATGCGATGATGATCGAGGATCGAAGGGGTGATTTGGTGCCCTTGTTATTTATTTCGGTTGTCCAGAGAGATCAGAATCGAAGAGAGAAGACGGATTAGACTTAATTGTACAACTAAAGGGGAATATTACGATGTGCTTTTCCAAACCATGAACATATCTTGGAATATGGCATTGTATGAGACTCATCATGATTTCTTCGCTAATTATCAATTCGAATAAACAAACTAACATGCTTTTCTATCTAATAATACAACAGAACACGATTAAATCAATTAAACCACAAAATCTCATATTTTGTAACTCATCGCTCGCTCAATCGGTGCACTGTTGAAATGGTCGCTGGCGGCTTCACCCCCCACCGAACCACAACAAAAAACAAAACAAACACACCAAATATTAATATCACGACCACGACCATGCGTCACCAAACTTGACCAGCGCAGTCCCGTTCTGCGAACACGCGTACGGATCAACGCACACCCCGCCGCCGCAGCACGTCCCAACCACACAGACAGACCCCCCACCTGAGCAGTCCTCGTCCCGCTCGCACCGGCCCTCGAAGTTGTCGCACTCCATCGCCTCAAACGCCAGCGACTGCCCCCCCGCCGTCTTCCCGCAGCTGCAGTTGGTGTCCTCGATCACCGCTTCCCTTGGGTATGCGCACGTGTCCTTGCCCTGGTCGTCTGCCTCGCTGCCGTTGGGACAGCACGCAATGGCCGCCGGGTCCTGCACCGTGACGTTGTAGGTGCGCGCCGCGCGAGGGGCCCAGTTGAGCGTCGTGACGGCATCGATGTACGTCGCGCCCACGAGGAGGTTGAGGCTGAGGGGGATCTCGCCCGTGTGCAGGTCCTCGCAGATGTCGTTCTCGAAGCTGCGGTGCTTGTTGTATGTGCCGATGTATTCCTCCCACGGGCTGTTCACGCTGCCGTTCTGAGGGGTGAAGAAGCCCTGGAGTGATTCCCACAGCAGGGTGTATCCCGACGCGACGTTCTCGATAACGGAGGAGTTGTTGTCCGCGTTCGATGCCCCTCGTTGGTTGTATAGTGCCACGCCGAGAGCGTCTCTGCTGAGCATGTCGTTGCCCGTGGCTCCGAGCGTGGCGATCATCGTCGAGATGTCTGGGCACGCGCCGCCGAATGAGTCGCGGTTGAGGAAGTCTATGATATCGTTCTTCACGGCGTTTTGACACTTTAGGATTCCGGAGATGGCGCCCGGGAACGTGCAGTCAAACTCCCAGGTTCCCGAGTTCTCGTCCACGGCGATGTCCTGGCATGTGGTTTCGCCAACTCGTAGCTGGGGATACGCCCGGATCGCCTTTGTCACGGGACTGCCGCACTGGTCCCTGAGCAAGAGTGTTTGATTGAATTTGATGTCCTCGGCTCGCTTGGTGTTGGTGTTTATCAATGGGACGGGAATTGGCGAGGGAAATGGCTGTGCGCCTGTGCCGACCGAACATCCCACATTTGAGAGGTTCGCAATCTGAGAGAATAGATTGGCAATGGTGATATTCACATCATATCGACAATCTTTGGTCGCGAATCGAACCCCAGAACCGTCAATCTGCATGGCATATCCATCGTTGCTGGTGATGGCCAGTCGACTCCGGTTCGAAATGTCAATGTGGAATGTGCCCTGCGACTTGTCGCGCACAGTCATTGATAGCGGCCGGACGCCTTCGCTCTCGAACTCAACACTCTGGATATACGGGACCGGTACTGTGACATTGTCTTCGCGGAGCTTGCTGTTGCGCATCAACGCTCTTCGCGATAGCTCGCCATGAGGCTCTTCAGGGAGGTGATAGCATGTGTCCTCGGCTAGTGATGCCAGGAAAGCCACTTGAGTGTAGTTGGCGGCAGGGAAAGGAGATGGCGTCGGGGCAGTCAAGTTATTGCTCGCCCAAGTAGTTGTCATGCCAGCATTATTGCCTCCCGTCACGGTAGTTGGCGTCCGAGTAGGCTCGGGACTACCGCTATCGCTAAGACCTGTCGATCCTCCAGTTACAGTGTTACTCGTCGAGCTCATGCTGGTAATTCCTGGCACGGAATTCGTGGCTGACTGTGATGCTCCCGTGGATCCAGTTGGAGACACAGAAAAGCCCGAATCTGTTGGAGTGGTTGCAGAGCTGCTATTCCATGATTGACTCCCGGTGATCATGGTGTTCACAGTGCCTGGGGTGGATGCCCCGGTACTGGTTGACAGATTACCAGTGCCTGTGAGCACCCCCGAGCCAAGGCTTCCCGAGCTTGTTTCAAATCTTGCAGAAGTCCCCAGACTTCCTGACGCTGACGCTGATGCATTCCAGCCTTGCGAAGCTGAGCTCGGAGGAGTTGGAAGCCCCCCCACAGTCCCAGACAACCCAGTTCCAGCTGTATCAGTCACCAGCGGCGTTGAAAATCCTGTCGGAAGCCCGGTACCTGCTCCCGAACCGCTCGTTGCCGTACTTCCATTGGCTGTGGAGTTGGAAAGACCCGTCGCGGTACCATCCGTTGGCGAAAATGGGGTTGAGGCCCCAGATGTAGTCATGTTAGCAGGCATCGATGAAGAGCCCGTACCAAGAGCACCTGTCGGGGAAATCCCCGTTCGCGTGGTGCTGTTCCACGAACCGGATATTGGCAGAGTAGGTGATAAGGTGCCGCTTGATCCAGTGCTGATACCTGCTGAGGCCGTACCCACGCCTGTGGTGCCATTCCCTGACCCAGTGGCTGAAAGCGTAGGCAATGAGGCCCCGGTAGCTCCAGCGCTGGTTCCCGCAGAGGTCATGGTGCTGTTCCAAGACCCTGAAGCTGGAAGTGTGGGCGGCGAGCCGCCCGTAAGTGTAGTATTGGATCCCGCTGATGCCGTGCTTAGACTCATAGTAGTGATGTTCAATGGCCCTGATGCCGAAAGCGTGGGCGACGAGATGCCAGTTGGACTGGTAGCTCCTGAAGCTGTCCCTATGCCCGTACTGCCATTCCAGAAGCCAGATTCTGACAGGGTCAGTGACGAGAAGCCTGTAGATCCAATGCTCGCTGTGGGAGAAGGACCCGAGGGGGTAAAGGTTGTAGGCACTGACGTTCCTGAGATGCTCGTACCCGGGCTCAGTGTCAAATTCCATGACCCTGAGCTCTGGGTTGGCGATCCACCCGCGGGGCTTGACACCGTACCTGTACTTTGTGAAGATATATTTGCTGCCGTATGAACACTCGTGAGTGTACCAGAAGGTGATCCAAACGGTGTCCCAGTGCTATTCCACGAATCTGATAGCTGGCTTGGCTGCGCCGAAGTGCCAGTAACAGGAGATGATCCTTGGAAAGTTGAGATGGAACCCGTCATGCCAGATCCCGAGGGAATCCCCGACGAGGCAGCATTACCTGTCGTGCTATTCCAAGACCTCGATGCCGTTGTGCTCAGCGAACCTGGCCCGGTTTGCCAAGGGCGACCGGTCCCCCAAGGAGGTTGGGAGACTGGTTGCGTGCTGTTACCTGCGATGTCGCTTGATGGTGTCCCTCCTCCACCGGGAGTGCTTGTGCCATTGTAAGAAGCAGTGGATTGAATCGATACTGGAGTAGAACCTGTCGGTGTCGCCCCAGACGACAACCCTCTACTCCCAGTAAGCCCGCCCGAGGAGAGAACCATACCCGACGTACTGTTCCACGGAGCTGAAAGCCCAGTTCCCATTGTGGCCGATGGGGTAGACGGCGTGGGGAATGTCGTGGGAGGTGATATTACAGTGCCTGCGCCGCTGCCGACCGGCGATGTCCAGCTTCCTGTTGTACTATTCCACGGTCCAGATGCGGGAGGCGTGCCTGACGGTCCTGAGGCAGTAGATGTGGTTTGGCCCCAGGCTCCGCCGTCGGATAGTGTCATCCCATTCGACGCTGTGCCATTCATAGAAGAGACGACTGGGCTGCCTGTTCCAAGAGAGGAACTGGGGGTGCTTGGTGCCGGAGAACCCATCCCGGTACCACTGAGGTTACCAGTCAAGCTGCCGGTAGGTGGTGTCGGAGCACCTGAGTTGGTGCTATTCCATGATCCTGAAGGTTGGCGGCTTGACGCAGCTGACGAGCCCAATGAGTTAGAGGGTGATAGAGAAAGGCTTTCCGTCCCTGGAAGACCGGGAGTTGATGTCACCGTACCATTCGACGCTGCCGACCCTTGAGTCTCTACGCTTGTTGAACCTGTCGAGGATTCGCGAGGCGTCGAAGCAGTGGTACCTGTAGCCAGTGTGCCTAACAACGATGACACACCACCGGTGGCCGTGCTATTCCATGACCCCGATGAAGCCTTGCTTCCCGTGGCAATTAGAGAGCCAGAGGAGCCGGTGCCGAGCGATGTCGGCAAGGACATACCGCTGCCAGATGGAGACATGCCTCCGGTAGTAGTGTCATTCCATGGTGCTGAAATTCTGCTCCCTGTGACAATCGGGGTGCCAAGTGATCCAAAGAGTGTTGATGACATCTCGCTTGTTGCTCTGCTGGATGGAGTTGACCCTCCAGTGGCATTTAATGATCCAGATATCTGACCTATCGTAGGGACTGCCGAGGCAGAAGCCGCCCCTGATGTTGAAGAAACGGAACCGGTACCATTAACAGTTCGACTGCTTGATGGTATCGCCTCGCCTGTTGCAGTATCCGATGTACCTGATGCCCCCGATGTTGGGAGGGAGCCAGAGGAAGTAGAGGGACTTGGGTTATTCCCGCTCACGCTGGACATCTCTGCTGGTGAACTGGAGCTTGAGGCTGTTGACCCCGTCGTGGACTCATTTGAGGATGAACTCTCACTTCGAGACGCCGACTCGCCGCTTGATGTCATACTGGAAGTAGCCGTTCCATCATTCGATGAAGATGTCGTTTGATAGGACTCTGTTGAGGATGATTCATCGCCTCTTGAAGAGGAAGCAGATCCCGTAGTCCCCGAACCGGTCTCTGAAGCTTGGCTTGACACCGTCGAACCTGGCACCGAGCTCCGAGTGTCTGAAGGCATGTTCGAGTAGCCGCTGCCTGTTGCTTCACTGGTCTTCGTCGCCGAGTACTCCGTCAAGACACACTCACACTGTCCCCTAGTCAGCATCCTGCCACTCAACATCTGCAGATGGGCTCTGTCGAAACTCACATAAGAGGATATCTCATCATCCCCAAGACTGGTGTACGCTTCAGGCGTGCTGACCGTCACGCAATGGTCATTCATCAAGCTCTGGCAAAACTCCCCATCATCCTCTCGCATAAGGGAAGTGTAAATCTCGTCTTTGCGGCAAGGCGGGCCCGTAGTTGTAGCAGCCTGCGGATGAGCCACAGCCGGCCTCAAGATCAGGGAGACGGTCCAACACCACAACATTGTGTTGACACCGAGTAGGGCTCTCATCTTCCAAAGTAGTTAGGAGGCAGCAAGAAAACTGCCAGAAATCAAGAAACGAATGTACAGCCTGGGAACTCGGAGGGAAAGCCAGGCCTCATCCCTGTGCTGCTCCTCATTGCATGAGAAACCAGTCCGCGAGCGCTCAAGTACTTCTACCCATCCCACCACGGGGAAGCACTCATCTTTTAACAGAACCGCTCCCTTCTGTATCACCCCCGTACATAGCCTCGGCGACGCCCGCCCATTCCTGTACGCGACTAGCCCCGTGGCAGCGAAAAGCAATTCTTGCCCTGGGTCTTCATTATCCCATCACCCTGTGAGACGCGCGCACACCTCCTCGCCCCTGGGCCATCGTCTCCCCAGGACTGGCGAGACCAATCGAGAGTGATACGACGCGGTGGGTGGCTTGTTCCTTTTAGTCAACACCGAGTGAACCGAGTGGGCAAGAAAAAAGTGCGCGTGTGTGAGTGACAGTGTGCCACAGCCAGAACGGGGGGACCACACTCACATGTCAAAACCTATCTTCTCCTCCAGACTTCCCGAGGACGAGGAGACACCTTGGATGAAATTATACCCTCTTTCCAGCTGGATATTGAACTCTGGAGCTCGGTTCTGAAGCCTTCTTGGATGGTCTCGGCGAGCTCCTGTACACTTGACTCTGCCGGTCGCCACAGCACGTCGAGCTGAAGTAGAGCGAGAAACTTGTTTACTTCGCTGGTTTCATCTCATGAGTGAACCCGTGCAAACATGCGATCTAAAAGAGGCGAAGAGTCCATGGCTGGAGATCTTTTGGCGTCCCCCCCTCTTGCGTCAGCCTCAGGTACAGGCTGGGTTTTCTGTGCGACTCCATATCTGTCTCCCATCACCCTCGTTCATTTCCGTTTGGGCCACAAGAGAAGAAGAAAGCGTTGGTTCCTGTCTCTGTAGCAGACAATCCGCGCGCACACGTCTGGCAGAGTGACCAATAGTTGGCATTGCGCTCAGGTTGAGGGTCGCGGGCACGGCATGGATTCATTTCCTCTTTGTCCATCGACCACCGCCCACGGTGATGCTGTGGCTTGAGTCAGGGGAAAATCACCGTTGATCGTCATTCCACGTCCTCCCCTGGCCCGGAGAATGGAATAAGTAGTCACGATGACAGCCAATCGTGGGCCTCGGTGCTGTGACATGTCGCTTATCGGGAGACGTCGTCCGAGGCAGGCCTGTCCTTAGATTGTGTGCCCATACCTCCTCTGTCACGTCGTACTCTTTCAATGGCACAAGTGTCGAGTCAAGCCGAGTCCGACCGAGGACACTGGCCTATCCTATTTGGAGTAGAAGAAATTGTAATTATGAATTGACGAATTACCCTCTAAGCAGGACTGGTATCTTGATCCTCCCATCCGTCAGAAAGTGTTATATCATTGCAGCATAGTTCATAACCTGCCCCCAGAAATCATCATCATCCATCATAGTATGCCAGAAATCTAAACAACCAAACACCATCTCATTCACTCATGAAAACAGCACCCGCTACCTCAGCGCGAGCGTCGTCGTCAGGCCGCCGCCACCCATTACCGGTCTCTGCTGGGCCTGCCTAGGCGGCCGTTCAATAAAGTCCTTGTTGTCAATCGTCACACTCTTCGTCATGTGGTTGACCTTGTATACACCAACGAGCCGCGATGCCAGCTCAAACATGTTGTTTCGGAGTGAGATGACTATGAACTGGGCGTTCTTGGTACGTTCCTTGATGTAATTCGCCACAATTGAGACCTGTGCGAGGATTTTTGTTAGCAGAGCTTTCACACGGGTAGACCATGTCTCTAATACGGGAAGGGGTATCACGGTCCTATTGGCAACCGTCTCTGACAGGACAGTAGCCGAGCAAGATCCATGAGGTTGCCATTGGGAAGCAAGGTGTAGGGAACAAGGGAAGATGGGGTCTTAGGGATACATACGTTTCTGAAATCTAGAGCAGCGTCAATCTCGTCCATGACATAGAGAGGTGTTGGCTTGTAGTGATGCAGTGCAAACACGAGGGCCAAACTGCTGAGAGTCTTTTCTCCACCAGACAGGTTGCTGATGTTCTTCCAGCTCTTCTTGGGAGGCATGACGCTGAATTGGATGCCTTCACTGAATGGATCGAGGCTGTCTACTAGTTCCAGCTCGGCGTTACCGCCCATCGTAATGAGCTGGTACATCTCCTTGAGGCGTACCGAGATGGCACTTAAACCTGCCATGAAGCCTTCCAATCGCAGCCGTCTCAAGTCATCGCACCTCTTCTTGGCGGCGTCACGCTGGTTGAGAGATGTCTGGAGATCGGACGAGCGGCTGGCGTGCTCCTCGACTCGTCGGCGGTATTCAGCGAGTACACCCAAGTCGACGTTGACATTTTGTGTCTTCTCTTCAAGAGCGGCAATCTCGCCCTTGAGAGTCTCCTTGCTCATGCCTGCGAGCTCGTCAGGCGTGTATCGAGGAAGTTGCTGTGGCTTAGACTCTTCATCCTCGCCAGCCTCGGTCTCTGGCGCATGCTCGGGGGCGTCCACCATCTCTTCATCCTCGGATGACTTCTCCGTGAGCATTTCGTCACCGTCCTCGTCCTCTCCTTCGCCCTCACCCTCAGAGTCATCTTCCTTAGGTAAAGGCTTTCGCTTCTTCTGGGGGGAGTCTGGCTTTATCCTGGCCTCGACAGGCGCCCCTACTAGATCCTCGATGTCGTGCAGCGTAAGTTTGGAGACCTTATCGTCCCAGTATCGAAGACGTCGCTGGTTCTCGATCAGAGTCTTCTGGTTTTCTTCAAGCTTGTTCTTCATCTCAATCTCGAGGGCTCGTGTTTCGTTAAGCTCGTTGGTCTTTTCGTCAAGCTCTGCCTTGAGCGCCTTGAGCTCCTTCTTCGTCGTTGCAAGGACCTCTTGGGCCTCTGACACGCGGTTGCTCAGCTCTTCGGCCTTCTCGCCCTGGTTGTTGATATCATCCTGGAGCTTTTGAAGGTCCTCTGCGGCGTTGTTGAGCTCCTTGGTGGCCTTGACACGATCCTTCTCGAGCTTGACTTTTTGCTTCTCGGCCTTGACCTTGCGTACCTCGGCATTCGAAGTCTCCTCGTGATGACCCGCGATCTCCTCCTTGACAAAGTCGATCTTGGTTCGTTGTGATCTGAGCTTCTCGCCTCCTGCTTCCATAATCTTATCCTGCAGGGCCTTGATCTCTTCCTCAATGCTCGAAGTCTCCCCATGCAGCTTCTCGATATCCTTGTTAAGCTTGGCGACCTCTTTTTGGAGCGCAGCTGCTCGGCTGTCGTCATCGGCCGAGGGCTGGTGCTCCTTGGCCACGTCCTTGATGCGGCGCTGCAAGTCGGCAATGTTGCGCGCGGAGCTTCCAAGCTCGAGGCCGAGCTTCTGCATTTTCGTGTCCAGCTGCGGGAGCTTGTCGTTGATCTCTCTGAGACGGGTCTCACATTCGCGCTGATACTCCTGGAGTTCCTGTAGCCTGGATTGCCAGTGGTCCCGATCTTCCTCAAGCTTGGCAACCTGCTCCTTAGTCGTATCGGCTACAAGCTTCGAAGACATCAGGCCCCTTCTGGCGATATTTCCACCACCGGACAGGGTTCCGGACTTGTCAATGAGCTCGCCCGCAAGAGTGACTACTCGCCAGCGCTTGGCACCGTAAGCAATGCGGTTCGCTTGGGCGAGATCTGCTGCAACTAGGGTATCTTGCATGGCGTGGTAGAAAGCTGGGAGGAATTTCTTGTCCTTGGATTTGATAAGATCAAACAACCGGGGAGCATCCTCGGGGGTTTGGATTGGGGACATGTCTCTAGACCGAAGCTTGTCCAGGCAAAGGAAGTTACCGCGTCCGACATTGTACTTTCGCAGGTGCTCAATGCATTGTTGGCCAGACTCGACGGTCTCCGTGACAAAGTTATCCAAAGAGGGACAGGCAGTGGACACGGCGACGTCGTATTTGGGGTCAATCACCCCGAGGTTGCCCAAGCGTCCGTGGAAGCCATCAATTCGGCCCGACTCCTTCATGCGCATGAGAGCAGAGAGGACGTTGCCCCTCGATTGGGTGCTGGCCAAGCTGGAGCGAGCCTCGTCCGCCTTTTGACGGGCACTGGAGATCTTGGCCCTCATCTTGGGCTCCTGCTCGGAGAGGATCTTAAGCTCGGACTCCAACTTCTCCGCTTCCTGGATCAGCTCCTCTTTTTGGGCCTCGTACTTCTTGAACTCTTTTTGTTTAGAAGCCTTGCCCTCCTCAATGGCAGAGATTTTGCCCTCGAGTTCCTCCATGGCAACAGCACCAGCGTTGGCCTTTTCTCGGAGAATGTTGAGCTCACTCTCAGCGATCGTGATCTGTGACTGCTTCTGGTTGATCTTCTCTGTCCAAGGTTCGAGCGACTTCTGCTTGGCGGTGATTTGGTCAGAGAATGCCTGTGTTTTCCCTTTGAGATCCTCCCGAATTTTGGCTAGTTCGGCCTCTTCTTCCTTGAGCTGCTCTTCCAGGTCGGCGATCTGGCCGGCGCGGCTCTTGATCTCCTCGGCGCAATCAATGATGGTCTGATCGGCCTCTTCTGAAGTGTTCTCAGCATTGGCGATTGTCTTCTCGAGTTTGGTCTTCTTATCCTCTAAGAACTTGTGCTTCTCGTCGAATTTGACCCTTTCCTGTTCAAACTTGGACATCTCCTTGGCCAAGGCTTGGGCCTGCTTCTCTTGCGCGTCAAACTCCTTGCTCGTCTTGGAATGCTGCTTCTCTAGATCCTTGATGAGCTTCTGGCTACCTTGATGCTTCTCTTGCTCCTCATTAAGCTGAGCCTGCATCTGGCCAATGGTTTCCTGAGTGACAGCAACGTTGTCGTTGCATTCGTGAATGAAGAGCTGGTAGAGCGCGGACTGCTTCATCGCCAGTTCGTTCTCGTCTCGCATGTAGGCGACAGCCTTGTCCTTCTTGTCTTCGAGACTGTTCTTCTCCTTCTCAACGTGCTGAACACGTCCATTCTTCTCCGCGCACACCTCGTTGAGCTCCTCCACCTCTGTCGCGGATTCTTCAATCGGAGTCTTGTACTTGGATGTGCCGATGATGTCTTCAAGATACTCGAGGAGGCCATCGTCGTGCTCGTTTGCTGCCTTGGGTTTCATCTGGGCAATGGACTCGACTTCGCCCTGTAGGATCAAGAACCGCTTGTGGTCGAGATCAACGCCGCGATCGCGCAGGAGCGTAGTCACCGTGGTAAAATTAGACTCCTTGTCGTTGATGTAGTATTTGCTGGAATTGTTCTTGAAGGCTTTTCGTGAGATGACGAGCTTGGAATCGGGGATGACTGTGTGGCCGCCACCGGGCTAGAAAGCTGTTAGTAAGGTTGATGCGCATAGAATGTCAGAGCATGCTAATTACCTGATCCATCACTTCCTGGAAATGCACAGAGACCTCGCAATGGTCTAGATTAGGGAACTTTGCAGAGTTGTGGATGAGCGCAGAGATCTTGCCCTGGCGCATCTTGCTCGCTCGAAAACCGAAGACGAAGAGAAGCGAGTCAATGACATTTGATTTACCGGAACCGTTGGGTCCAACGACGGAGGTGAACGAAGCATGGAAGGGACCAATTTCCTGTCGACCGGCGTAGCTCTTGAAGTTGGTCAAGTACAAGTGAGTGATGACGATGCGTGATTTGGGCGCCTCATCAAACGATGGAATCACCGTCGTTCTCGACTTGAGGACAATGTCAATCGGCTTGTCAATGAATGCGGGGCCTTGGATGGTCCTCGGCGGCTTGATAGTGGTCAAGCCCTGCTTGCGTATATTCAAGGCAGATGTGAGATCTGCTAGAGGAGTCTGCGGCGGTTTGATTACTGTTGGAGAGGATGCTGCAGCCTTGGGCGCTGGAGTGGGAGGCGTCGGAGTTGGAGGGGTTTCAACGGGATCGGGCGCAGCAACTGTTGCGGTGGAGGGGCGCGAGCTTCTCGATTTGCGCTGTGTTTTCGGCGAAGGAATTTGGCTCAACTCGTCGACATCCATATCAACTTCGTGCTTGACCACGGTATCGTCAAAGGGCGGCTCGCTGGCACGGCTCGATTCTGCGGCGTTCGCGGCCATAGACTCGGCCTCAAGTTGCTGTTCTGGTTCATGCTCCTGCTCCGGTTCCTGCTCCTGCTCCTGCTCCGGTACTGGTTCTGGCTCGACTGGCGCTGGAGTCGGAGTCTTCTTTGGACGCCCTCTCCCACGAGCCGCGGTTGTGGTTCTCGGGGCAGGAGGGGGTGCTGATCCCGAGGGTGTCCTTCGTGTAGTTCTGGTCGATCTCCGTGTAGGAGCATCCTGGATGGAATCTTCGGCGTCCTCGGTTTGCCTACTCGTGTTTGCGCTGCTGCTGACATCGTCGTCGGAGTCGACGACGGCAGTGCGCCGCGTTGCGCGTCGCGTTGGCCTGCCTGACATGGCGGTGGAGAGGAGGGGGAGTGTGTCGGATGCTGGGATGACACCTCTGGCAGTCAGGATCGTAATAATTAATGTAGTAGGAGCCCTCAGGTGAAAGAAAGAGAGAAAACTGAAGCTGTTGGGTTAGTCGCTCTGGGGTGGGATGTGAAGGAGGGTTGACGCAGAAAAAGCAACGGTGAGATGGTTTGTCCCCCGCCTCGACTTTGGCCAAAGTGATTGTTTGGAGATTCCCTGATTAGGTAAGGCGCCGTCTAGACGTAAACAACACCCAAAGCCAATTGACTGGCGCCCCGCGACGGCACGTGATCGTGCCAAGCGCTAGCCCAGACAAAGACGTGCTGTGGCTTAGCGCTGTCTGCCCTTGTGCTCGCTGTATTTTCAGTGGATGGAAATCTCCACTACAGCTCGGTCGCAGGGTAGGGTAGCAACAACAAAAGATCATCACCACCTCAATTCTCGAAGCTCTCCATTCTTGTGCTCGTCACATTTCTTCGAGAACCGCCTCCCAGCCATGTTTGACTATTCCGATTTTCAGCAGGTATTCCCTGCTGGCGCGCAGCTTCCCTACAGCAAGGAGCTCATTGCCAAGATTGAGCAGTCGAGAAAGACTCTGGACGGCGTCCTCTTCGTCGACCGAGTTCTCAAAGCTCTGGGCCTCACGAAAGGTATGCCAATTGCCATTCTTCTATTAATCACAAACTTCTGACAGACCCTCATAGCAAAAACCTACCCTCCCAAGTCCGATGCTGCGCTGAGACAGCTGCACCAGCACATTTGCGACGCTCCCATGTCCTTGCACCACAAGTTCTCGCTCCTCTACTACGTCCTGCTCGATTTCGATGAAGCTGCCGACCGATCTGTTCCGTCCGAGTCTTTTGTATCTGCTTCTGGAATGCCAAGCAACTACCAGATCTTCATCAAGGGTCTATGGCATCTGGACCGCAAACAGTTTCCTGTACGTTGCTTCCCGTGCCCCGTTTTCTCCCACAAACCTCGCTGATCAGCTTCTAATAGAAAGCGCTTGAATACGTTGCGCACCCTTCGTTGACGCCCGACTTCTCCGACGAAATACTCACGGCGCTGATCCGGCACGGCGACGACATCAAACTTGCTCTAGCCTACTACCACACCGTGCGCCCGATTCTTAAGTCATCGGCAGCTCTGGAGCTCTTGTTCGACGCTCTCGCGCAGACAAGCGTGACTGAAGCTTTGCTATTCACACGCACATTCTCCGACTACACGCGCGAAGCACTGTTCCGACGCCTGGTCAAGGTTGCCCTTGACGGTGAATCAGTTCCTGGGGCAAGTGAGATTGCCCTGCTCCCATTTGAGCCCGAGGAGGAAACATGGTTTGAGGAGTACCTAAGAAGTAGCGAGGGTAGGAATCTCCGTAAGGCGGAGGACACGCTTCTAGTTCGCAAGATCACAGGCGACCACATCACGGTTGCGCGCAAGTACACGGGCAGCGGGCAATGGGGGCCCATTCTTGCTGGTATTCGCTCGGGGACAGAGGGTCAAGATGAATGATACAGCTTTGTCTCTCCCTCCTTAATCATGTAAGCATAGCGTTGGAGTTTATCGATTTAGAGCTCTGCCACTTGGCAGTGTGCTTCTCTTCTACATACTTGCGCCATCTTGATTGCGAATCTCTGCGGCCAGCATCCCATAGGCCTGCCGTCACCCGTCCAACCAACAGTATTTAATGCAGTTACTCGAAGCTAGTATCTTCTGCATCTACGTGCGTTTGTTTGGCTGCAAAACGACGCTGCGTCCGACCCCCATTGGGCCATGTGTTGATGGCGACACCCTCAATCGGTGGTCGGCCTCCCGCTTGCTTACCATCCTCCATGTATATGTGTATAGGTCATATTTGAAATCTGCTCACTGGCTTGCTCGAGGTTTGGCGAGGCGTTACTCTCATATTGGCGGCATGAGAAGAAGGCAATCCACCAGGATAGCGAATTCGTGTGGACATGAGACCGTCATAGGGCGAGTTGTTTGGCCATTGCCATGATGCGGCTCGAGCCTTACAGCCGCGAACTGGCCGTTATGTTCCCTCATCTGCTCAGACAGCTTTCCTCGCCCAAAGGCTTTTCTACTAGGCTCTATCGACACCAGTGAGTGCCAGGAGATCGATATAGCCCGAGTCTGAGAAGCTGTTGTTCGCAAATCAGCAGTGTAAGATGATCCTGCCATCGCTCTCGTCTTCTACCATCAGAGGTTCTTTAGACCCCGGTTCCTCCCACTCGACGGGCACGACCGTGGTTGCTTCTGGACATAAGGCCCTCCGGGTCGTCACACATCCTACCACCCACCCATACATTCCTGCCAGCTCGGTTGTTCCAAAGACGAGATCTGCTGGCTACAGCGATGGCACCCACCATTTATCAACTGACACGGGAAGGCTTGGGCCCAGGGACCCTACATCCCAGCACGACGGTAGCTCAGACAAGACAGCCCTGATTATTATGGGAGTATGCCTTGGCGTCGGTCTTCTACTGACCCTCTTGTTCTTGTGCCGTTGCTTCAGTCGCCAAGACCGCCGCTCGAAGAAACACAAGAGAACTTCCAGCATATTTTGCTTTCGTGGCCCTACACGGCGCCGAGGGCACCGAGGGCGGTCTGGAGCTACCGGGTCGCGAGGCGCTAGTGGCGTCCAGGGACCTGAGGGACGAGAAGGCCCTCCTGGGGCACAAGGACCCAAAGGGGATCCGGGAGAGCGGGGAGAGCGGGGAGAGCAGGGACTCCAAGGCGATCCAGGGAAACAAGGAGAGCAGGGTCCTCCCGGGGTAGATGGTGCTGCAGGCCCCGAAGGCCCTCAAGGACCCCGAGGTGATCCAGGGCAGCCGGGAGATCAGGGACCTTCTGGGACGGATGGCACGCCGGGCGCTGATGGCGCTCAAGGTCGCAGAGGACGCAGAGGACGCCAAGGACGTCGAGGACGCCGAGGACACCCAGGACAACAGGGAGAAAGTGGCCCTACCGGGGCGAATGGCTCACCGGGAGCTATTGGCCCTGAAGGACCTCCAGGACCCCAAGGGGATCTAGGTCAGCAGGGAGAAAGGGGCCCTGCCGGAGCGGATGGCGTCGCAGGCCCTGAAGAACCTCGAGGACCTGACGGAGCTCCGGGCGCACCGGGGGTCAGTTGGCACACACGGCCGCCCCGACATTGAAGTTCGCCTGGAGTTGTAGGACAACATGGCAGGCGAGGTCAGGATGGCCCTGTTGGAGGAGCCGGGTGTTGGAGTGATCAACATAACAACAATTAGAGGGGCGATTTGGCAATTTACCAGCATAATCACTGTCATCGCCATGGCCATAAACCTGAAAATGGCGTGGAAGTATAGCGTTCAGTAGAAAGACTTGGGACTGGGTAGGCATCGGTTGGGTATGACTGGGCTTGGTCTGCGAATTTCCTTGTAGTAATTTTCATCATCTATGTTAATTCGTAACTGGTCAAGCTCCATCTCCGTGATTTATTCGCCTGTCAAGATGCCTGCACAAAGGTTATTCTCCCAAGTGCTCAAACGAACATCTGGGTGTGAGAGAATGATAATGATGCTATACATTTACTTGGACTGAAGCCCCAACTTTTCGATGGAATATCAATCGAGGGCAGATTCTAGTGATTAATGGCCAAGGACTAAGATGTGAAAAGAATACACGATGAACATTATAACGTAAATTACACCAAGTAAGTCGAGAGGTATGCTGGAGATCTGTCTATCAAAGTAAAACTAAAGTGGAAGCACAATGAAAAGAAAAGGAACAAAAGTTTCAATGACGCAATAGAGATTGACACGAAGTATTATGATTTAATTTTTTTACACCATGACACCCTTGATACCCAGCTCGTGGAAGTAAGCAATGAAATCCTGGGCCATATTGATCTCCTTGATCTGGCCCGTGCAGTCATCAAGAACCACAAAGTCGGTTCCGTTGTAAGTAACATAAGCACCGGGATCCAGTGTCCTGTATTGGAGTAAAGGGTCAGTTTTATGTTGAGAGCATAGCGGGTTGTCTCTTGAAACTCACGTTGGGATAGACATGTTCTCGCCCACAAGACCGTTCATCTTCCAGCGCATGGCCAATTTGTCGCCGGCGCCCACCCAGTGGATCATGTCAAACCAGTATTTCTGCCAGCCAGTGCGGGACTTTTGAATAAAGGCAACGAATTCATCGCGGCTCGTGACTCGGATGAGGTCACTACCGTTGGCGGAGGGGAGGCGGTCGGCATACATGACTAGATTTGGGTGTAGGATCGTTTCGGCGATGGTCAGATCGCCACTCCACATGTTGAGATAGTTGGTGGAGAGCTCCTTGTGGTACTCATTACTGTTGAGGTCCTTGCGGCAGCAACTGGAGTTGGTGTTGGTCTTGGGGGCGGCAAGAGCAGTAGGAGCGAGGAGGGCCAAGCCAGCAGTAACGGCAGAAGTAAACTTCATGTTGGCGGTGGGTTCTTGGATGGGTGAGCAGGAAATAGCTTGGTAGGGCTGAAAGAAGAGCTGAACGAGGCACTCAGATGGGAGGGAGAATGAGGATGAAGGGGTATTTGCAAGGAAGTTGCTGGCTGTTATGGTAGTAGTGGTAGCGATGCCGATGGATATCATGATCGCAACTTGAACGAGAATTGACTATTACTTATACCTGTTCGACTACGGGCGTCTATCAATGAGTAAAATGATGATGGGATCGTCAATCATCAATGGAAATAGAAACAATCAAACCCAACTGTCAAGAGGGTCAAGCTCAAAACCCCGAGCCGTCTCGATCCATCCCGCGATAGGTCAACGCCGGCGCAGAATCTTCCACGATGGGAATAATGGGATCGGACTCGGATCTGGGATGCGTCACGGACAGGGCTTGTATGGAGATTGAGCCTCAGTGCATGGATTTAGATGAGGCTGGTGAGGAGGAGACGTCACAGACTGGATGAATCGGGGCATCTTTGCCAACTGCCCGTTGATGAGCCCTGTAATCCAACTTGCCGGCGGAGTGACTGTCAGCGGACGCTGATTTGGCCCGTTCAAAACGCCTCGGTCGGCACTTGTTCGCGCGTCTTTCGGCCGCGAAAAGGCTCCAGCTCGCCTTCATTCCCAACAGCCTGGACCAAGCCCCATTTGGCCAAGTCTCGGTATTCTATTCCTGTCTCCTCTTTATTCTTAATTATATCAATGATCGAAGGATCATCTCTAGGAGACGGGAGCTGAATACAGAGCAACGTGATGCACCGTACCCCTTTATCAACCTACACGATCTGACAGCCTTTGGTATACTCCTGTGTCGCTGTGACCGCCACGGTACCTGAATTTTGAACTGCGAGATGGCGTCGATTTCTCGCCTTGGGCTCGGCCGGTTCGGGAGCGAATTCGTGCGCATGGCAAACAATTAGCGCCCACAAATGACCGAAATACTGGGATCCGACCCCCCTGTTCCCAAAACACGGCACAGCGGAGAGGAGAATCAGGGGATGGGGCACCACTCAAAGTGCGGTGCCCCATAGCGTAAGCATGTTAATCGAGTTGAGCAGATTCATCACCTTGTTTTCCTTGATCGAGTATGATATACTCTTTCTCGCCCTGTTGGACGATTCTTCTCATCTAGATGACGGAACAGGATCGAGCCATCTGCTACACAGGAACGTTTCGACTCCATTTCCAGGGATTTCCTTCTTGGAGCAGCGAATAGGGACTCTGCCCGTCCTTGGCTAACGTTAGTGGGTGCAAGAAACATGGTCTAATAACAGCCGTTCATCCTGACAAGGTTTAGCGAAACCAACACTCCAATTGTCATCACGCACTGCCACATTTTTCTTTCCCTTTCCTCCCCCTCACCGTAGCTTGCTTCACGAATCGCTATGCAGATGTGTGTGGCTTTGCCTCCCGAATACCCCTTTGGAGAGTTGCCCTGCCTCTTGGTGCCGTCGGATGCTGCTGATTGATGGCCTCCCTACTCGTGTATTGCTTGATGCTCGGCAAATGTACAACCAACTGGGTAATATCTGTCGGCTGCCCCCAACTACCAGCCCGATCCGAGGCTGACCTTGTACGTCACTGGCCTTGACACCTACTGCCTGCATATCACCCTGTTAGCCCGGAGCCGGCACTGCAGCTGACGGTAGACGGCTGCCAAGGCAGAACAGGCGCAGCTTGGCTACGGTACCAGCCTGGGCGGCGAGAGTTGATGTGCTGGGGAGAATTGATTGATAATAGACCCCATTGTCTCGCGTCGCCTGCGCGCATATATCTCCCATTGCATCTTGGCCTACAATTATTCCAATTCAAATAGGATTTATCCATAATGGTCGGCGTGCGGGGACGATCTAAAGCCTGTTCGACTTGTCGCAGGCGTAAGAAAGGAGTGAGTCAACGGTTCTCATATGATTTCTTCCATCACGATCAATCACTCTCTTTCACCCTTTGCGCAGAGGTGCCCATCTCAATACTTATAAGAGAATTTCCGGCAATTTCCTCTATTGCTGATCTACTTGCACCTTATTCATATCCATCCTATCTCATACTGCCCTTCCTCTCACTCTGGTCCCAGCACCCTTCTCATCTGCGCGAAGTTGCCATGTCTCTTCCCTTTCCACGCTCCCCTATGGCGTCCCCTCAATTTCACTCCATTTCTCATTTTCTAATTATAAGTACTACAGTGTGACCTCCAGCAGCCCTCTTGTGGACAATGCCGAAAGGCAGCGATCCCCTGTGGTGGCTACGCTGACAGCTTTGTCATTCACCAGTACCAAGGGGCTGGCTCAGGCACCACCACCGACAAGCCCTCGGACGCAGGACCCAGCAGTCAGACATCTCCTCCCGATTGGGGAATCGCCGCACAGGGCCTCGAGTTCGTAGAATGGGGTGCCCCCGTGCTCGCCCAGAAATGGGTCGTGCCGAAATACCTCCAACCGCCCAACGCCGACGAGGAAGACGCCGCCGATCCCAAGGCCAGAGGCAGAGCGAGTCGCCGTCCGTCTCCCCGCCGGCAAGACAGTCCTGGACCTGCCCGCTTCGGCTGGGCGGCGTCAGAGGCCGGACTCATCGGCGCTTTCTTTGATGCCTACTATCCCAACCGCCGATGCGGGCCTGCGACTACCGAGCTGCAGAGGACCCTGGGCGGGTCGATCATCCTGTTGCAGGACTATGCGCCCACTGACCCTGTTCTTCGTCAAGCTCTCCTAGCCACTGCATTGCGTACACTGGGCAGACGGCCAGATGCTCCAGCGTGGCTGGAGAAGCGTGGGATGGTAGTGTATAGTAGTGCTCTGCAAGAGATGGCTGCTGCCTTGCAGTCACCCAAAAGGCGGCAAAGTCTCGATATCCTGGGTGCCGTCCGTACGTTTAGCATACATGAGGTATGGTCCTTCTTCTACCGTCTCTCCTAGTTGTGTCATTACTTTGTATGTTTTTGGAAAAGTCACTTGAATGCTGATCGCATCTTACAGGCTCTCTTTGGAAGTGATGCAAACCCAAACGGGCTATCACAACGACAGAGCTGGATGGCTCATAATGCTGGAGATATTGCTCTCATCCTCAATAACCCTCCCTCTTACTATATTGACGGCTTGGCCCATCGCCTTTTCGTTGATGGAAGACTTCATCTTGTGCGCATCCACTGCCGACCTGTATAGTTTTGACGCTCTGTTTCGCTAACAGTCTGGTGCGCTTAGGTCTTAACTGCATTCCAAATGAAGAAGAAGATATTCCTGGCGCAGTCAGAGTGGCTAACCATTCCATGGACCAAGCACGCCAAAACACCGCGCGACTTTCTGATTGATATCCTGATCGGCGTCATGGAAGTCTTCGTTGACATATATGCCATGCAGGACGCCAATGACGAAAAAGAAAAACAACTCTACCGGGACATCATCAAAGGAACAGTCTCATATCTCAGTACGGCACTTATCAAGTGGCTCGACAAGTATGCCGTTCCCACTATACCTAGCAAGATGGGCGCCGACTTACCGGAATACATCACCACTGAAGACATTGCCAATGGCCACGTAATGACCATTTTCTGGGGCAACTGCTGCCTCATTGACCAAATAAAACGAATGGCCTTCGGTGAGAACAACTCCCCATCCAGCAGCCCGCATGGCTGGGGCCCCCACGACGACGAGGACATCGACCCCCTAGATCCCGCCAACGCATGCCACCACATCCTCCGCGTGGTGCCCATCTTTCTCCATCCCTCGGCGGGCATCTTCCGTCAGCATCTCATGCCTTTTGTCCTCGGCGCCGCGGCATTCTACCTGACTTCGGCGGGACCGATGCGCATGCGGATAGAGAGAGCTGCCATGATGGATTACCTTGCCAGGCCTGAGTCAGCTTCTTTGGCGAAGTTTCTGTCAAGTATACAGAAGCAGACGTTTGATGATCTGCGGCGGCAGGCTGGCCCGCATGAAGCGAGCATGTATGAGAACACTTGATGGGAGATGTCTTCTTATTTCTTGTTTTGTATGCATGTAGTATGAGATTTATGACCGAAGCGATTGACTTTTCGGGGTGAGCATTGGGTTTATAGATTTGGCGTAGGTGCTATCGGTTGGAAACAGGAGTTCGTCTTGCCGGACAGGATATATTCTTTCTCGTTAGATTATGGTATGATATAGAGATGGTTGTGGTATGATAGACAACTCTCGCAAGGGCGCGTGTCGAATATTATTGAACAAATCGACCTTGTGAACTAACATCTAGAATCTTGTGATCAGCATTTCTAGTAATATATGATGATTGGACACTAGGGCATATCGCTTGCGAAATGACCGTTGACTTGATATTCATGTTGATTATTTTCTTTGATCGTTTCATCGAAACATGCATTAGATGGAAGGTTACAACACCCACCGAGAAGAGACACTTGAAGTAATGAAGTCCCTAACAAACTGGAACATTCACTCTGGAGAGGACCGGGGATTGAAAATGATTAAATAATCTTGCGTTGAGGTGCGGCCAAACATAGGCTGTGCCCAAACCCACTGGCCGGCGAATCAGAACAAGCATTAATGTGCCCTTGTGACAGCATGACCAAGGATCTCACATGATTCTCAGATTGTGGCTTGTGACTGCGTTTGGCGAATTAATTGGCTCTCGTGTTTCTGCACATTTGAGTCAGACGAAATCCGCCTTGGCCGTGGCTGAGGCAGCACCCAACCAACAGCAGACGCCTCACAGGCATCCATCCATCAGCTGGAGATTTATTGCGCGGCTACGCCCATGGACGTGCCCATTCTCACGTCGCACTCTTCTGGAACTGGTCGTCTCCTCGATCCCTCGGCCTGCCCACCCAAGAAACTCACCTGCTGCCCCCCGCGATGGCATATGTGTATTACTACTCGACCTACTACTCTCCCGTCGAATACTACTACCCCTGCTCGGCCCCAGCCTTCACATACTACGAGCCCGTAGCCTACTCGGCTATCCCCTCACATCGTCCGCGGCGCAGCTACTCACGGCACAAGCGCCTCCCCGACCGCACCAGGGAGCCCGAGGAGGGACACTGCTTCCTCCTGTTCTTTAAGGAGAAGTACTGGGACGAGCTCAAGTGCCGCTTTGGCCCCAACTCCAACTATGTCATCAACACCCCCGACAGCGTAATTCGCCAGTTCATGCGCGACCACCCCCGCATGGTCTCCTCGAGGCGAGATCTCCAGCGATACCGAACGGGGCCTTATCTCACCCATATAGCTCCTGGGGGGCATCATTCGCCGTGGGAGTTGGCATGACGGAATGCGAAGCTATTTGGCACTATTCGGTTGATTTGCGCTAATGTTGGTTGTTTCGAAATGGCCTCTATTTACATGTGTATCAATATTTTGCTAGGGGAGTTTGGGTTTGGGAAATTAATAGACAAGACCTAGGGCGGGCAGTTACTTTACTGAGAAAGAGTTCTGACGCTGGTGATGATTGCCCATATAATCAGTTTCATCGCCTCCGATGTGACCGTGGGTAATATATACGACATGGAAAAAGCGGGTGTTTCGCTTCCGTTCATCAAGGACCTCGCCGGCCATCAAATGTGGAAGTGGCACGAGAAGAGTAGAATGCGGAATTTGCGATTCGAAAGAGAAAGATAGAGAATCGGCATCGCTAAATTCCCGGAGTTTCAGATGTCTAGAAAGAGCGAGAGCGCTCTATTGTTCTATCCGGCCCGTCCCGAGGCTTCGAGTAACGAGCTCTAATAAATTCAGTATCTATAACCTTTCTATACCTATAATCCAGTCTAGTGGTAGAATTGGGCAGCTGCCATAATGAGGCAAGGCATTACTTTGTAGCCTCCTTGCCTATGGCGGCCAGTCTCGCGATTTCGTCAGCGGCAATCTTCCTCCCATCATACTGTCGCGCTACTTCGCCGAGCTTTTGTGCCTTTTCTCTCAGCGAAATACTCGATGGACCGACCAAAGCAGTGCGAAAGCCCTCCACCAACGATTCGGGCACCCATTCTGGGGTGGTGCTCCTGCCAGCCCAGATACCAATGCCTAGATACTCAGCCATATTGGCAAAGTTGAAGAGATCGAACCATAGCGGTAGAATCATCTGCGGAACACCGGTGCTGTTACCAAAATTAGTAACGCTGCAGGGATATTTTTTTGGTAATTGAAAAACTCACTATATGGCTTCGTGATAAGTGTTAGCTCCGCCATGATGCACCTCCAAGACTATGTGGCCCGTCTCAAGAAGAGCGGCTGGCTCTGTCTCCAGCCAGGTCTCGATCCGGATCCGTCGGCTCTGTATATCCTTTTGAATATTTGCGAATACTTCGTCGCCATATTCGCCCAGCTTCTTAAACTTCCACAGAACCTGAAAGTCCGTCTCTGCCATCAACGTTGCAAGAGCATCGGCCATAGCTCGCGCCCTCTGCTGGTTATAAGCAAACAAGCTGCCCAAGTTGATAAGTATCGTGGGCTTTTGTGCTAGCCAAGAAACCATCTCAGGGTCCTGATCTGCAGCTGACGTTGTGCTCATGGCAACGTGACCGCAAAATTTGAGATATGGCGGGTAAAAGTCCATGGGGACGTTGGCTTCTTTGAATGTCGACGCAAGAACAGGGACGTCCTTGATCACGAAGCTGAACACAATGGGATTCTCTATCCCCTTCTCAACAAGGAAGGCCCGTTTGGCGGCGAGAACAGGGGAGCTTGCAAGGTTATACCCAAGGCGAACCGTGAGGACTATATTGGAAATCGTCTGCTTCCAAGACAGCGGGAACTGATATCCCGAAAAGGCTCTTGAGGTAAGAATTAGCGAATATGGCTTGAAAAATGGATATGAGCCTTGGAATCAGCCTATGTATATCTACTACACTTACGCAGGATACTTCCAAGCCACAGCACCTCGAGGCTGATCAGCCACAATGAGCTCCAAAAGGCCATTGGGAACAAGACTGAGAAACCGTCGGTCAGAATGTGCTGCGAGGTCCGTGGCCGGGGCAAGCATATTGTCTAGAACGATGATTGCAGGATCAATGTCATTTATCAAGGAATTGAGAGCTGTATACATGTCCCAATGGTCTTCGACGTCCCAAGGTGCCAGGCTGAAGACAAGATCCCTTATCTTCTTGTCGTAGTCGGCGGTACCCGTTCCAATGATCATGGCTTCGACATCACCGAAGTGCTTCTCAAACACAGACAGGAATGGTGTCCCTGGTATTTCGTGCCATTGGATTGGCTTTGCTGAGGGGTTTGATGCAAGCGCGGTATCTGAAATTCGCGAGACCCTTGAAGCCAGTTTGGGGAAGGATGCATAGTGCACCTCAAGATCGGGATAGTGCTCAAGCAACGCCGAAGCAGCTGCAAGATGGACGTTGGACAGGCCAGTGGCTTCGGTCGTGAGGAAGAGCACCGTGTCCTTTCGGCCGTCGACTCTTATGACTGGTTCAGCTGTTGGGCTAGCCCTTGGATACAGCACGATGGCAAGAATAGCAAGCGCTGTGGGAATCGTGAAGAGGAAACGACGCAACATGGTGGCCAAGGGATGCCACTTTCGCGGTGAAGTAGGTGAAGCAAAACAGTCAAGATGTGAAAACGCTGACCTGGTCACCAACAGCTAAAATATGATGGCAGGCAGGCGGGGATCCCCCTTTAGCGTCTGAAGCTTACGGCAAGGGGCAACAAATAATCTGATTGGCTCTCGACGTTTCATTGAAAATGCACGTAAAAGTCAGAAATATTCAGCAGGTCCATCTGGGAAGCCACCTGCCCCTGTGGATTGTAGTGCTTGAGGCCTTATGGTTGGGATCTGTCCTCTGTTCAAACTGTGTACATAGACTGGATAAGAAAGCATCAGAGCTCACTAGAGGGCAATCAACGGTGCTGAAGGATCCGCCGGATGCACGTATTAATGTGCCTCGAAGCATCTATCCGCCTTGGGACATATTGAGCATGGACAAGTGGATTACCTGCCACGCGAGAACACAACTGCCACCCCTAGCATGAAGAATCTGAGAAATAACAAATATGGAGACTCATGGTCTAAGAAGAAGTGCTTATGCCCAGCCTAAAAAATTCCCTAAAAATTACTCGAATAGGCAGTATCGAGCTATCTTACCAGATACATCCCTCCAATTTACATGGCGTAAACACGTCTAAAAATGTCGAGCTTGCTTAGAATGTGAATCGGTAGCAGTTGTTGGACGTTTAGCCTTGTGATTAACCCGCCAATATGGCACAGAGATCAGGTTTACAGAGAGTCCTGCCTGTCTTGCCCCTGAATACGCGTATTTTCTGCGGGACTTCGGTTACCTGTTGGTCACCGCTGAGATCAGCCGTTGAAATTTGGAGCATGTTGATTTCCCCACCTCGTTCTGTGTTTGGCTTGCTTATCAGGACTTGCTCGTTTTGGTGCTACAACCAACCAGGATTCATCTCCAAAAACGACTTAGGCCAGCGTATTGTTGAAGCACTAGACAATAGCAGAATGAGTACGTAATAACCAAGAACGGGAGTCAATATATTGCGTCGTTGATCTCCTCTCCTCTTCTCCAAACTGTTGCGCTCACAACAACTCCGCCATCACAACAATGTTCCCCTGGGCTTCAACAACATTCAATCCTGCCACGGATATACCGGACCTCAGTGGCAGGGTGATATTTGTCACTGGAGGCAACACCGGTCTTGGAAAGCAGTACATTCTTGAGCTCTGCCGTCATAACCCAGCACAGATTTGGCTGGCCGCAAGGAATCTCGACAAGGCGAAGGCGGCCGTGGCGGACATCCAAAGTCAAGTCCCTGGTGCTCCTATTGAGATTCTCCAGATTGATTTATCGTCGCTCTCCTCCGTGGAGAAGGCAGCTCGCGAGTTCCAACAAAGATGCGACCGGCTAGATATCCTTATGCTCAACGCCGGCATCATAATGGCGCCCCTTGGGAAAACACAGGACGGTTATGAAGTACACTTTGGTACCAATTACATGAGTCATGCGCTGTTGACTAGGTTATTGCTTCCAACGATTGAGAGGACAATAGCTGACCAGGAATCGCCCGATGCACGAATCTTGGTCGTGAGCTCTTCTGGATATCACCTGGCACCGAAAGAGGGCATTGTGTATGAGTCCGTCAGAACGACTTGTGCGGAATGGTGGAATATGTCTCGATATGGGCAGAGCAAGCTCGCTTTGAATCTCTGGACCCGCCAGCTCGCCAAGCACTATCCCAATATCAAGTGCGCCTCCATCCATCCAGGCGTTGTGGACACTGAGCTTGGGGTACCTCGTGGTGTCGAGTTGAGCTACTGGTCGTCGTTTTTGCGTTGGGCGTCCCTCGTCGTCCTCCGTTACGTGTCATGCGAGGAGGGCGTAAAGGGCCAGCTCTGGGCGACGGCCACCAAAGATCTGCAGTCGGGAGAGTACTACACCCCCATTGGCAAAGTTGAAACATTGAAGGCAGAATGGAGGGATGATGCACTATCAAAGAAGCTTTGGGATTGGACCGAGGAAGAGCTCAGGCCCTATGCTGGCTAAAGGGTTTCACGTCATACTATTATTGCTCGCTTTGATGCCTGCATTCGACCATGTTTGTCACTTTTATATCTCGCTTTTTTTTTGCTGAAGACACATCGTACCTCTTATATGGTCATGTTGTCTCCTCGAGTCAAAGAGATTAGACGCTTATCTCTATGAGTTACACTCCGGCAGCTCGTAAGAAAAATTCCAAGGAACACGTTTTGATGATATCCTCAAATAAAGAAACGCTTCCCCATTATTGCGTTTAATCTTCCTATCGTCAATCTATCCTTGCGCTCGCCCCTTCTAGCCTGGCTCCGAGGTGGCTATATCTCATCTCCAACATCGTTATCGTCTCCAGGCGGCGTGCGACCGAATACAACACGCTCTCCGTCTCGGATGCCAATCTTCTAATTTCACGACCCCTTTTCTCATAACGCAGCTGGAGTGAGGTGTTGTTGTTCATATCTCTTTAGGATTTTTCTTGTAGAATCAAGATCCAAGATATTGGTTAAGAAATGGGGGGTCATTTGCAACAACTCGCAAGTCACTTGAATTAATTCGTCTCAAACCCCAGCACAACCAGACATGTTATCGAATTAATTCTATAGAAGAATCGATAAAATTCCGAAATTCAACTCGAGGCATTTACAAAACTTACAAAATAAATCCCAGTGTTGTTGCCAATTGATCGCGTATTCTACCTAGTTCTCAGACAAGAGTGTTGGGTGTAGGGTAAGTCTACCGGGATGAAGGCGCTGCAAAATTTCTCTTCCACCAGAATTAAGCGCTGGCCCTTGAAGTAGCGCGAACTTCTTGGTGGCGGCAATGCGGCCATCGGTAAAGCCGGACAGATTTCAGCGTCTTACGACCTGATCGCGCCCTGTGTTTCGATCTAGCAGCTGCATTGGCTGAGGGATTCATCGTTTGCGCCGTCAGCTCAGTTCAATGTCATCGATCATCGGCCGGGAATGGCAGCGGGAAGCGAGCCAATCGACAGAGAGAACGCGCTCATTAGTCACGTCGCTTGCATAGCCCAAATTACATCTCCATCTTGAAGATGACTAGACGGAAAAGGAAGAGGACTTTGTAGCCGCCGGCAGAGCGTCTTCTACTTTCAGCTGCCTTGCCTGCCTAGTTGGACTGCATCGCGCGTAGAAGTGGACGGCTCCATCTGGGATGCGCCCAAGAATGGGAAGACGGCTTGCCCAAAAGCACCATAATGACGCTCATTGTGGATTACCAGCCTCATTGGAGCCATGGGGGCAGGTTCGCTGGCGGTGCTTGTGCAAAATACCCGCCTGGGACCAACCAATCGAGTCGATGGCACCTTGTCTCGCGCAGTGCAAGCTCACCTGAAGTGTGCTGCCGGCTTGCAGTGGTCCAGCCTGCTGTCTCCAGCTCGGCGTCTAAACCATAGGACACAGACTCTCATCGCCGGAGCAGACCCATCTCGTATGGCAGCCAGGTGGCGGGGATCCGAGCCAGGGGTTCCTCGGGCTGGGCAAATCAGACCGTGGTTCCCTGCCAAGATGCCGTGGTTAGCGGCAGGGCAAAGAGCAGGGGGACAGCTGGACAGTCGGTAGACAAAGCTGAAACCTCCCAAGAAGCTCTTGTTAGCGCCCGTGAGCCAAGTGTTGCTGATTAGACGGCAAAAGGGGGCCACGGCTCCCCAGCCAATGCAGGGGTTATGCACGTTGGCCCCCAATCACGGCTCTTGACAACCGCTGAGAAGAAACACCCGCCCTGGCTCCACTGAAATACTCTTCACGGACAGCCTCTCGTTGAAGCTTGGGCGGGCTTTGCGTCTGTCCCGAAATAGAATTAGGGAAATCAGGCCCAATCCACCACTATCCGAGATGGCATCAACCTTTAACCATAAAGGTTGTACACGGCCGCATCGTTCATGGCCTCTTCTTTGTTTACCTCACTATCTTTGGATTCGGTACCTTAATTTCCTCTCATATTTCTCATTATTCCCTTGTTCCCTTTGTGCTCGTCTCAGCCACCAGACAGGATAGCTCCCCCCTTCGCTATTGGGACTACTGCCTGCCATTGTATCTTTGTTATTGCTTTGTTTACCATCACGGCACCTGCATATGTGCACTGCTTAATAGAGACGGACCCGGAGTTCACTCTTTTCCCTTGCCATCATATAAGCTTATCGCCAGCTACTGCTCGTTCGCTTGTTAACCTAATACACGCACATATACCGACCAGCGACCAGTCTATATTTTCACCAACATGAAATTCAATCTTTACCTCGGCGCTCTGGCCGCTGAGTTGGCCACCGCTGCCACTCTTCCCCGAGTTCGATTCCCACGCGGAGCCGGCAGAATCAGAGGAAGACAGAGTGCCGTCACCACTCCTGGAGCGTCCGGTACGCTCTCAGAATCTGTGCAGATGACGACCTCGACCATCTACACCACCTCCGTCCAGACCATCACCTCTTGCGCGCCCGAGGTCACGTCGTGTCCCGGAGGAGGAGGCCCTATTCTCACCACTGTCACTATCCCTGTCTCCACCACTGTCTGTCCAGTCTCCGAGGTCGGGTCTTCAGTCGACCTGCCTCCTACTTCCGAGGTTGTTCTGCCTACTACCACTGAGGCTGCTCTGCCTTCTACTTCCGAGCCTGTCCTGCCTTCGACTTCTACTATCGTTTCGTCAATCGCTTCGACCCCAGCATCAGACATTCCTCAATCGGATACCTTGGCCCCTTCCAGCTCTCCAGCCTCGGATATTCCTCATTCGGATACCTTGGTTCCTTCCAGCTCTCCAGCAACACCTGATGTCCCCGTTTCGTCGGTGGTCGCCACTCCTACGTCACAGCAGATGACAACCTCAACCATCTTTGCTACGTCCACCTACACCGTGACTTCGTGTGCTCCCGAAGTTCCAGACTGCCCTGCTGGCTCCACCGTTCTGGTCACAGAGACGATTCCTGTCTCCACTACCGTCTGCCCGGTCACAGAGAGTGTCTCCGGCACTGGAGCTCCTTCTGGAGACTCTTCTGTTGTCCCTACTGGCGCTCCCAGCTCAGAGCCTGGCCCTGTCTCGTCTGAGCACCCAGTACCATCGACCACTTCTGGGCCGGACACTTCATCTGTGCCCATTACGCCTTCCCAGTCATACCCGCCTGAGAGTCTGACTACTTCCACAATCTTTGCCACATCCACTTATACTGTTACTTCTTGCGCACCGGAGGTTACGAATTGCCCAGCTCATTCGACTGTGCTTGTGACCGAGACCATCCCTATCTCCACAACTGTTTGCCCGATCACCGAGTTGCCCTCTGGAACTGTAATCCCATCTGGTGATTCTTCCGTGCTCTCGTCCGCAACTGAGACTGCACCAGTTCCAACTCCCACCAGCGGCGCTTCTGGTTCTGGATCTAGCTCATTGACTTACCCTCCTGAGAGCCTGACCACCTCTACAATCTTTGCCACATCCACCTACACAGTTACTTCATGTGCTCCTGAGGTTACAAATTGCCCTGCTCATTCGACTGTGCTCGTGACTGAGACTATCCCCATCTCCACCACCGTCTGCCCAATCACTGAGGTGCCTTCAGGAACTGCCGTTCCCTCTGGTGGCTCTTCTGCTTTGCCCGTGCCCTCGGGAACAGTGAGCGGCCCAGCGCCAACTCCCACCAGCGAACCTGCTCCCGGATCTAGCTCTTTGACCTACCCCCCTGAGAGCCTGACCACCTCTACCATCTTCGCCACATCCACCTATACCGTTACTTCGTGTGCTCCTGAAGTCACAAGCTGTCCAGCTAGCTCAACTGTGGTCGTGACAGAGACAATTCCCATTTCTACCACTGTTTGTCCTATCACAGAGACTGCAACTGGCTCTGTATCCACGACTGAGGGTGCAAACCCAACGGGTTCCACAGCTTCGTCGTCTGGACCTGAGCCATCTACCTCTGTGTCTCTCCCAGGCTCCAGCTCCAGTGGCTCTCCTGTCTCTACCCCCGAGCCCACTAGCGTTCCTGGTTCTACTACCATTCCTGCCCCTGGAACTACTACCGACGTCTCTGGTCCTACCACTGCCCCAGGCTCGACGATAACTTCATACCCTCCAGAGAGTCTGACCACCTCGACTATTTTCTCTACATCTACCTACACAGTGACTTCTTGTGCTCCCGACGTTCCAGACTGCCCTGCTGGCTCAACAGTGATTGTCACCGAGACCATCCCAGTTTCCACCACCGTGTGCCCTATTACCACAACCCCATCGCACGAGGGGCCTGGAAGCACCGCTCCCCAGCCAACTGGCACCAGCCCCCAGCCATCCTCATCTGGAGTCCCCGGCCCATCTTCATCTGAACTGCCTGTCCCGTCTTCTTCTGGCGCGCCCGGTCCATCTTCCTCCCAGATTCCCACTTCCGGGGAGCCAGTCCCAACGACTACCGTCGGTGGCACTACTTCCAATGGGTCTCCTGAAGGGCCATCCTCCACTGGGCCAGTTACACACCCAACTGAGAGCTTGACCACTTCCACCATCTTCTCAACCTCTACTCGCACGGTCACTGATTGCGGTCCGGATAAGCCAAGCTGTACCGATGGAACAACCACCATCGTTACCGAGACAATCCCTGTCTCTACTACTGTCTGCCCCATTACCACAACTCCATCGCATGAAGGACCTGGTAGCACTGGCCCAGAGACAACCCAGCCTCCTGTGACGTCCACCACTGGCTCAGAGTCCCCAGAGAAGCCCACCACATCTTCTCACCCCCCTGATGTCACCCAGTCTACGCTCACGGCGCCAGTGACAACCACCTGGTCCAGCACATCTACAGTCTTCTCGACTTCCTACCAGACGGTCACCAGCTGCGGCGCTGAGGTTACCAACTGCCCCAATGGCGGCACTACCACTGTTGTAACACACACCATCCCCGTCTCAACCACCATCTGCCCCATCACCGAGACTGTGGTGCCAACCCATTCCACCGGCGGACAGTCATCCAATGTGCCAGGCGCCAGCTCATCTACCTCCATCCCCAGGGAGCCTTCCGTCTCTACGATCCCCGGACAGCCCAGCGATGTCACCTCTGTCATCCACTCCACCATCAACGGCACCCCCACCACCGTCCTCATCTCCATCTCCTCGGGTCCCTCCTCCGGAGTCCACGCTCCCTCAAGCACAGGCCACGGCGGCGACGACACCCCCTCTACCGTCCACTCTACTGGCCACACAACCATTGGAGTCACCTCCTCCAACTCCCCAGTGACCCAGTCCTCCCACAGCCCTGCCCCTTCGTGCACACCAGGCTCAGCCGGCTGCTCCGCCGTGACATCCTACTCCTCATGCGTCCCCGGATCGGCCAATTGCCCCTCCGCTGGCACGACTCTGCGCTCGACAACGCACACCCCGGGACAACTTCCCAGCGTTAGCTTCTCGCAGCCTCCTACTTTGCCCACCACCGCCGCCGCAGGACGGTTCGTCGGTGGTTGGAAGGTGGCGGTTGGAGTTTCCTTGTTTGCCGTCTTTTTAATATGAGGTATATGATGAGATGGAAGTATATACAAGTTGTTGAAGTAGGAGAATGGGTAATCGGCTCATCTCTTGGAAGTCTTACACTTATTTTGTTTTGTTTGGGTTTTGGAGCGCCATGATAATAGATGCTCTGTGGAGTCTTAGTTTAATGCCATGTTTGTTTATAATCATGCTAGAATTGCTGGGCAAGAATGAAAATAAAAAGTTAATCCTAGAATTCGAAACTATCTGCTTCTCGTTACTTAAATTCGGGCCAGTTAAGTGAAGACTACTTATACTGTATTGCCCTGCTTTTGTTTTATTTTTTGCCAGAATATCAGAACGTGTTTTTGTAGGGTTTTCTCGTCTTAGCCAATTATCTCGAATTTGCAGCCTGGTAAATAATTCCATACATAAGAGAGGAGCTTAGGGGACTAGTCGAATACATTAGTTGCTTCGGCTGATGAAGATTGGTCAAACCCTTCTTCTTCTTTCACCCAAGGCGTGAGAGCTGGCGCCGGCCCTACATCTTGAACGGAGCTCGAGTAAGGAGCTTCACGATGGGTGCGAGGTGGACAGGGCGCCCGGAATCGTTGACTCTGCAGGCTTTGGAATCTCCAGTCAGGAGCCTGTAGCCATGCCCAGTTAGCGCGATGAACTTCAATACCAACTTTGTTTTTTAAGGGTTATGAGCATCAACCTACAGAAACTGAGGCCACCACAGCAAAGATCGCACTTTGCTCCGATGGGAGCTCTTCATCGCACTTGGGTTCGGAACCATCAAAAGGACCAAATACGTAAAACTGATTAAAATTGGTCCGGGCCTTGAATCTCGTCGGTTAGCTTCAATACCAACTAGAATCATGGCAGATGATCAAGGCAAGGGTTGACATACCATAATGTTCTCTACCAAGTTTTGACGTCCTAGCTTGCCGCCTGGGGCAAACTGAACAACCCTCTCTCCGTTCTTTCCATCGACCAAGAGGGTTTGCTCAACGCAGCTGAACAGGTTTCCGTCAGGCTTCATGAATTCTCGATTTCCGTACATCACGGGTTCTCCCGTGGAGTAGGTAAAGCGGAGGCCGTAAATTCCATCTGTTCCATGCACAAAAGCAGTAATGCTACGAAGAGACGAAAGCCTCGAGCCGTCAGCGCAACCGAATGGCATGTATAAGTTAACGGGAAAGATGGCATTTTCGTGAGGTGTCGGAATAGGTAATGCCGTCAAGTCCTGACTTTCATCAGGCGGAATAATAGGACTCCATAGAGCTACTGGGCTTACTTCCAAGTCTTGCTTGGTATCCTCGATGAGCTGTATCGCGACTGCTTTATACATCTAGATACCGGGTGAGCGGAGAAAATATTAAGGAGTCTGCCTTTGCCTACATCAAAACCGAACCTCAACCCAACTATAGTTGACTCGGGGGTAAGACGTTTAATAGCGATGATGCCGTGCCGACGCCTCGGTCTTCCAACATTGTGGATGCGGATTTCGCCATTGGGTTTGGCGATGAGAAATTTCAGACAGTGAATGCCGGAAGTAGAAATATAGACGTCGACATATGATATTTCATCTCCAGGGTCAAGGAAGATAGATGCCATGGTTGAAGTGATGATCACACCCGCCTTCTGCACATCTCTTGCTCGATCGTCTGCGTGCTGGACGGAAACTCGACACCCAGAAATATACTCGGCAGACGAAAGCACGATAGAGGAGAACTCCATTTGCACACGGGCATCATTTCCTTCTTCACGAAAGAACATATTGTGTTCATTCCGGAGCCTGACCCCAAGATGGACTGTCTTCTTCGGGTTCTCTCTATCTGAGAGGCGGGGAAGCTCTGGGGATGAGACTCGTTGAGTGAGACCCTGATTCAAAGGGAGAGTCCTCGTGTCCACTTGATTGTCATCTCCAGAATTGAGTAGTGGAATAAGAATGGTGGATAGGTCTGACAGGCAGCGCCAAATCCGACGACGATTGCGAATTTCGTTAGGACCGGCCACACGTTCGAGGTTCTGCATGCAAAAATAGCCTTCACACCAAAATTGGGTGGCCCAAGGAGATGTTACAACCGTGGGAACATAACCCATCTCGCGATTGGAAGCGAAACGAGAAGCCCAGAAGGATTGAGCAAGATTGCCAATGGCACCCAGAAATCTTAGTTGCCGCGAGGCTAGTCTTGCTGAGCACAGGTCTTCTGACGGCAAATGTACTAGAATATCATGGATTATCTCGTCGGGAAGCTTGTAAAAGGGGTCGGTATGGGATAGCGGCCCCGATGGTTTAACTGCGGAACTGCTGGCCACGTCCAGACCGTGTTCTTTGAGACTGAACTTGGAAACCTCAATGGGTGGAAATGACTTTTCGGGATAAGAATATAAGAGTTGACGGCCTTCCTCGCTCCGACGCATACTAATAGCCCCGTGATAGTTGCTCTCAGGTATAAGGTCGCAGTCTCTTACCCACGGGGTTGAATCGAAGATATAGAAGAGCAGAAGAGCAGTTCTCATTGGGTCTGGCGGATGTTGGCTGATGCCCGCAATCTGGGTTAAGAGTAGGTTAAAGCAGGCGTCATGAAAATGAAAGGTCCTCATGCGCCCATCCGCCGTACTGCTTGGCCTTGCGCCGCCATCGAAACCATTTGGCCCCTTGACTATGGTCAAATCATACGTCGTTAGTAGAAATAGATAGAAAGCGGCAGACTGGATGTGTCTTATTACCCCAGCGCACGACAGTAGTCCAGCACCAAGCCGGCACACCGGAAGCAGCCCCCACAGAGAGAGCAGTAAAAACCAACCGTCATCGCGTTGGTCGTCACGGTATAACGGGCCTTTTGCAGTGGATTTTGCCTCTTGGAGATACGGGCGTCCTGTAGAAGCACGATGAAAAAGAAAGGGCTCGAGGCGGGGGGGGGGGATGGCGGTCCAATACTCCAGCTGAGGGTGGGCTCGGTCCTCGCTGCGTCTCGCCGACGAGTGAGCTGTCAGCTCTGAAGCCACAATCAATGCAGTAGGCCGGAGTAAGGTTGAATTTCCCCTCACCTTTTCGCACATTGAGTGATATATGCAGCTGGGTGACAGAAGAAAGGAGACAGCAAATTGAACGGTGCTTATGCTAGCTAAGTCGACGTTCCGTCATACTTGGAACAAAATAGTACAGTTGAAGATATTACAACGATTGTGTTTGGTATATCATCTCTTAGATATTCTTTTCCCAGCCACAATACCATGACAGTACTAGTCGCAGACTCGTGAAGAACCAGTATAATGTTGCAGTGGCTCAAACTCAATGTCACCTTCTTAATGACGAAACCCGCTATAGCAGAAGCGCATATGCATTCCAACTGCTCTTCGATTGGCTTTCACAACGTCACATGGTACTGTAGCTGCGGATTTCGCCACAAGGGATTCTGTTGCGACGGTCATGTAGTAGCGTGGAACCCTTGATACCTAGATAGGAGGTTTTGGGGAATCTTACAACAGGGCTTTGAGCGAGAAGCTATCGTCGTACGGCAAACAGAGAACCATCGCTTGAATTTGACTTCATTAATTCATCACCTATCCATCGCCGAATTGAGAATTAAACTTCTATAACACATTGAATGAAAAGTATTTCTTAGTCCTGCGCCATCCGTCCATTTCCAGCCTGTGAGGCGCCAGTTGGAGTCTATAACCCCTTTTCGCGATTGACAATTTCGCTTTCCCTTTGTCCATATTCTAAACTACCTAAGAGCCAAATGAGCGAAAGGAAAACACGAAAGAAAAAAAAACACAGAAAATGTAGAATGATGGAAGATTATCAACTATCTACTGCTTTCTTTTTAGAATGATGGACATATTGGGGATCAACCCCCGTAACTGAAACAGAACAGAAGGAAAAGGCGCCTCTACCCCGAGAACGCCTTGCCGGAAAGGAAGAATGTGAAAGAACATTTTCTTAGATCATGGACCGGGCGGCCACACCATGAACTTGCTCCAGGTGCTTCTTCATCCAGCCAGCGGTCTGGTAGTGTTTCTTGTTCCTCGAAGGGCAGTAATCACACACGTAAGTATTTAGAGAAGATCTCATGGATTGGATATTTATCTTGTAATCGTTGGCTCCCGAGCGCTTAGGCACCTGGACTTGCTCGTTCACGCCGCCGGGTGGTGTCACGAGCCAGGGAGCCGAGCTCGCGGCCTGCGAGACTGCAGTCCACATCAGATCATGAGCCCCTGCTCCTTGACCGAGGTCGGACGAGGGTGGTGTAGGACCCATGCGAGTCCGGTCCTCTGGAGTAGGGGCTTGCGGAGCGGTTCTTTGTTGGGCACGGTGGTTGTGCGGCGTGAAGGAATTGTGGTGATGGACAGGAGGAGAAGTTCGCATGGAGGGTATTTCCTGTCCCTCTGGAAGAGACTGTTGGTTCCCAAGCTCTGGACCTCTGGAAAATGCGCGTGGCTCCGGTAGGTGTGGTGGCCTTCCTGATGTGAACGCAAACGGTGGGCACGACGGAGATTGGTGTTGTGAGTCAGTTGGGGATAATGGAGCCCGGTAATCGTATGGCTCCCTCCTTTCCATTCTTGCTTCAGCATACTGCGCAGCCAACCCCGTCGTTGGGGGTGTGGGCGAAGGAAGTCCCTGCTGGAAGGCCACATGTCTCTGCTTATGCTGATCGAGTGAGTCATTTCGTTGCATGGTGCAGCCCTGAATCTTCTCCAACGCTTGCCTTGCCTCTTCCTGCAGCAGACTTGGGGAGCATGGAGCATTGCCTGATGAGGCAAGACGCCCGCCGGAGCTGTGCGGCTGCGAGTTCATCGAGCTCTGACTGGATTCACGGTTGTGTGAAGCAGAAGAGGGCACAACATGGCGCTGGGTATATGTCCTGCCCACAGATTCACCTACTGGAGGGTGATGGTTGGCTGTGTGTTCGCGTTCACCCTGGGGGACGGTGGCTTCTGTCGCCTGGGCTGCCAAGTGTTGTAACAATGAGTTGCAGGTGTTTTGGGGCACCAAAGCATTGCCACGGACTTCTTGTTGATTACTGGTGTATGCCATGTTGGTGTCGACTGGAGAATGATTAAGGATATTGGCAAAACCGTGCTTCGAGGGTGGACTGCATGCAGCTCTTGATATATCCACATTCTCGAGTTCTGGCAAGACATTCCCCGACAAGATCTGGGGAAGACCAGGGGGAATGGAGCGATCCATGGTTTGCCGAGGGCTGTGATGTTGAGCGGAAAGGGTATCGGGATTCGTGGCCAGGATATCCGCAATGGACGGTATGGCACGTGGACTGGGTGATTTGGCACGAGTTGTCGTGGTTTGAGGAGAAGGAGCTCGGGTATCTTGTGCTGTTGTTGTGAAGGCTGACTTGGTATTCGAGTGACGACCGGTCTTGGCCGCCTCAGGCTTGACAGGTGGGATTGGAGTTGATTTGTGTGATGACAAGATGGAGTCATCAGATGTTATAGCAGTGGCCGGTGGGAGAGGAGAACGCACTACCGAAGTGTTGGACTGCCTTTTGGTCTCTGTTACCTTTGATGATACTCGATCAACATTCTCGGACCGCATTTTGTCGACATCATTGCGGGCCGACTCCAGACTAGGGCAACTCATGCTCGGTTTGTCTGGCTTGCTGTTGTGCAATGCGCTCTCATTGAGACAGATCACTGTGACCAGGGGAGATGCCAAAGACTTCTGTCCGCTCTCCGTCTTGGTGCTTGGGCTGATTGCAGAGACTGACCTATTTGTTCCCTCGGTAGGGTTCTCGAGAGGAACGTAAGGAGAGACATACTTTCTCTTCCTAACAAAGGCAAAGTCTCGATGATCTACGGCTTCAATTCCTCCATCATGTGAAAATAAAGGTGGTCCAGTCTGAGATGCGTTAGAGGAGCCCTTGCTGAAGAGTGATGGTGACCGTTCTGTGCCAGTTCCTTCTTGAGTTGGAGTAGAAGCAGTGTTTGATTGAGTTGGTTTGCCGTGCGAGTCTGAACATAATGTTGACGGGGATGGCTTTTCGTCAGCAGGCAAGGAATCATACACCTGCTCTTGTGCTGGGCAGTCTGATGCTGTAGGGGGAATTGCCTTCTCCAAGGCACTTGAGTCATCAGTGGAAATGGCGTTGGGAGTTGAGCTCCGGATCAAGTCATGGATATCTTCCGGAGGATGGCTCACAGAGGGTGCAACTCCTACTTTATCAAGTTCTTCTTCAGAAACTGCAGAAGGCGGTGACGTGTCCATCATATTATCGTCATCTTCATCTGGGAGGATTAGAGGAGGTGCATCCTCCATTGCTTCATCAAAATCTTTGTGAGACACTGACGTGTAACCAGCCTCCAAGATGTCATCAGCATCTTGATGAGCATTGGTAGGGGTTGTACCCTTCACCAAGTCATCAACTGTATCGGGGACCTTCTTAGGAGAAGCAGCCTTGGAGCGCTCGATACCATCCTTCATGGCAATAGTTGCTGTAGCGTCCTCGGTATTTTCATCCGAGATGGGCAGCCGAGATGGGGCATCAGGCGAAGAGAGTTCATCGATACAAAGGGTGGCATCCATGGAAGCATCAAGATCTCCATCAGCGACGAATGAAGGCGGCGTGGTAAACCTCAGCCCATCCTCATCAGGATCTTCGTTGGCGACGACTGCAAAGTCCGTCGGATCTTCGACATCCCTTTCGACGGCAGACTCGGCCGTATCCTGCGCATCAGCATCTTCACGAGAAATAGCTGAGGGCTCCTCTGTCACCGGAGCATCGTCAAGGTGCTGTTGGGAGATTGAAGGGGGGTCTGGCTGCGTGATCTCCTCAGTTTCATCCTCACTTTCTGAAGAGGAAAGTATCTCGATGATCTCTATGTCCATGCGAGATGTGGGACGAGAAATTTCCCCGGGGGCGACAGAAGAGCCCCTTGATGCCACTGCGTCGACTGCAGAAGTATCGGCTCGCGTCGCCTCCCTAGCTGCCTCATCGATGCTCTCGGCAGACTTTTGACGCCGGCGAGGGAGCATCATCTCTTCTCGCTGACGCATGATGTACCTCAGAACCTCACAGTGCTCGTTCATCCTGAGCGGGACACTGGTGCTGCTTAGATCCCACTTCCGTAGATTCATCGCGGCGACCCAGGCGACGGGGCAGCCAGCCGGGAACTTCTTGCTGGTCAGGTAGATGGCAGGGAATGCGCGCTTGGCCGCCAGCTTCCCCTTCTCGTCGTATCCCTCCGCCCAGTCCAGCTTGCCAGTCTCGGGGTTGTGTACGAAAGCGTTGGGCAGGTCGTCCATGAGTCCGAGAGAGGTGAGGGTTCCCTGGATGCCCGCATCCTCGAGGTTCTCCATCGGGAGAAGGAGGACGGGCACGTAGCTCCTCGTCTCACTGACCAGGCAGAAGTATATCTCTCCTGGAACAGGGTCGAGGATGGACTCGTAGACCTTCTCGGGGGGCGGCGTGATCTCGCCGCGACGCGCTCGGCCACTGGACGCAGTTGCGACGGCAGTCTGGTTCTGGCGGCGTGCAGGTGCTTCCTCTGTATTCCTCCCATGCTCGGAAGCAATTGACCGGCGGCGATGAGAGCTGGCACTAGAAGCTCTGGATCGCTTTGGGTCATGTTCCTGGGTAGAGGACGACTTTCTTTTACCGGTATGAGGGGGGTTGAGGCCGAGAAGAGCATTGTTCTTCTTCGCCAGGCTCTCGCTGCATCCCAAGACGAGGACGCCGAGCTTCTGGACTACCGCGCGGTGGTTCGGCCTCTTGCCTCCGTGATCGGCATGGCTGAGATGCGACGCTCCGTTGAAAAGGGTCTCGAAATATTGGTCGTGGCGGCCGCAGTGGAGGATGTAGAAGTGGCCGTGGTTCTCTGGGTACCGCACGATAGCTCGTGGTTGATCCGGCTCGCCGTCCTGGTAGATGTCTTCAAACTCAACGTTGCGAGAGCGAGGGGTACCTTTACGTGTCTTTGTCTTCTTCGGTTGCTGGGATTGAGAGTCGTCAGCGGCTTGTTCCGTGGCGACGGAAGTGATGAAGAAGGTAAACAAGGATGGAGGAAGATCAATTGGGAGAGACGTACCTTTTTCCTTGGGCTGACGACTTGCTCGTGTTCACTGTCTGACGAAGGCAATCTCTCATCCCCCTCTTCAATCGCTTGGCCAAGAGTGATCTCAGGCTGTGGCGATTGACTGGGTGAGCACTCCCCTCGCTTGGCCCTCTCGGTGAGCAACGGGCCCAAGAGGAAAAACAGCTGGTCGACAAGACGATCGATGGCCCGGCTGTGGGCAGCCTCAAACGCCTCTTGGTCCTTGGCCATGTTCTCCCGCATCTTGCCCAGAATGCGACCGTGCTCCATGGCGCTGGTGCGGAACATGCGCAGCTCCAGCGGCGAGGTCGGCAGGCTAGAGTCGCTTGTGCTGGACAAGGCCTCCAGCTCGAGACACTTGGCCAGGTAGGCGGCCTTGGGGCTCTTGAGCTTCTGGTGCTCCTGTGTGAAGCTGCGGATGCACTCCTCGAGCGCCTCACTCAGCTGCTGGGACTCATTCTGGCAGTCGGGGGTATCAAGGATGGGGGGAGTATCACTCATGGCCAAGGCGGATGGATGCTGCACTGACAAGCACACGCCAGGGCCCTGGACGAGGGGCAGACAGGAGATGGGAGAGACAGATTGTCTTGTGTAGTTTGGGGTTCACTTGAAATGCGACCGACCGGACCGATCGATGTAAATGGACAAACCGTCAGAGGAGGCGAGAGATGAGACAAGGAGAAAGAGAAAAAAGAAATGGTGGAGGGACGGATAATTGAAGCACGATGCTGCAGAACGACGATGGCAATGAGGATCAGGTGCAACACTTTGCCAACCAACAACACATGCCAGGCCCTCAAGCTGATCGGGCTAGACACAGCATACACGGCGAGCAGTAGAGAAGAAACAGAAAGGATCTTTCGTTAACTTCGTGGGGAGAATGCTGGAAAGGAGACAGGGGAGTGGAACGGAACAAGAAATGGATGGGATGGGATAGATGATGCGAGGATGTCACAGCCAACATTAATGAACAGGCTGCGGACCATGTTAGTCCTCTTCATAGTACCAACGTACAGTACCGACGCAGAAGGCAGCAGAAAGCCACTGAAAAAAACAGCTGCATTGGGGCGATGAGACATGCATAAACCTGGTGTGGCCCAACGCTACCCATGGAAGCCCTTCTGACAAGTCTACAGTCACATTAGGTCTGTCACTGTATGTACAGTACACTCTCGCCTGATCCACGGCCTGGAATTAGAAAAATATTGCTAGAAATGGACACACACAGCCCCATGCTGTCGGCTTACCAACTGGTCGGGGTCGCGCCCAACAGCAGGTCCATGCTCTATATATGGCTACACAGCCAACAGAAGCATGCGCGAGAGCCCATGAACTTGGTCAATCTGCAGTTGGCTGCCATTCTTACATTTTCTGCTACTAAGTATGTGTGTAGTGGTGCCGGAAGCCGACAAAACGGTTACAGTGCGTCCGTCATAAATGAGTGTGTGAGTTTGTGCGCGCATACATAGGAAATGAATGTGCGACTACCCGATTGACTGAGTGATCAGTGCCTGGGGCGAAACAGGCGAGAGCTGCACTGGTGATGATCAACTCATCAAAGGACTTGTCACTGCAGCAGGGGTGCTGCCTTGCCCTGCTTTGCCTTGTGTCCTTGGTGGGAGACGCGATCCATACCATGCCGTTGGTGCGTCGCAGGACGAGCCCTACTTGATCTTAACAGAGGAGATGGTGGAAATGAGCGACGATGAGCAAATAATGCCCGTGAAAGGATCCATGTCCCGAACCAGGCTCGCCACATTGTACCACTCTGAGACCGCTGCTGGACAACTGGGTCCTGTATCATGAGCCGGGGGGTCATGTATTTGCTCGCCAAGACTGCACAAGCCGCCGCCTTAAGCCAACAGTACAGTGCAAGATCCATTGAATAGAGTGTGACGCTTGCTGGTTTTGGCACCATGTGTCGCTGCCATGATTCCCCTTCACAGTACGCGCTTCACCCGCCCATTGGCCCCTTGGCCCCCCCTTCGTAAGATCTTTAACGAATCCCTGTGGGATTATGTTGGTCAGATGGATCAGTACCAAAGTTCCCCGTGTTGGGTGTCTTTTGAATCCGTGCCCCATCTCGTCTAGGTCGGTAATATCTATAAAGTCCCATTGCCGACTCCTCTGCCCACCCATCTGTCTCTGTCCCAGCCCAGCCCAGCCCAGTCTGCTTATTACCCGGCATCATACTGTGGAGGAAGACCGGCCGGCTGCAGGCAGCGGCCGATGTACGTCGTAGCGCAACACAGAGAGGGGGGTGGCTGACTGGAAAAAGCAACGCGAGATGCTATTGTTTTGTCCGTTGCGTGCCACTTCCCCACCCACACAGCCTATGAGGCTTTCCTGTCGGTATGAACTATCTTGTGATTGGGATCATGAACAATTGGCACTATTTCTTATTCATATGCATATCCTTGCTAGTTGACTGATTTTGCCCTATGGTTATCCCCTACCCACCAAACAACAAGTGCCGGAACCCACTCTGTCCTCTTCTCCTCACCCTCTCTCGCTCTGTTGCATTGGAGACAGTGTCCTCTGCATCTGCCGAACGTGGCAAATATAGAATTCAGGCCTGCATCCCATCGTCCAATACGATCCAGCCTGGCATCGGATAGTGCCCCCGGATGACTATTGACTCTCCCCAACGCCAACTATCGTGATCTGTCATATTATCACCCTGTTGTCCTCCACCGTGAAAACTCTAGTCCTCTTGACCGCTGGAACATGCCGTACTCCCAGGTGGTCCGTGCAACCATCTCATTGGTGCCGGCGATCACGTAGATACCGAAGCTGCTGATTCTGACCTCCTCTTCCTTACGCTTGTGCCACCTCAATGGCTTGTTTCAGCTCTACGCCAGAAAAACGAGCGGATGACGAATTGAAGACGAGGAAAATCAACGCAAGTCTCTTGGTGCCTGCAAGTATGTCCCCATTTGTTCGTGTGAGGTTTGAGCACTAGACTCCAGTCTGTATCACACACAAAGCAACCCAACCCCTTTTCGTCGGCGAGTGCATTTGTGTCTCATCGAGACCACGTTCTGTAAAATTTTCAGAGTTTTTTTTCTTGCCTGTTCCCTCCCACCCTGATGTCTCGCATCTCAGAAGATTCTGGATGTGCTCGGTCGCACCCATTGCGTGACATTGCACTGTCGGAACTCCTGGACCGTCTCTCTCACCCAGCCCCCTCCCAGCTCAGCTCGATATCCGTCGGCTGCCTCATGGCCATGCCCCGATGACCGGATGGCCACGCACCTTTGCTCGTCGCCTTTCCAAAGCCATTCTTGGCAACCCTCCTGGGACAGGCAGAGCGACCTGCATGCCTCCAGCGAGCCCGCTTCCACACTTGTCGGCACCTCCCATTCGCCGTTCCCTCGGCCCTGCGTAACCTCAGAGTCCTGGTTGCGAAGCTCCCACAAGTCGGCGTAGAGCATGGGCTGCTCCAGCTTCCGGTGCCCAAACTCCCATCTCCATAGCCGTCGCATGTCCTCCGGTGAGGTCCTATGCAGCGTCAATGCCGGTTGGCACCAGTACTGGTCGCCAAAGGGAATGTTGTCGAGCGCGTGCGGATTGAACATGGGCCACAGCCCCATGACCTCTATACCGGCTTCCAACAGCGCAAAGCCCAGTATGCTGTCCCCGCAGCTGTCTTCCCTGGTGACCGTCGCCCATTTCTCCGCCAGGGAGAGGCCGTCGAGGTACGAAGGGTGGAGGAGCGCTTTGATGGCGCCGCGGCTGAGGACGAAGCCCGGGCCGCCGTTTGCGAACCATGACTGCTCGAGCTTGCCCCATCGGTTTTTGTGCTCGCGGCCTGGGGATGGAGACCCCATGTAGATGCGGTCGTCGGCATTGAAGTTTTTGAGGAAGCGGAACATGTTGTCCCAGAAGACGTAGCTATTTTTCGTAGCAGTGTTAGCCTAATCTCATTGATGCCAAGCTGAAGGACTTTCTGTCAATCGTGTTGAAGCCAACTCTCTCCACTTACGTGTCTGATTCGTAGAAGACATAAAACTCCTTGTTCGGCTTCAACTCCCATGCCTTTTCAATCATCGGTAAGAATTTGTACTTGTCTAGCATCCATCCGTCGATTTTCTGTTGGTTGTCGTGCTTGTCCAAGGTACCGTTGATGTACATCGTCTTCTGAAGATCATACATGTCCAACTCGACGTTGTCTTTGCGAACTAGGTCAGGCAGATCTTCCAATACATCAATAACGTGGTATCCTCGAATCTCTTCGGTAAGATCAGAGAAGACGGGGAGCTCGTGATCGTTGAAACACGCACTCACACTGAAGAGCTGCGCTTCAACCCGGGCTCGGTCCTCTCCATGCCCGATCTTCAGGACAGGCTGTATAGTATCGAGGATGTGTCTTGGGAAAGTCTGGCATAATTCTTTCACGGACTTGCTATTTGGATTCTCGACTTGAAAGGGTTCGAATAGACTGTGGTCCGTGATGGTGTAGTATTCTGGTCTGCCGAAAATAGGGATGGGGAGTTTTGAGAACTCCTTGATCCAGTCGCCATGCCACGAACCCCAAACAAGCAACACCAGGGTGAATAAAACTAAGAAAAAGAGTCTAAATAGCCGTCTTTTCCGAACGATGGGAACAATGACCCAACCACTGATCGTCTTCGGTATCGGCTGGGCCGTGGCCATGCCGGGTGCGCCGAACATTGCCGGGTGGTTCTTTTCTCTTACAGATGGAGCATTCATGAGGATCTTCTTCGACGGGTGAACCAAAAGATCAACAAACAGCAAAGAATTTGAGATATAATACATCGATGTGATGGAGCGCAGGGGCAGGCCCCAGAAAAATATGGATCGGATGACGAGGTCAACATCGTCACGCTTTGTTTATCGGTTCAAAGAGAACCACTTACCGCGTATACTAGTTACTAGGGCTTTCCTAGAAATATCTTGCACTGCCCCGTCATCGAAAGATCCCAAGTTCCCTGCCAAATGCTACCAAGCCCCTGGGACCAAGCCAATGCCAAGATATATCAGACGGCAAGGGCTTCGGGATGGGCCGACCTCTTTACCACAACCATAGTTGGAGGGTTACGTTTAGGTACGCGACGGACACGGAAAGAACTTCTATACTTTGACAACCTCCAGCCCTCAATGCATAAATTATTCGTATATGTATTTGTAACCCATAGCTCTCATTATGGTCTCATTCAAACGGCGCGGTTAAACAATGACGTGGATAGGCCGAGACTCAAGGTCCCAGGCATGAAGATCTAGGCAAAGATCATCATGCCTCCGCATGGCCAGACTACTGTCACATCTGGCCCTATGAAGCCATATTGCCTGGCGAAATATGGAGTGTACGCGTAGTGGTGGTGGGGAGGCCACCCGTCCCGGATTCACTCCAAGATGCCGGGTTGTGGATCGTTCTAAGTCAGGACCACGTGCTCTTGGTATCGTCATGATTGAAGTGACAACGTTTTTATTAATGGGAAGATTCCATATGCCTTGTTGCTCAACACCAAACCTTTGTTTTTAGTCGCTCGATGCAAAAATACCTGGATGCTGCCGCAACGCGCTCAACATCTACCCATTATCGTCAACCATAATCACATGAGAGGTATCTGATCATTCCGCTGTGTGCTTTGTGCGATCGAGATGAGTCCCGCTAATAAATTCTCGCTAAGCCTGGACGCATACGTAGGGCATACGTATTCGCAGCTACTTGGGGGGCCTAGATTAGCCGGCCCCCCTACCTATGGTAGGGGGGGTCAACAAGTAGCAATTTCGCCAGCGACTCGCAAAAGAAAAAGAGACTTGCGAGTCAATATAATTTACTATAGATAGTTAGGTCACTTTTTAGGGGTCCTACCCTATAGCTGCTTTTGTGGGTCCAGTATAGGGTAGGGCTACTTTCTTGGGAGTGGATTTATCTAACAAAATAAAGTCTTCTTTTTTTTTGCGAGTCGCTGGCGAAATTGCTACTTGTTGACCCCCCCTACCATAGGTAGGGGGGCCGGCTAATCTAGGCCCCCCAAGTAGGGCCAACGCCGTCTCGTTTCATCTTGCCAGTGGATTGATACTCACGTCTGAGGTCCCCCTTTTCAAAGTATAAAAGATGAATCACACCATATGGCTTTTGTTCTCAGCTCTCTGGGAAATTATCAACTGGTAAGCCCATGGACGTGAATGAAAATTACCTATATAAAATACAAAGAGACGGTAACGGGGCCTGAGCAAGAGTCGCGTCAATCATTTAGGTAAGAAGAGCCGAATTATTTATTGAGTCTCCGCTCCCTAGAACGAGACGGAGTTGCGGAGCCAATTAGCCTCACTCCCTTGGCCATTCGCAAAGCTTGGCCTGCTCGCGTCCCTGGTGAGATCGTCCCCTGGTACGGGCTAACTAACCCCTGAATTATGATGCCCGTTTCCAGCCCGCATCTTCCCGCGTATAGAATCTTGGCAGGGTGTTCGCCTTGGCACTGCTTGACCAGAGGAAAGACCCAAAGGACCAAGAGCTTTCAGATCATAGCCCTTTCAGCCATGTCCCTAGTAAGCTTGCTACATTTCAACCCATCTTGGGACATATTCTTGGCCCTGACGTTCCTTTCATGCGCCCCCACTGTCCCGAGCAGGCATCGTGATCCTCTGTTACCAAGCTCTCAGCTTTCCCCGATCGATTCAGTAATATGCCTCATCCATCCATCACACCAACATTGACAAAAGTCCCCATTAATCCGACCCTCTTTCTACCAACAGCCACGGAGCTTTTGCCATCGTTTGCGCGATGTAGTATCAGGTTCTCCAATTCGGGGTTGCAGGTGACATACTTGAGGCGCAGCGATTGCAGTGCAGAAATGGAACAGGAGTATGCAGTTGGTCCAAAGCCATTATTACCGCAAACATATATTATATTGCCTGCACACGTGTAAAAATAGATCTGTTGGTCCATCGACTGTATTCTGCAGCCAACAATCAATTAAATGCTTTAGCCTAATGCTGTTGATAAGGGAGCAGGCTGGAATATTCCCGGTTTATCCCGTGGTTCAAAATTGGCACTGTCCTCCGACTACACTAACACGTTGGTCGATGATGATTTAGAGGGAGATAACAACAATTGAACTTGAGAAAATAGAGAACACGTCCCTTACCCTGTAGTCCTAAAGTTCGGCTTGTGCTCTTAGCAGAAGAAGTGGTCGAGTGAACCGCAGTACCCGGGAGACTCCTAGTCTTCATTTTCAAGAAAGCGGACGCAAGGAAATAGCCATAAAGCACAGGCGTTATTCGTGAGCTTGTGGAGATTAGACTTAGGGTTTGCCTGTCTTGCATATCAGCGAAACCTAGTCTATCGAATGACCTACCCAAGAGTTGCTCGGAGTACGTTAGACTTGACACTATGCTAAGCCTTCTAATGTTTCGTAGCAAGACGCCTAATGTCAACGAGTGAAAAACAACTTATCACGTCGCTCTATCATAAAGCAGCTGAGATCATGGTCACGAAGCGTTAATCCGTCTTAGATGCACAGAGGCGCATCTCGGCCTCCTTCCCCCGATTATTGATCTCCGTGCATTGAAACCGACAATTGGGATTTAAAGATATTATTCTATGGACTCATGATCTGCTTAGCTTGGGCTAATACGAAGAATTGGACATGCCAAGAGCAGAAGAATTATAAATTAGAGTATGGGCTGAGCTTTCCTTTTGGAACATTACTTATAACTTTAGCTTATGAGGTTTCTTAGATTATGGAGATACCCTGTGTCAACAACAGATGATGGCTCTTAGCAATATACCTAATCTTCATTTGGACATTGGTTAGTCTTATATAGTAACAGAGTGCTATAAGAGTTGCTTTCAAATGTGATTTGGGTAAACGTAACTATATGTCAGACTGTGCTTAATATTACCTGACTGGATATTGCTTCAAAAGTGTTGGCTATTGCTAAACGATCACTGACAAATAACCTCTCACATATCTGTGCAAAATTGTGTGTGCGTTGGGTGTTGGGAACTGCCGGGGATTATGTTTAGGCTGCTTTCATTAATATCTCTTAGTGTCTTAGGAGTTGCTGTATCAATTGGCGTACGTGTTCGTATTGATGAGGGTGGCTCCGTAGTAAGAATAGACTATAGTCAACCAAATCTAACTTATAACATCAAACCTGATGCCTATAGCCAACTATGACGATACTCAACACGATGTTTAAACCCTTAGTTCGATTCAAGATGTAAGATAGTAGCGCTCAGAAGTTGTATCAAAACCAGTAGCTATGTTGATGCTCTTACATCTTAGTACTTTGAATGACGGTCTACTTCACGTGGCTTACCCCCTTCATCCGGGCCGCTACACTACAACTCAGTCCTGTGCCCTTAAAACGTTTTTATTGTGAGCTCTTATGAGCTCCTTGAAGAGAATATAACTTATTATTCGATAAGTAGAATTAAAAGAAGGGTTTGATCCTGGAAGACCTAGGGGAACCATATCATATAGCTCACTTGATTGGACGGAAAGTAGACAAGTAAGAGCTGCACAATTGGGATTATCCAATTTATGATTTAGACAACTAACGACGAGCTAGTCATGGCGGTCTCCTTAATTAGCACGCCCCAAGATATTCTAAGCTTTATTTCGATAATAATCATTGCGGTATCCCGAAAATGCCACTTTTTAGAGAGCTCAAGGTAGGAAGATATATCATTAAGCCTGGTAATAACATGGTCCTTGGATGCCCAAGCTAGGAGGGAACAATATGGATGAGCTTGTGTATACACCTTCCTGACTCGAAGTCTACCGCAAGTGTTCCCTTGTACAATGCTAAAAGGTCTCAAAGGATTACGCTAGCCTAGCCTTAGTTTGCCACCGGACATGAAAGGACCTTTGTTGCTATTGTGACAGCGACATTCTTGGCACTGTATGGTAAAATATTTGGCATATTGATGTGAAAGAGCCAAATTTGGAGGCATCATTACGGAGAGTAGAACTTTAACAAAACAAGGATGAGCAGAGGTCACATTTGACAAACATGGCAGTAGGTCTAGGTAATGGTTAGTTGATAACGCTACTACCGCAAATGAGGTGTGAAGATGGGCTAGAATGTTTGGTTGGATGTTATCCGAAGCAAGTATCTTGCCAAATGCTATGTTGAGACGCTGAGCTGAGAGACATGCTTGCGACGTCACTGAAGAGTCTTTTGCGGGACTCCGGTGGAAACACATTGCCACTATCAGGATCTCAAACGAGTGGGAGGGGGAAATGTCAGCTGGACACAGGTGCATACGGAGTCTCACAGGACCGACGTCAGTGTTCGGAAATGGGTGGGTAGCATTCGTCATGACCAGAGTTGCCTTCTCGTGAGGCTTGCCGGCTAAGGTAGTACCCAGCTATCTCGCGTTATTATTTACGGGCTGGATCTTTCTGTGTAAGACAGAGCCTCAAGCTCTGGCTGCCACTGGCCAGAATTGCACCATCGGTATGTTAGAGAGTATCAGTGAGACATTTTCACCGCAAGAAAGTGCAACTGTATAACTTATCAGGCCTCTGTTCGGTCCTTTTGACCGGAGGGTGTCGCACATTACCACCCTTTCATACCCATTCATTGGCTTCTTGTTGAGTTCCCCGCTCCTTGACCCCCACAACCTGCTGCAGGTAATTCTTGGTTGAGGCTCCCGTAATCTTTGGGCGCCTGACCAGTTCATAGTGGGCGCCTTACCCATCCCGTCATTCTCCCGGAAACATGATCATGAACGATTCTCAGTGCGAGAAACGAACGTGATCTAGCGCTTCTTACAAGGGGGATCTAAAGAACCCGGAACTTGGTGTTTTCATCAGAACTCTTGGTCAACAGACCTGATTGGCTCGGTAGAGGGCAGACGATTGAGTCTTGTGCCGTTCAAAAGTCACTTTATTTGACTATCGGCGGGCTTCCGAGCTGGGGTCTATTCTATCACTAACCACAGAAAGATTGGCAGACTTCGTCCACCGGTTTGGCTCGGATTCGGATCCTAGCATGAATCCTCTGCCGGTTCTCCACGATGGAGTAAGAGCAGCTGATCTAGAGTAAGGATCTCTCTCAACCGTCCGAGAAATACTGAGAAATCTGATAACGACGACAGCATTGTCTCGATCCCTGGACTTCCAACACTCCACCCACGGTACAAGTGGAAGGACCACAACCAATGGCTTCGAGAGGTGCTCAGTCATCGCGTGCCTCAGGCCCGGATTATGGCCTTCCAATACGATTTTGGCAATGAATCGCAGGGAGTTGCATGGATGCAACTCATGCAGCATGCAGAAGGGCTTCTTTATAGTCTAATTCACCGGAGAGAAGGGGTCGAATCGCGCCCCATCATCTTTGTTTGCTTCAGTTTTGGGGCTTTTATTCTCAAAAGAGCAAGTGTCCTGCGATCAAAAATTGTTTCGTTCCTCATCTGACCATCTCTTGAAGGCACTGCTACTTGCAAAAGACCAACGTGCCTTTCGAAGTATACTCGACATGACTGGAGGTATCGTATTTCTTGGCTGCTTGAACAACGAGACAAGGCCTAATTTTGAGGACCTTTGCCTCAAATGCGCCGCGGTCGAGATGGGTGTATATAAAAAGGACCGAGTCATTGAAAATCTCCGCCAAGACAATCGCTGGACCTTCGTCAAAGAGGTCATGGAAGACTTTAGGGGTTTGAATGGCCCATTTCCTGTTCGTATCTTATTTGAACTCAACCCAAGCAACATCGGTAGTCGACAATTTGTTGTGAGAACTATGAAACAGGAATGTGTGAGTCGATTAGAAGCCCCTGAGCAGAACACGATAGCCCCCATTGCTGACGTCAAGGCAAGTTATGTTCTGAGCAAGTGTCACGCTTAGGTTGGGATAGTGAACAGTTGGTTCCTGTCCAAAAGAATCACGCCGAGCTTACCATGTATCCTCAAAGAAGCGACGACGACGACTATTTTCAATTGTTTATGAAGACGCTCTCCGAAATGATCGAAGAAGTTGTGCCTAAATCCGTTATGCTCTCTGAGGAACTGACTGCCAGTAATGGCTCGAAAAGCGTACTCAGCCTAGCCTTTTCCTCTGACGGTAACTTGATCAACTGCTACTAGGAGAGTGGATATACTGACTTTTTAGTAGACGATGTCGTATCCCTCTTGACGGCCCCAAGGCCGGACTTAAATGTGCCCAGCGGAGTAAATATTCCCTGTTTTGTCACCTGGCCGTACGAAGAAAATCCGAATTTCATTGGAAGAGAAAATGAACTGGAAAGGATTCATACCAAGCTCTGTCCAATTAATGGCAGTGACCCTCAACAAAGAGTCTTTGCACTGACTGGGTTGGGCGGCATGGGTAAGACGCAAATTTCGGTCAAATATGCATTCAAATACCGAAACGACTACCATATCGTGCTGTTGGCGCACGCCGACGGCCAATCTAAACTTGCGGAGAGCTTCTCCTTATTTGCTGATAAGCTTGGACTGGGCGCGGGGATGTCTCCTATCAAAGCGAAACAGGCAGTGAAAGATTTGCTGGGATCAATTCGCAAGTCTCCCTTATAGAGATTACTGATTACCAATTCGATAAACTGACATTACAGTAGATGTACCCTGGCTGCTGATTTTCGACAACGCTGACACTGATGATAAGATCCAGCTTTTGAATGAGTTTTGGCCTTGCAAGTCACAGGGATCCGTATTGATCACATCTCGAGACCATACTCTGGTGAGAACGTTCACTGGCATGGAACTGGTTGAGATGACTGAGCCTAGTGCTGTGGACTTGCTCCTTCGCCTCGTTCAATTCGATAAGAATGTACTTGATGATGCCGATGCCGCCGAAGAGGAGATTGCCGCCGAGAAGATCGTGAAGCGGTTAGGGTTTCTTCCCCTTGGAATTAGCCAGGCTGCCACGTTGATTATCAATGACTCGTGCTCTCTGGCATCTTTTCTTGAGGACTACACACTGCGAGAGCTAGTTGAAGACTCTGGTGCTTTACAATTGGAGAGCCCTAAAGACGGCTACAAGTATACTCTGAGGACAGTATGGAACATGAACTTCGAAATTTTAACGAAGGACCAACAGAGTTTGATGAAGCTCATGTCATTTTTGGACCCAGATAGGATTCAGCTGTGGGTTCTTAAAGATGGCCTCCTGAAGCCGCAAGTATCTGACATTGATTTTATACGCTCACCATACAATCTCAGCAAGTGCAGAGCTGGCTTGTTACACAGCACATTGGTTTCTCAGAGCCGGAATGGCCGGGAACTGCGGATGCATCGGCTGGTTCAAGCATACTGTCAACTGAGAATGGACATTGAAGAGTCCCGGAAGAACTTTCGGAGTGCCATCAATCTAATCCAAACTGTCTGGCCAGTTCCTAACAGGGAGAAGGTCCATAATCCAGCATTTTGGAAGAAGCAACGTGAACTGCTTCCCCATGTGCAAAAGCTATGCGAGTTTTACGTCAAGTCGTGTGAGAACGGCCAGCCACTGATTCCCTATACGGAGGTCAATTGGAAATTCGCTTCTGTACTATATGAAGCTGGATGGTAGGTATAGAGAAATCTTGCATGTTACTAGGTTTGATCTATTAACCTTGGATAGGTTTTGTTACGAAAGCGGATTGCTGGAGTCGGTGTCGGAACTCCTCGTTCCTGCAAAAGAGTACTGCATCAGACACCTTCAGAAAGGCGGAGGGTATCGTATTTTGGCTGACATATACGGTGGTCTGGGATCCCTCGCGACGGAGTCAAATCAGTTTCAGCGCGCATATGAGGACTTCAATCAGGAATGGGAGTGTTTGAAACTTGCTTTCGAAGCTGCTGAACTAACCCGGCCCAGCATTTGGGAGGTTTTTGGCCTAGGCCGAGTAGGCAACGGATTGCAGGGTCTTCATCGGTACACAGAAGCGGAGGAGTACTACAGAATGGCATTGGAAGCATGGGAAGGACTTCCTGGGGATCGTAAGGTGTGGGTGAGCAACATGTGTACATGTTTGTGGTTGCAAGGTAAACTTGACGAAGGGGAGAAGACGATAAAGGCAGTAATCAAGGACGAGAATGACGCCACCAATTTCCGGTATGTCTTTGAATTCTCTCTCTCCCTTAACCTTTTTTTTTATTTTGGCTAATTCATCTCCCATTTGACCTTCAGTACCGGGTTGGCTATGAATTGCTTGGGTAATATACAAATTTCTCAGGCTGAGCGACTTAAGCAAGAAGGCAAGACTGAAGAAGGGGAGGTGAAGTTGGCAGAGGCGATGGCGACACATTCCAAAGTTCTGCGACTCTTCACAATTGCACTCGGGCAGAGACACCATAAAACTGCCGATATTATGTACAAGGTTGGCTGGCATCTACATCAGCGGCAAGAATATCAGAAAGCCTTGTAGGTATCTACACCACGATTATCATGAAAGCGACTAACATGGAATAACTCAAGGGATATGCTCAACAATGCTTTGGGAGTTTACGCCAGCCAACCCAAAATCTTTAAGAATGAAATAGCGCGGACCAAGTACAAGCTAGGCTGCTTGCAGCAGGACATGGGAGAACACATCGAAGGGGGCGCTCTTATTAGAGAGGCTGAGCGTCTTCGGAAGGAGATAGTTGCACCAGAAGACTGGGAACCTGCCCAGGGAGAGAAAGCTTTCGATGACATTGTTCAATTTTGGACACGCTGATTGATTTCCATCTGAGACAGCTTCTTATACGTTCGATAATGAATATTTTATATATTTGTTTTCTTACGTAAATGACCATCGATAGCAACTTTTGTAACAGGCAGTCTCTCCAGTGGGTTGTATGAAACTTTTGAAATACTTGGATTGCTTTTGAGTTCTCTACGAATGATCCGAAGTGTACGGGTAAGACAGTTCGAGTGTACCTAAAAACACCAATACTCAACACAAATGAAGACGCGAAGTGTACAAGTAGACACTGTGTTGCCTCACCATTGCTGGCCTCTCCTCATTCCCGGCCAAAATCTTACAACAAGATTATGCCAAAAACCGACCAGCAAATCCCTCCAAGCTTTGTAGCTCAGCCATGTGGTGGTGAACAATACAAGGACGAGCGCTACAGTAAATGGATACCACCACCTAGGTGCCGGCTCGAACTCTTTGATATTCATCCCGAAGATTCCTGTAGCAAACGTGACAGGAATGAAGACAGCGGCCATGGCAGTTAGACGCTGCACTTCCTTTGCTTGTGATATACTCCGCTCTGAAGCCATGAGCTGAGCAAAGCCAAGTAGCGCTGTAGTCGTAGACTCACATTCGACGAGCAAGTGATCGCAGCGACTCAGTAAATACTCATGATCAGCTATAAGCTGACTTTGAAACTGGTGTTTCCGTAGTCGAGTCTCATCTGTCGATGCTTTTGGCCACTTGGAATGCCCGCCATTTTTCATGATGTCCTGGTTCTCCAACAACAACTCCTTAATATGATTGACCATGGCAATGCATGATCTGAGCTGCGATAAGTAGTGGTGAAGTTGTGTCTGAGGAAGTGTGAGCTTGTCATGACAGCTGGCCACGGTGTTGGCGAGCACTTTCAGAACCTGTGTCCATGACCGGAATGATGTTCTCAGTATCGAGGAGAGAAGGAAGAATGGGTCTTGATTGACCAGCTGAAAGTCAATTTCATCGAGAAGAGCTACGTTCTTGAGTGGATGGAACGGGTCGAAGTAGCGGAAGCTATCTGTGCTTTGTTCACTGATAGACGATTCCCTGCTAGAGTTCGCGGGCATATCATAAGGCACGATTGGCATTGTCGTTGCGGGCCGCCCGTTCTTATCGTAAGTGCTCGAGGGAATCCCATGCTGGTATGTCGATTGTCGACCATGGTCAGTTAAGATAATTGCTGCAACAATGGAAAAGTCAGATCAAGTCTTGATAGTTGGAGTGGGTTGATGGGGTGACTACCGTTCCATTTCTGGTCTGAGTTACCGTCTTGGACAATTGTAAAAGCCATGGACTCCTCTAGACTATAGGTCCGATCATCATGGATATTCACTTTGCGAACCCGACTGGCACCATATCTTCCTTCATCTCTCAGTACCTTCTCGGATCGTAGAAGTTCCCTCTCAGCATCAGAGCTCGATTGACTAATCGGAATTGTCGACCGCACGACGACGCAGAAAGAAACCCGGACTAAGTTCTCTTGGCTTGATGGCAAGCTGAGCGATTCCGAAGGCATGCGAGTTGAGCCTCCTGGAATGGCACACGACAAATGGCCGATGAAGAATTCGGGACGTAAACAAAAGCTTGCCCCAAGTTGAGCAATGCATTCTGGGGAAGGATAACCTTCTAAGATGGCCACTCGTGGTCGGTATTGCTCATGGTGAAATTGGACTGCGCGTGAGGGGAGCAAAACTGGATAATTTGATGGATCAGTAGGGGCTTCCAACTCTAACAGTTGAATGCTTTGGAGGCATGCTCCCCGTCGTAGGTTGAGGTGGTCTATGAGCTGCTCATAATATGGCGCCGCTTCTGGAAAGGATCGGTAACATGAGCGGATATACCCCAGGTAACTGGAATGATTGGGTTCATTCAAGCTTGCTGGTAAAGAGCTACGGGTGTCCATCGTTTCATTTGGGATCAGCTGGTTCTCCGGAAAACGCTTTGGGAGGGAATTACATGGGTTCTTTTTGTAGCTGCTATAGCTGAAATCAATATTCTGATTCTCTACTTATCACTATTCTATATATGATATACGACAATTGCAGATCTATTTGGCCCAAGGGCCTAACGCAATGTGATACGGCAATGTCTTCCAAGTTTTGCAGCCCAAACAGTAAGATAATAAAACATCTGTGAATGAGATCAGCTCGGTAGGAGCACCTACTTGTGATGCTGTCCAATAATCCAACGAGGCCTTTGATCATCCAAAGCCTCACCTAGCAAGTTTGAGAAGGAAAAAACGCGCAACTGCCTTGATATGCGAGGGATTTGGTGCCCAATATTGAACATACCCCGCCTTGACATGCGTTGGCAAGGCGTCCATCTTCGGGGGCTGTGATGGACGCCTCTAGCGGGATAATCCGGGACTGGGCGTTGCAATGCTACATATAGACTTGGCGTGTGATGTGCAGTAATATGGGATGAAACTGAACTCGGGCTGCCAAGCTCAAGGGCGCCTTTTCCGGTAAGCATCGAATGATACTGACTGCTACACACTTTTTTGGGCATCGTGAGCATTCACTGCCTCTTGTCAGACGGCCAAAATTGTGTACAGGCTCTGATTCGACGTCGTGACTGAAATAAAATGAGCCACATGCAAGAAAAAAAAAGGAAAAGGGGGCGTATGATGAGATCATGAGATAGGAAATTGACTTCATTTATTGAAGGCAATCAATCGGGCCTTCTGAGGCAGACTGTCCTCCCGAACTTAATGGCTATAAAAGGCTACGTTATTTATTGTGTTGAGATGTCGAGTTTGCCATCTTTATTGCTGAGTTTTACTTTGTACTCTAACTCTCTCAACCACATAAAAGGCTACCTAAGCCCCTTCCTTGCAACGGGTATCAACCACAATTTCTCCACTGAGAAACCAGATTATCATTTCTCTCAACTGAGAACTCTGCTACTCGTAAGTCCTCACATAATATCCAATAGCACATACCAAAGCCGCTAAAGCGAACACCTCAAGGCATCAACCGGACCTGCAAGATGGAAAATCGCGTGCAGCCCTGGAAAGTCTGGTACGCCTCTATGAGCGGGCTCGCCAATGACGGTGCTTTAACTGTTCTTCCTGTTTTCCTTGCTGGGAATATATCTGGAGGGGAGAACAAAAGTGGGAGCAGTGAACGGAGCAAGGACAGGAGTATCAGTCATGACAAGGGGGGTAACAGCGGTGGCAGCAGCCATTGAGAAGTAGAGTAGCCAGGAGCAAGCCAAGGCTAGGCTTCTCCTACATTACAATATCATCGATATGCCTCATCTTGTAAGGTTACTACTGAGTGGTCATGTGAGCGTAGGTACGTGCCGATCTTAGGCGGATAAGAAAACGCCTTGCAAATGTTTTTTTTTTGGTCTCGTGCACATATAGAACATGGAGGCGCAGGCCCCTTATTCAGACGGAAGATCTGCCTTGCTATGGAATGTAGAAAAATTAAAAGATATATACGGCCATCGCTTCGAACCACCTGGTCGATTTTATTCGAGAAGCCGGCCTCGCCTCACCTCTCAGGACAAGTGTCAGCCAGCACCCGGTTCCCTTAGTACCCAATCAAGGATGGAACTTCAAACAGTTAGATCGACGATGCCATTTCTCGCAAGAAATGACTTGTACAAGGTTGAGAAGCCGTATGGCGCTGATTTCCCAGTTGATGGCATCAAAGGCGCCTCAATAACGAACCACATTTTTGACACTATACACGTCAATTTCCATGATGCCCGTCAACTTAGCGTTCCTTTGACATTGGATGACAATGGGTGTTGCCTCATCAAGGCCAAAACATCACTGGTGGCTGAAGATGCTACAAACGAAATGAGTGAGGCAATGAGTCGCTTCACCAAAGAGATTATAGACATTGTCACGCGCAACTTCCCTCAATACGTGGAACTCAAATTCGCAGACTTCCAAGTAAGTACCTCTTACATGAATAGCCGACCACTTATTCTCAATTGCAATGATTGAACCATTATTGACTCACTATTTGGTACAAGGTCCGCAAGCGATCTGCCGCCTTTCCCGATGGTCATGGCCAGAGAGTGGAGTTTGCTCAACCCGCCGCTGTTCCTCATACAGATTTTTCTGTTGTGGGAGCTCTGCGTCGGATGGCAGAAATACTCCCTGGAGAAGAAGACCAGTACATTCATAGAGAATTTGATCTCATCAAGTCAGTCACTACTATAGCTCCTCTTTTCTCAACAGCTAATGAGATGGTGATTCATGGAGCTAATCTAACGCCCTAAAGTGTTTGGAAGGTCCTCAAAGGGCCCAATAATGATTGGCCGCTTGCCGTTTGCGATTACAAGACGGTGGATATATCTGCCGATACTACGGTCAACGACGCACTTCATCTGACAGGCGTCGGAGAGAACTGGCTGTTGCATCATAACGACAAACAGCGATGGTATTACTTCAGCAGCATGAATACCGATGACATAATTGTCTTCCGTAATACCGACTCCAAGGGGAAATTATCTCGTACGTATACTCCCCTCCATCTTCTCATTAGTTGTTCGGTATTAATGATGGCCATTGTTTCGGTCATAGGGTGTTTCCACGCCGCCTTTTGTCACCCTGCGGCTGAGGGCTTACCACGTGAGAGCGTGGAAATCAGGCTGGTAGCATATAGGTCATGAAGTAGCACATTACGAGTCATGATGTCAGGGTCGGACAGTTTGCGGCTCTACCTAGGCAATTTTTGCACAATACCTAAGCTTATGTCTTCAAAACTTCTCTTTTACAAAAGCCATGTGACAAGCGGTGAGCATATGCGTAAGATAGTGAAAAGGAGGTGGGGTATATGAAAATCATTAATAAGGCTCTGCACGATACATGTCGCCTATAGTTCGCGCGAACCATTGCCACCCACGGAAACCCCGCGATGAAAGGCAAAATACACTACCTGCCCAAGCAAGTCAAGTTCCTTTACTAGGGCCGATATCCCGACGTGCATCTCAATGTACCAAGTGGGGTTTGACTGGAGAGCAGCCTTAAGTTTCACTCACCGGTCTTCGATGTTGCCACGTCTGCTTTTGTCTCTCCGTTTTAGGCTCTAAAAGTCCATGTGTCAGACAATATGTCACATTTGTGAAATGCCAAAACGAAATTCACTCACTCACCGAGAGGATCAACATCCATCCTACCCAACTAGAATGCTTGAATAGAATGGCGGTCTGTGTAACCAAAGATAGGAATTTCGAGTAACACTTCGTAGCTTGAGGACAAATCATAGAATATCCTGCAAATTCCCCTTAACAATCAAATTAAGTGTTTCCTCGAGCAAGAAGAACTAGGGTGTTGAACAGCCCGCATAGCCGACAAGCACAAAAGCCCTACCACTCGCGGCTCTACCATCTATCTCCACACTATGGGTAGAGTATTGTTGCTCATAGCCTCTTTCTTGGCCACTACCAATGGATTTAGGTGGAGGTCCTTTGAGCCGCCGCCGTTTGACATGAAGCCGCTACGCCCAATTGTCGAGCCTGAGACGGTTCCCATCGGCCCATTAGGGAATCAGTGGTTTTATTCCCCAGAGACGAAAGCATACGATCTCACACGACGTGACACACAAAGTCCGCCATTTTCCTTCTCTACCTCAGAGGGGACTTCTAATGCCACGGTTGTTGTGGCACCTGAGCTGACGACACTCGTCGTCATCGACATGCAAAATTACTTTCTCCATCCGTCTTGCAATGACCACCCCAGCGGTCGTGTTGCAGCTCAAAGAACTGTCGAGATTGTCAAGAAATGTAGAGAAGTCGGTATAAAGGTCAGTGGGGAAGGATCACATGACGCATAGTTCATGTTTATGATGGAAACTATTAACCCATCACGCCAAACCCTTAGGTCATTTGGCTCAATTGGGGCCTAACCGACGAGGATCTAGATAAGGTACCTGCGGCTCAGATGCATAGTTTTCGACAAGGATTTGCCAATCCGCTCTCCACGCCGCAGGATAAACGCTGCGGCTTCGGCTGCGACCTTGGGGATGGCATGGGAAGGGTTCTCATGCAGCATGAGTGGAATTCCCAACTATATGAGCCGTTGCGCGAAGTTGCCAATCGAACAGTAGATTTATTCATAAACAAGAATCGAGTCTCGGGTCTATGGAGTGACGATAAGGCGTTTTCCCAGATCCTCGAGAAAGATAAGCGACAGACACTTCTTTTTGCCGGCGTCAACACCAACCAATGTGTTCTTGGCACATTGCTAGATGCTTACTACCGAGGTTATGATTGCATCTTGGTTGAAGATTGTTGCGCAACAAACACTCCGGGAGGACAAGACGTTTCCATCTTAGACATCTGGGTACGTAGATACCATATCTGGTACCATATTCATCATTGACCGACGGGAACAGAGAAATTATGGATTTGTCACCACCAGTTCGGCGCTCCAAGTTGGCCGACAAGGGTGACATGCTAATCCTCAATACATTGGATGGGGGGTCAATATACCTCTCAGTGACCAGAAGAGGAACAATTGGTGAGGCACAATGCCAGCATTATAGCAAGGATTCAGTATTGCGGCGACTGTGGGGGCAATTAATGGCGTGTGGGTGAGCACGAATAATCAATTGACTTGAATGGTCTTCTATCTCATGAATGAACGTGTCGCTTCTCTTTGAGAACTCGACAAGGTTCGACTTTTTGATGAATGAGTCCTCACGGAATATTGAAATACCAGACGTCTTGGTCATTATGAACAGCGCAATAAGCACTTCAGGTCGCTAATGTTTCCCCAGCCATGTCGTAAGCTTGAAACCCGGTCGATGTCAGGGGCTAGATGAACTTCATTCACTGTCTCTATTCTTTGTTTCGTTGAGATAATCATCCGACCTTTCGGGGATTCTCAATTCCGTAAATGATGAGAGATCTATCTCGCTGTCCAATTAAATTGGCTCGTTCAGAAGGATTCGAATGAACTAGGGTACGATTGGAGGCTGCAATTAGCAAAAGCTGCACGGCCAACCTCATCGCGCATTAGTTCAATAGAAAACGGAGTCCGAGGTAGGAATATTATTAGCATTCAGCTCAGGCATTCAGCTAATGCATTCAGACTGGCGTTCACATCATGCAGTCAGCATCACACGGTCACGTAAGGTAGAGACGCGTTAGGCACTGTTAGAGCGAGCTGCCTTGTAGTACTACCTAAATCAGGTCATTACGGGAGTGGGTTGCATTGAGGTTCAGAGCTGAAATAAAACCCGTCTGTGTTTGGGTGGGATTTGTGTCTATGCCCATTTTCAATCCACATGACCCGAGAGGGGTTTCTCACACTTTTGGATACGGAAGTAGATTCTAAATTACCAGTAGAAAACTCTGTTTAATAGGACTTTGCGTTTGTTTGCTACCCTAAATGAGTATGATGAGGCTCACAAAGGATATCAAGGTGCCCTAGGTTTATGTATCTCTGGATATTTACGATTGTTTACTTTAGATACTTACATTTTACTGATAGCTGAAATGCGGGCTCACTCTTGTCCCCGACTGTTAAGTATTTACAGCGAGACCCATGTCATGAAGCGTCGGTGGCTGCTCAATATTGGACGCCACTGGGTTGGCAAATCGTTTCCCTACTTCGAACGAGGAAATTATTGGGGATGGACTCATCGGTTTACGCATATCAAGTCCTCCAATGGGCGACGCGGATGTAACCTCCTTTACTCTCAGCTGGTATAGGTTTCTAGCTCAAACTGGCAAGAGATGCACATAAGACGTGGCAGCCTGAGGGCCGCGGCCACAAGACCGTGGATTATAATTGTCCGTCCCATGAGAAAAGCACGCAACCCTCATCTTATTTTAACTCCTAATCCTCTATGCACTATTGAATAAGTTCTTTGTACTTCATTCTAATGTTCCACTCCACCATGGCAACGATAGGTGCACGCCTCGTCTTGGTGGTAGTTCTGGCGGATGCTGTCGCCGCAGCAGATGATGCCGAGTTCGCTTTTAATCTTCTCTCGGATGTTGCGCCGTAAGTTCGTGCAAAGATAGTCGCGCGGAGCCTTTAACTGATTGCGGTATTTGTTAGGGTACTTGCGCTCTTTGGAGAGCAATTTGCGAAACAGTTTATGAGTGAAAGTCTGACATGGTTTGACCATCTCGTCTTCGCAATGGTGCCACTAGGGATTCTTACTGCTATTACTGGTGCCATCCGTGTCTACGGGCCCCAAGTTGCAAGGTCATTCATTGGACGCGCGAGAGAGAGCCGGGCGCTTGCTGAGATCGAGATTATGTCGTCTACATCGGAGGAAGTCTGCGAGCTTTTCAATGGCAACTCAATCGTCCGCGCCATGGGCAAGCCTAAAATTACGCAATTCCTTGTTTTTCCAAAGGACTATTCTGACCGCGAGAAAGAGTATAGAAACTTTGACAACTCTCTCAGGTACACCAAATCAGACTCAAAGGCGAAAATGTCTGTCGATAAGTCATGTGGCATTCATTCCCTCAAGAGTGCCCAAACAGCGAAGGTTATCACACGAAAAAGTATGTCTAACTTGTTATCATCATAATTCTTATCTGGATTTGACTGATGAGTTCAATCAACCAGAATACCAGAGCCGCACCACTGCATGGATTCAACAACACTTGCATAAGTTTTTGGAACGTCTTGTCCGGAGAAGAGGGGACGGCAATACCGACATGGAGAAGACGCTTGCCTCCGCCAATTACAGTAAAGATGAAGCCGAGAATGTCCTCCCGGAACCACCGAATCTTCAGTTGAACCTTTCATCTGACTACTCAGACCAGGGCAGGCTAAAAAAGGGCAACGAAATTCTTTTGGCGGCTATTGTTGCCGTCATTCTCCAAACTGGTCTAATAGTACTCGCAGCTGTCATGGCCTATAACATAATCCCTGAATCCTCTAGTCTTATGGAATCCAAGGTTTATGGCTTTCCTTGCTACGCTGCTGGGTCTGTCCTGCTCTCGCTTGGTACTGGACTTTGCTCAATTATTGTTGAACATAGCACCATTGAGCACTCCTGGGAGATATCGGATGACAAGGATGAGGACTCTAAACCACGACTTATATGGCTCCAGCAAAATCAGACAGTCAATGACCAGACATTCAACGGTTTTGTGATTCTGGCCGGCTCAAAACGCCGAGTAATCACTTCAAGACGAAGAAATCCTGTCGCGGTGCGTCAATCTAACAATAATTCTAGCTCCAAGACCACGAAGATGAGCACTAAGAATGAAGCAAGTGTACGTCTTTTAATCATGTGCTGAAATATTATAAGAGATCATGTCTAAAACCTACATAGACATTCTGGCAGTGGTTGACGGTTGGTGCTGCTCTTTCGGCGGGTGTCGGCTTCACAGCCCAGTTCATGGGTCTGCGTGGTCTTGCATTCCCATGTTCTATTGCTCAGATCGGTGCCATCTTTCTCATGGCTCTCATTCGAGCTATGGTTCGGCGACGCCTAGGACGGATCCCTGAACATTGCTCGGCACTCAAGGGACACGAGGCCGACTTGCTTGCAACACAAATTGTTTTTTGCCCTGAATTTCGAACGTTCTCTTGGTGCAAAAAGGAAGGAGAGCAAACCTCTGACTGGCATAAATCGCCTAGCACGTTGTGCTGTTGGAAAATTTGCTCCCCAGATCCTAAGCGGACCACCCCTTTTTGGTTTCAAAAACATAACAAGAGTAGTGACAAGCCGCCCTCAGAACCACCATCGAGCCAACAACTACTTCGTGTACGGGAGAGGCTTGGTGACCTATGCAAGTGGACATCCAAATCGGCGGAGAGTGCTCTGTCACTAGCGCGGTCAATAGAGCTTTTCATGAACACTTTCTTCCCGCTGGCCCCAAGCGAGCGAAAGATAGACAAGGAAGAAAAGCGACTTACTTCGCTGGACTGGTGGATTGAAGCTAGTAGGTTAACGGACGACGGAAAAGCTGAAACAAAAGACTTCATTCATATTCCTCTAGATGGACGGAGGCCCGACCGCAATTGGAAAGTGGAAACCGGGAAGGTCGATGCTGTATTGTCTCTCTGGATGGCCACAATTGTGGCATCAAGTTTGGAGGGCCGAAAAAGCACGACTGGACCGGGACACTCTTCAAAATCCTCCAGTCAGACTGAGGCCGACTGGAGACGCACCAAAGCTGGAGACGACCCGAGCTATAATTTCTGCCGTATTATCGGAGACAACTTGAAAAACAATGTGCTCAAGCGAGATATAGCTTGGTGGGTCGATAGCCTTGTCGCCGAGCAAAGCGATTCAACAATGAGAAGCGACGACACTTCTGAAGATACTCAGCCTCCGGGTAGGGCTAGGAACGATGGTGTGGATCTTGTAATCGGGTTCAATGGCAGATCTGACAACGGCGCGATTCAAACGGGAGCCGTGGAAGACGGATCAAAGACACCAACGCGTGACGATTCTGCCTGTGAGCTTGCTATTACTTCGAAGGCTGCTCTCCCCACAATTCTGGCACAGCATCTATTTACACATTTTATGTGGACTATTATCGATCATCTACCGAAGAACATGCTTCACTCTGACCCTGGGAGTGACCAAGACAAGGTCATAATAGAAGGGCTCCAAACGTTCGACTCCTACAATTTTGCCCAGAGTTGGCTCCGACCCAGGCTCAGCCATCGGCGTCTCACCAAAGCAGTCCGGACAATGGAATCTTACGGCTTAGGAAGCATGACTGACATTCTTCTCTGTATGATTCCAGCGCTTAGTTCCGCCAGGCTTTTGCCCAATTTGGCGATACTCAAGCTCATGCCCCGTGTTGGCCCTCATCAAGAATGGATAGAAACGGCGGCATGTTATAGGAAGCTTCTTGGCACAATCGAGACAGATAAAGTCGATGAACAGGATAGTGTCAGCGTTGCCATCTTCACTCACACAATGGATTTCGTATCCTTCGCTTATGAGCCGTACGATAAGCTGGCAAGCCAGGCAGAAGAACTTGACGAGACAAGCTTTGCACTAGAACTTGATGAGCAACTTCGCATCATCGTCGAGGAGCTCGCTTCGTCTAGGTTTTTCACAATCATGGAAAAGCTTGCTCCAGTGTATGAGCGTCAATACCGCCTGAAGACATTCAAAAGCATCTTTAGTCGATACAAGGCTTGGGAAGATATAGCCAACTACCTCAAAGAATCCAAGGACCTAGATGAGACTTTTGCAAAGAATGCCTTGGGATTTAGTCAACAGCATTGCCGAGCATTTTCAAGCATAGAAGCTATTTTTGTAAGTAATATGGCATAGCCTTTGTGGCGGTGGGATTTAACCCATATATTCTCCAGGAGTGGATGTGGTTTCCGTATAATAAAATGAGAAACGGTCAGTTATAATTCACATTTCTGTTCCTACCAGAGCAAATTTGCTAACTTATAATAATAGCAGAAAATTCTATGACAGCGCGGGATATTTTCGGCTGGTCGCCATTTAATTATCTTTGCTACCGTACTACAAACAGAATCATCCGCAATTTCAACCCCGAGTTAATTGAGCGATATTGCAAGCTGGTTGACAATCTTGGACGTAACCCTCTTCAGATTGTTGCTCAAGGGGGCGTGCATGTTAGTTTTGAGGCGATGTTCGACATGATTAGCAACGAGAGGAAGAAAAGCATTATCTATGCAAGTGGCATGGATGGCATGACAACTCTTCATCTGATCGCGAAAAGCGGTGCCATCGATTCTTTGAATCTAATAGCCCCGTGGATCAAGCGACTGCTCCCTAAGACGGACCTCTGGGGTCGTCAAGCAATTCACATTGCTGCCAAATATGGACACGACGAAATCACTGAAAAGCTCTTAGACATGGGGTCTCGGCCTGACCAGGTCGATGAAATAGGGAAATCTCCTGTCGATTATTTCGTGGAAACAAAAAAAAGCAGTTGTGCTAGCGACGTCACTGAACAGGAGACCACCGGCCAATCCACGCCCAGCAGCCTCAGTTCCACGCCCAGTATTGTGTCAGTTCAGGAGATTGTGCCAGTCTTGACCACTGGCGGCTCATCGCCTGACGATCTTTCTGGGAAGGGGGTAGCTCTGGGCGAGGAAGACAGTGCGCTGTTCTTGAAATTTGGAACGAAAGACCAAAATTGTCGATATAGCCATGGTAAGACGCTTCTTCACATTGCGGTTGACATTCTCGATGAAAGTGCGATTAAAAAGATGGTGAATGATATGGAGTTCGACACGGAGGCACAGGACGATGGCGGACAAACGCCTTTGCATCACGCAATCTTAGCAAGCAATACAGGCGTAGCCCAGGCACTCATTAAAGACTGCAAGGCTTGTAAATCAGCCAAAGACGGTCGCAAAAACACGCCACTCATGTTCGCTGTACAGAAAAATCTCGCAGTCGTTGCCCAAGCACTCCTGGAGGAGCCGGATCCGTGTGCTATCGATGAGACTAACGATGAAGGCGAATCTGCAATTCACCTGGCCAATACCCGACCAATGGCTGAGTGGTTGGTTGAGAAAAAATGCTGCATATTTATAACAGACAAAAACGACAGAACAGCCCTACACGCGGCCATAGATGATGAACGCGAGGATGTCGCACTTTATCTGATAGAGCTTGCATCAAGCTCGGAACCTTCTCTTCGCAACAACAAGGAGTCACTGCTTGTTGTAGCATGCAAAAGCGGCAGTTCCATGTTGATCTCAAAAATTCTCGAGAAATGGCCCGATATAATTAACCAAGAGGACGAAATATATGGCCAGTCACCTTTATCTTGGGCCTGCGAGAATGGTCATGATATGGTTGTGCAAAACTTACTTCAATACCGCGACATTAACGTCAATCATACGGCTTGTGAGTGGCGGAAATACACTCCGTTACACTTTTCTGTTGAATCGGATAGCCCCAAGATTATAGAGCTTTTGCTCCAGCATCCAATGATCAAGCCTAACGAGAAGGACAAGTATGGTCAATCACCATTACAACTAGCTCTACAACTTGGGAACTTTGAAGTTGCTAGGAAGCTACTTTTACACCACGGAACAGCGTTCAAAGACAAGGTTCGTTGTTTTGAAGACTTCATCGTCGATTTGCCCGACATATTCGAACCTACCATCATCTTAAGTGTGCTCCAGGGGGTTGAAGAACAATCCTTGGTTCCCGAGTTCGTGCTACGGGTGTTCAATGACATGATGGTTCCGAATACCCTAGAAACAGTCAAAGTCCTAGCAGAGGCTCTTAAGGGGGGCTCGTGGAAGGAGTTCGGCTTTCCATACCGCATTGCAGCTCCTCTTGGTGTTCCAGAGCTCGTGAAGGCCTTGAGTGAGCAGAATGTAGATCATGAGGGTCTGGATGAGGATAATTGGTCCTCGGCTGACTACATCCAGCGCTTCGACCGCACTGGGGAATTGTCAGCCATTGTTACCCATCTACAAAACTCAGGTGGGAACAAAACACCTGACCATAAGGTGCCAACGACCCTGGCTTGGACTGTTTACAAGGAAGGTATTGAAGTCACCCCGTGCGACGGTCATAACAATTGTACAAAAGTACACGGTATGGTATATTCATTTACTCACACTGAAAAGTGGACCTAATGGCTTACTCTTCGTAGAAATCACAGTCGTTAAGGCGTTGACTAGCGTTGATAGCGCGTGCATACGAAGTGAAAACTGCATCCCTCCATCCAAGGACCACTTCTATTTTGAGATTGAGATCCTTCAAGGTTCAGAGGATGGGTAACTATGAGCCATTTCGTAATATAGATCAGTAAAAAAAGGGCTAATGAAACGTTATAGGATCATAGGCATCGGCTTCTGCGGCCTAGCCAATAGCAATGATAAAATGCCAGGCTGGTTCCGAAGATCGTGGGCATACCACGGCGATGACGGGAAATTCTTCATCGATACCGACTTTGGGGACATTCCTAGTGCAGACTTCGGAGATTCGGGCAAGTTTGGTCAGGGTGACATTGTGGGTGTTGGCTTGGACATGAAATCAGGGCATAAGTTTTGCACGCGGAATGGAAAGAGGTTAGACATGGGTAAGTATCCAACCTAAATTTCAGCCAGTTTGGGCCAGTGTAATTGACCGATGATAGGATATTTCGAGGTACCTGATCGGAGATTCACTTTTGGGAAACTATATCCATGCGTTGGATTTAGTCTAGAGGAATCGGGCGTGGGGCTTCACTTCAGGATTAACTTTGACGGGTCCAACAACCACCCGTTTACGTTTAAGAATGATTGCTAAAATTAAGTAGAGAAAATGGTCAAATAAATAGGGAGCAGATGATTCTTTCTAGGAAACATCGGAGCAGCATTTGGTTTAAGTAGTATGTGAGAGAATTCTTTTAAAATCTATATTATATTGCCTTAAAGGTTTAGTAGATATAAGAGCTAGATAAGGCTTGTATATAATATCTGTTTATTATTCTGTTGAGGTCATCGTCTTCCAACCCTTCAGAATTCTTGATTACATAAAATGATAAGGAATTCTGTTGTCCAATTAAATTGGTCCAGAAGGATTGAATGAACCAGGGTATGATTGCCGATCCTACTTGGTCCTGTCAGCTCATCTTACTCCATCCAACTTCGTTCGTCGTTAAGTTGTTCTCATAATTATTATTGAAGCCATTCGTACAACGTGGACCCCGAACAATTCAAAGACAGTTCTTCGCAAATAAGACATACTCTGATGCATGCCATCAAGATTTTGGTCCTCGCTGGCCTTGCTGCCGCCCAGTTTCCGCCAAAGCCTGAGGGGCTAAGGATTCTGCGATCCAAGTTTCATGAAAATGTGACAATTTCATACAAAGAGGTGAGGTATCCCGGGAAATCGGCATCTGCAAAGCCTTGGCTAATTCAAACAGCCAAATATCTGTGAACTGAAGGACTCGGTAAAGTCCTACGCCGGGCACGTTCATCTCCCTCCTGGCTTGCTGAACGATGTCAATGGGGAAAAACAAGACTATCCCATCAATACGTGAGAATTGCGCTTCATCCCCATCTATGAGATTATGCTGACTTTGGGCAAGGTTCTTCTGGTTCTTTGAGTCGCGCTCTGCACCCCACGATGCTCCTCTTGCGATTTGGCTTAATGGTGGACCTGGAGGCTCATCTCTACTCGGGCTCTTTGCTGAGAATGGTCCCTGCACAATAAAAAACGATTCTACCACCACAGAATACAATCCTTGGAGCTGGAACAACTTTGTCAACATTCTATACATTGATCAGCCGAACCAGGTGGGCTTCTCATATGATGTGCCTACTAACGGCACGATGAACCCGGAACATGATACGATTACCGTCGCCGACTTCTCCGAAACTGTTCCCGAGAGCAATTTTACCTCACGGGTCGGTACCTTCTCTAGTCAGAAGGCTTCTAACACAGCCAACAGCACAGATCAGGCTGCCCATGCGCTTTGGCACTTCGCTCAAATCTGGTTTTCGGAGTTCCCACACTATAAGCCTAAGGATGACAAGATCAGTCTATGGACAGAGAGCTACGGGGGTCACTACGGCCCAGGCTTCATGCGTTTTTTTCAGGAGCAAAATGAAAAAATAGCAAACGGAACGATTGAGGAGGAAGATGCTCATTATCTTCACCTCGACACTCTCGGCATCGTAAACGGCCTGGTAGATATTGTCTTGCAGGGGGAAGCATGGATTGAATTTCCATATAACAACGTGGGTTTTATTTTCCTGTTCTTGAAGGTCCTCTTCTAACTATCAATTAGACATATGGGATACAAGTGTTTAACGAATCGCTTCACGAGGCGCTCATGACAAATTGGACCACTCCTGGTGGCTGTAAGGATCAATTGCTTACCTGCCAGAACAGCTTGAGCGCGTTTGACGTCAACACAATCAATTACGGATATGTCAACGTGAAGGAAATATGCGCTATCGAACCATGGTGTGATCTTCAGAGTGTGAACCTCTATAACGACTTGGGCCACGGCTTTTACGATATTGCCCACCCGCGTGCCGACCCTTTCCCTCCATACCATATCCTAGGCTATCTAAGCCAGGAGCATGTCCTGGCCGCCATCGGTTCCCCCGTCAACTTCACCGCCATATCCATGACTACCAACTCAATCTTCATGAGCACCAATGATTTCATCCACGGTGGATTTCTCGATGCCATGGCCTATCTCCTCGATTCGGGCGTAAGCATCCATATGATCTACGGTGATCGTGACTATGCTTGCAGCTGGATCGGTGGAGAAGCAGCCTCCCTCGCCGTCCCATATTCCCGCCAGGCAGATTTCACCAGTTCCTCCTATGGGAAGTTCCAAATTTCCGACGGCGACGATAGCTTCGCCGGTCTAACGCGCCAACTGGGCAATTTTTCCTTCACGCGTCTCTTCCAAGCTGGCCACATGGTACCGTCATACCAGCCAGCAGCCGCCTACGAGCACTTCATGCGGGCGACCTTTCACAAGGATATCTTTACCGGAACAACCCCGGTACACGATAATATGCAAAACGACGGGGAGATGTTCGACCGATGGTTGAAGAACCCCGCACCCGAGTGGGCAGCACCTCAATGCTATGTGTTGGAACCTAGGACTTGTACTGAGGAAGTATGGGCAAATGTGAAGGAGGGTAAGGCGAAAGTCGAAAATTATTATGTTGTTGAGATTATTGATCAACCGGAGGAGACACAGAAGGAACGTGTTAATTATGGCGAGCTATAATGAAGTATGAGTTAGCTCACTGTGTTTACATTCATCAACGGTGATCCTTTGAGTGGCTGATGTTTGATCAGAGAAGCTACAGCGCTTGGATCTAATGTTAATTCCGGGCGCTGTTGTCTCATGTTTCGTTGACGGCTCGGCTTACCTGTCGATAGTCTCAGTTGCGCATTCAGTTGCGCATCGTTTAGTTTCTTGCATTCTGTTGTCTTGTCTCCTCTCATACTTGATTGAGACGGTTCTGTTTGCTGGCCCTGAGCCTGTTGTACCCCCTGCTTTCGTGTCCCAGACTGGGAAGCCTGGATATCCGTTTGCTTCGCTGGTGCTTTCTCTTTTGGTTCTGGACCATTCTGCTTTTCATCAACTGCAGCATGACTCTCTCTTTTGACAGAGGCCTCTTGTGCTAGTCCAGCATTGAATTCGCGTAAATACTCCATCAAATAGTCATGAGCCTCTCCGCTTTTGACAGCCTCTAGGGTCTTATTCATCTCGTTTATTTTCTCCCAGAATGTGAAAGCCGCCGTCAAAATCACAACCGCCTGCTCGGGATCTTGGTCCTGCGCCTGGTGCTTCAGATTGCGCGCAGTCAATTTCAGTGCGCTTTCTAATTCGGAAAATGTCGGTTTCAGTTCCTCCATGACCACCACCCTATCTTCTTTGCGCTCGAGGCTGCAGACCTTTAGGAAGGTTTCCGCGAAATAGTATAGGAATGGCCTTTCGTAGAAATCTTTCGGCCAGTCCCTAGGCATTTGGCCCTTGAACCTAGCCTTGATGTCTGAACGAAGCTGGTTTCTGAGGCGGTCGATGGCGCTTTCGGCTGTGCCAGCCATGACGGTGTCGTTGCTTTTCGCTGATGCCATTGTGTTTGGTTGATCAGAGGATTGGAATAGAAACGCGTGAAGATGTGCTGCTGTGAGTTGAAACAGATTCAACCGAGATCTTGATACAAGTAAGCAATAGAGTGTTGAGGAAGGCGTTTGGAGTTTTGTTGAACCCAGGGGTTTGAGTCTTTTTATCCTGATATCAAGGCCTTTCGTACCCTTGCAGTCCCAAACAATGAGAATTTGTTCAGGAATACGTAAGATAGTTCGAGTATAAAGTTAAACAACAATAGAATATGCCAGAGCCCAACATCCCAGCACAATGAATACAAAAGTTGGAAAATACAGCCTTTGCTAACCCAGTATATAGTCATGCGGAAGTAAAAGCCCGTAAACCTTCATATCGATAACTTTTGCCTTCAGGACAAGCTGCTCATCGAAGTGTTCGGGATATTTGAATCTCCCACTACTTCGCCACTAGACCACACACGATTTGGCTCCACCTCACAAAATCTATAAGAGGTACAAAAAGCCACCCACATACAGACGAGCCAAATAGCCAACGCTTGTCATGATACAAGGCATAGGCGAAACCCGTAGTGATATTCCGTCTTGATAGCCCCGGGATTACAACATTTACCTTATGAATACATGACATTATGCGGTTGTAGCTAGTTGGCTAAAAGTAGTAACTGGGTCATAGAATGTCCCTTACAAAGAAAGCATATGATTTCATCACCCACATCGAAACGCTTAGGGATATTAGATAGGCTAAGTCCCGTAATCCTCCAAGAACATTTTGCAAATAACGCATTTCAGACAATGCTACTGTAAATCAAGCATTGTGGTGGTATCCAGTCTGCCCAGACGGAGGCGGGGGGCAAAACACGTCTCCTTTGTTCAGTTATACACAGATATCCCTGCGGCCCATGTTAAGTGACAAACACCAGGTCATATTAATAGTATAATCGATGCTTTATTAACATGTGTATATTCAAAAAGCTCCCGAATTCTAAATCCTTGTTCCTGTGTTGCGGTGTGTTGACCCACTCATTGAGCCTCAACTGCAACAGTATGCTGAACTCGCAGCTTTTATTCTCTAACTGCATAAGGGTATTCATCATAGATAATTGAAAAGTACTATTAATTATGTACGCTGGAATCTAACGGAGTTAGCGTGTGCGAGGAGCCATGGACTCATTTTCTATTCTCATTCATCTCGTAATGCACCATGAGAGAGTGGAATTTTTTCATCCATCGTATTCTCTTTGCAGTGACATGTTGCCAGATCATGGTCGTGATCGATTTTGTTCGAGTATACAATAACCGCATGTCCCTGTGCGGTTTCCCGTTTGTCCTCCGTCTTACAAGTTCACCTGCAAAGGGCGTGGTGTTGCAATTATATGATACCTCTTCGCTGTTTCGGTAAGGTCTATGTTATCTGAACTGTACAGTGTCTCAGCACTCTCGCTTCATCCCCGCTTCGATTCCTTCACGCTCGTTAAGTGTGTAGGCTATCAATTAGCATTTACCAATTGTTCACGTGCCAATGGTGTCCCAGAATGAATAAGAATCCTCTTATGGGTCATATTATGCTTATCTGATGTCAGACTGTTAATTTAGCCTGATGGAAGAAGCCAAGCTTGTATACGAGCTAAACGAGACTGAGCTGGATTTTCAGCTCAGAGTGTGTTCGTATACAATTCCTGCATTCACACTACAAACAATGTCGATCTCCAAGTTTCGATAGCGAGCAGCACAAATGAGCCATAATATTATTGTCATGCAGTATTGCCGAGCTGCTGTAGCTGGTATACTTCGATGGATCACCAGCTGCGCCATTCTAGGCATGACTGCATCTTGCCTTGCCCACGAAGCGACGCCAAAAGACGCCCGCGCCGCAATAATATTCAACCTCGTCTGTGTATGTAGTCCTTTTCATTGGGACCCATCGGTTTGTCGCAAGGTGCCGCTCTGACACAAAGATCTCCTTTCTATAGACATGCCTTCACATCCCGCTCCTAGGACCGTTTCCAATGCCCGTGTCGGAAACGAAACTACGCCCTCGGCCATGGTATGCTGCAGTTTTGGCAGTATCGACTCTTATGTGGCCTGCGGCAGCAGGGATCTTATTCGCAAACTTGTTCTCGCTGAGCCGTGAGAAGTCCCCAATCGATGAGCGATTGAGGGTGTGCGCTGCTCTAGACATTGTCAATATGTATGTCTGCTGCTCTTTTTCTACAACTCATTATATCGCAGCGTTGAATAACAGTGTATCAAAACAGAGTGCGCTGCGCGCTTCAGTGGACCATGATCTTCAAGGTGAAGAAGACAGCGAGATTTGGTGAGAGATATAGGGCGATTGGATACCAACAAGTCCAGGAATTGTTCGAGGTCAAGGTAATACATCGGAATTTGCTTGGATACTTCATTGTCGTCCAGCAGGTGGATTGATGCGATTCGTCCGGGTTCAATACAGAACCTGTGATTTCTTCGTACATTGCGCGATCTTGGGGTGTATATATATGCCTGGATTCTGAGTACACATGCAGTCTAACCTATAATGAGAAAATACCTATCATTGAGTGCGATTATTGCTCGATCTCACCTGTATGCATAACTGTAGTGTCTAATGAAGCCACTAAAACAATTGAGCCACTGGCGAAGCCAGTTGACGTGGTTCTGCGTGACTTTCAGATCACGGCCCAATTGTTCGGTTCATTAAGTGCGATCAAGGAAAGTAAGTGACAACTCCGATAGATTTTTACGAAATTTATACAAGGAATAAAAAACGGGATATTAACTTGAGCGATAAATTTTGCATACTATAGCTTTTTAAAGCAACACATGTTTTGTCAAGAAGTCCAAACAACTTCCGGAAGATCATCAACCAACAAACCCAGACAATAGCAAGTAAAAGTTTCAGAAAGACATGAGAATAAGCAGCTTTATCAATCTACCTATGCTAAAAAGAAGTTGCCTAAGATCATTTTAACAAGGTTTTATCACATAGGTACAGTGGCATCTCAGATCGCAGGAAGTTGAGTATAGGGTAGGCTATACACTGTGAGCTAATTGCCCAGTTTGTTGATGGACCTTGATCACGTTCTCAGTCTCAGGGGTTATTGGCAAGGGAGGAAAACTGTGGGACGCGGGGAATCTGTTGCTCGCTTAACTTCTCCACTTCTCGCATAATACGACAAACGAATCCGAGAATCCTGGTGCAATTTACCGAAGTTACATTCTATCACCACATGGTCTCAACCGACCCCATCTAGCCAATCTGTTGACGACCCGGAACTATATGAAGATGGTAATAGTGATGATGATCACCCTTGACCTGTATCAAAATTAACAATGTAAATGCGCTGATTGGCTATGGTTCTTGGTGGATATACCATCACGATGTGCCACTGCTGATACGCGTATCAGCATGGACCTCCCCGATCAGGGCCGTTTTCCTCAATAGTTGGGTGTCCTAGCGAGGACTTAAATCCCGCTGTCGCAAGATATAAAGTGGCTCATCATCCGGAAAGAAGAGTGAGTACCTTCACTAACATACTCAGCTCTAAGAAGACGCCAAGTGCACTACTATCACGGATGTCGTCTGCTGACAATACGAGCACAGTCTTTGCCGCAGCAGGCGCTGCGGCTGCCGGCGTCAATGATCACTGGCCAGCTATTGTAGCAAGCTCTGTTTTCATTGCGTTCACTCTGATTGCGCAATACTTCTTCAAAGTCGATCCATTGGCTGGTATACCCGTCGTTGGGCAGGGCGGCAAAGCTAGTCGAAGACGACAGTTTGTCAAACAAGGAGGAGCCTGGAAACTTCACCACGAAGGGTACCAAAAGGTATCACCCGAAGATTTCCCAGGGACTGCCTTTTCTCAAATTCAAGACTAATGATCGCCATATCATAGTTCAAGGATGGGTTATTCCGAATCATCACAGCAAGAGGTAAGTGACGAAAAACAACACCTTGAGATTAAAATTAACCGAACCATAGAGACTGAGAGCATTATTATCTCACCGAAATTTCTGGGGGAACTCAGAAAATTGCCTGACGACGTGCTGAGCTTCCATGAATCCGTCACCGAAGTATTATATTCACTCACAAATTCCCATGTCACCCACTTCACTAATGCCTTCAATAGAGCCTTCAAAGCAAATACACGGGCGTAAAAGCCGACCTACCACATGTTACCGAGACTGTGAAAACTTCCCTGACTCCTGCATTACGTACGGCATCCATCCTCCATTCCTGGTAAATTCGAGCGCCTCTAACTTTTTTTCGATCTTAAGCACGACTCAACCCGGAAATTCACAGCGAAGTGGTAGATTCCATGAGACTGGAGCTACCGCAATCTTCTACATGGACCGACATCAACTTGAACAGCAAGCTGCTGCGTATCGTGGCCATGGCCTCTGGTCGAATCTTCGTGGGGCCAGAGCTCTGCCGGGATGAGGGCTATCTCGATGCAGCCATCAACTATACAATTGACCTCATGATTGCAGTGCATGTTGTGGCATTTCTACCTGTCTGGCTACGACCAATTCTAGGGCCGATTATACCACCGGTGAGGAAAGTTCATCGGCGCGTCAAGGAAGCAGACGAGTTCCTGCGTCCAGTGGTCACCGCTCGTCGGGAGGCAGAGAAATTGCCAGGATACAAGAAACCAGACGACATGCTCCAGTGGATCATGAACTCCCAAGAGAAATTCGGTGTCAAAGATGACAAAGAGCTTGCATTCAACCAGTTGGGTGTTTCATTCGCTGCTATCCACACTACGACTATGACCACAACAAATTCGTATGTAAGCCCCTCGAATTTGAGCATCACATCCCAAGCTAACATCACGGACTAGACTGTACACACTCGCTGCGATGCCCGAGATCGCCCCTATGCTTAGAGAAGATGTCGAGCAGGCCCTTGCTGGAAGTGACGGGATTTTTACTAGCCTAGCAATGCAAAATATGAAGAAGCTCGATAGCTTCCTTCGGGAAGTGCTACGCTATTACCCAATTAGCACCAGTAAGTA